AAAAAAAAAAAAAACTAAAAAAAATCAATCAATAAATAAAAACATTCCTTAGTGATTCCTTACAGGTCACATGGCTAGATCAGTTTCACGCAGCATGTAAAGTATATTTGACTAATTTTACCTAACATCTTTTAGCTTTCACCAGCACATCAACATCAGAAGTCACATCCTGAGTGGCGGCCAACTTCAGGATGTGATTCGAGTTCTTGTGTGAGCCTTGAGCGCAGCTTTGTTTTATTTATACTCATTACAGAGAAAACTTGCTCACAAAGATAAGTTTATTTTCACTCTACATTGTAAAGTATGAAAATAAAGTTTACACAACCGTCTCGTGGGCCGAATCCGGCCCGCGGGCCGCAAATTTGACACCCCTGCCTTAGATAAAAAAAAATAAATTAACCGTTGCCTTCTATCTTGTTAGAAAAAATGGATTCTTAAATATATTCAGCACATTTCAAAACGGAGGAGGAGGAAAGCAGATGATATTTAGATACGAGCAGCTGAGCTGTTGCTGGAATTCCAGCCATCTGGGGAAAAAACGGCTAACTGTGTGGATCATAAGTGTTCCAGCTCAAATAGCATTTGACAATTTTAAGATAGCCTGCATCAAAAATCCCCAGAATGCTGCTAATATAACGTCATAAAACGATTAAACCATAAAAAGAGATCAGGACTTCAGAGTTGGACTTTGAAACCTCGGACCAGCTGCACCCCTCCTCATATTCCCTCGGCTCTGAATTCTGGGAATTTCGGATGTGGTTCTTTATGAAAATGCCATTTTGGAAATAAAGTGAATCATTACAGAAGAAAATGTCTCAACCTGAGAGGATTTTTGTATTCTTCGGACAATCTCTCTGCTCATATTAACTTAACCCTACAAGGATTATTCATGTATTGATAGCCCAATATTTTTAACATAATAACAATGCTGTTTAATGTGTTTATTTATATGGTAGCATTTCAGCCAGAGGAAAAATTATAACTACATTTGGACACGTAACAAGACTGAAAAGGCTGAGTAATAGGGATGGGAATCCTAGAGCAACTCACGATTTGATTCAATTCCGATTCTTGGGGTGCCGATTCGATTCAGAATCGATTCTCGATTTAAATCGATTCACAATCAGTATTAACAAAGAGTGTCAGCTCCAGGATGAACTGCTTTGTTGTACAAGTTAGTTAAAGCTATGGGACATTTTTATTTGACTTTAAACTGGTCATGCTCCAAAAATGCTAATTTACAATGTAAACTAAAGTGATTCTAAAACTAAACAGAAACAATCTTTTGACCAAAAGGCAACATTTATTTTTGCTTACCTTGTAAAATATAACAAATCTGTAGTTACCCAACAGTAGCTTTGAAAGTAATATGGTCAAATACTTTTCAAGTATGTGTAGAAACAAGATACATGAGTAATCCTGAGTACTCATTTATCAACTTAGAAAATAAATATGAGAATATCTCAAATTTCTGAGTATGGAAAAAATGACATTCATGCGCCCTCTTATCAGCAGATTCAAACATAAATCATCTCAATTAATGGGACCACAAAAGTAATCTGAGTACTGACTCTCCTAACAAAGATCAAAAAAGTGCATGTCAAACCTGTAACGTGCCAAATATTTGAGTTCTTGGAATCGATTCTGAACCTTTGTGAATCGATTCTGAATCTTTATAAATAAGAATCCCGATTCAGACTTGAATCGATTTCTTTCAGCACCTCTAGTGAGTAATGTTAAAACACCAAACGAGAACAACACCCGCCTCCTAATTAGGCTTTTCTGTGACAGGTCTGGATCATGATTAGATGTGTGAAGACCGTTAGGAGTTGGGGGATTTCAGCACTCTGAAGGATTTTCTTAAAAACAAAATCCCAATCTGAACCTGCAAAAGTGTTTGGATTCAACATCATCTGCAGAACACAACACTGAATGTTTTAGAGGAAACTAAATGGCTTGTGCAGCAGCGGGAGAGGTTTAAAAACATTGAGTGTCCACTGACTTTAATCTCCATCAGACAATGGTCTAAAGTGGGATTAGACTAGCCTGGCAAACCAGACTAAATAAATGTATTATTTAGTCTGGCCATGCTCCATTGACGGCTCTCGGTTGTGGGGCGGGATCTACCGTTATCTTTCAAATGATGTCCGCATGCCACTGGACAATGAATGTGACATACTCTTGTTTCACTCTGTTGCATCATAACACCCACCAGGCATATAGAGTGCCCTGATTGGCTCACAAAGCAGATAAAGCTCTGTGATTTGTTCACTAAGCAGATAGAGCACTATGATTGGCCCACCATTATGGACCAATCACAGCTCTTTATGTGTTTGCAACCCCTGTAGAGAGCTGTGATTGGCTAGCCAGAGTCCTGGTAGGAGCTGCTGAGGTTCCAATGGAGCGTGCCTAGACCAAACTTTGCAAAGCAAGAATTTGGCCTGGTTCACTAGGCTAGGATTAGACCACAGGCAAAGGAAAAGTTCAGAAAACCTGTTGTTCCATATCATGGAAAATCACTATTTTGGAGCTTTTTACCCTGATATTATCATTTCCTCATGAGAAATACCCCCAAACCCCTTTTCCTGCCTCAGCTTCAACTTTTTCTACTTTACGTTCTCGCCTGCAAATGGACAAAAGTAGCCCAAGTTGCTCATCAGGCATTTATTTCTCCTTCCCCTGAAGCTAGTGTCTGGTCTGGACCCCGCCTCCCCTGGAAGTAGGTCACGAACGCCCACTTTCCCATAGTTGCGGGCATAGAGCGGTTGATTTCATGCTGCAGTTGTTGTTGATGTTTTCAACCCTTTATTGGTAAACTGATTAAAATATAAGGACTAAAATGTTTTACTTTATTTAACCAGTGGGAGTCCATGTGAGGTGAGCAGAGTAGATCAGCTAAAATGCTGCTTGGAAAATGACAAAAATCAAACATCTTTTGCAGAAAATAACCAATAAAACTAAAATATAAAAACATGACATCTACTTCATCTGGCTGAATAAATTACCGCCCTCAACAGCAGTCGAACAGACGTCCGCCCACGGCAAAACAAGACGAAAGGCCGTTCCTTTAACCGCTAGCCAGCGCAGCAACTGACTTGCCTGAGATGCTGTCGTAGGCATATTTTGTTAGAGCGGAAGTGGGCGGAGCTTCACTGAAACTAATCGTTTCTATTCCAGGTATAAACTCAGGCTGATGAAAATAACTCCTATTTAAATGGTAAATGGTAAATGGCCTGTATTTGATATAGCGCCTTCTAGAGTCCTGGAACCCCCCAAGGTGCTTTACAACACAACCAGTCATTCACCCATTCACACACACATTCACACACTGATTGTGATGAGCTACGATGCAGCCACAGCTGCCCTGGGGCGCACTGACAAGGCGAGGCTGCCGAGCAACGGCGCCACCGGTCCTTCCGACCACCACCAGCAGGCAACGTGGGTTAAGTGTCTTGCCCAAGGACACAACGACAGCGACAGACTGAGCGGGGCTCGAACCTGCAACCTTCCGATTACGGGGCGAGCACTTAACTCCTGTGCCACCGTCGCATTTAAGATAAAATGACATCTCAATAGTGCCGATGGTAATGTTTGATCATATACTGTGTGTACCGTTACTCTCAAAGGTTTAAAATAGCATCATCTGGAACCTTTAAAACATGGTTGGTGGTTTCTTCCCAGCCTTTAATGTGCTATCATCTAGCCTGGCCTGCCAGACTCCTCCTCTGTTTAATTCTGCACAGAGAAAGGGTCTGGGAACTCCCCTAATCAAATAACCATGAGGAATCTAACCGAGCCAATCAGCGCTGAGCATTGTACGTCACACACCATAACGCCGAGTTTGTCGTAAACATGGCGACTGAAGTGGAGTTCGCTGCGGCTCTTTCCTCTGTTCTAAATTACTTGAATGTCTTTAGAACCACAACAAGCAGAAGTGCTAAAAGCCTTTCTTCTACCCTTTCTCAGTGGCCTAGTGGTAGAGTGTCCTGAGACTGGGAGATCAGGGGTTCAACTCCTGGTCGGGTCATACCAAAGACTGAAAAATTGGGACCCAATGCCTCCCTGCTTGACACTCAGCATTAAGGGGTTGGATTGGGGGCTTAAACCACCAAATAGTTCCCGAGCGCGGCTGTGTCTGCAGCTCACCGCTCCCCCAGGGGATGGGTCAAATGCGGAGAATAAATTTCACACACATACCTGTGTGTGTGACAACTAATGGGACTTTAACTTTGACTTTAAAAGAATAATAGATGTCTGCGCCGTTGCTAGACGCCATTTTTTAACTACAGCGTTGCATGGTACAGTCGGCATGTACGTCTTTTTTCTCATTGGTTATTTTTGAGCTGTCTAGTCCCGCCCCTCAAGTGCCTCTCCGCCTGTGAGTTACCAGACTCTTTGTGCAGAATTAAACAGAGGACGAGTCTGGACGGCCAGGCTAGCTATTATCTACATTACCAGACAAATATTTGAGATCACTTGAAAATATCATGTTTCTTTCTGCTGCGTGCCAGAACCCTGTTGCGCTGATCTGGGAACAGCTGGCCCATAGGGTATATGGGGGGGGGGGGGGGGGGGGTCGCATTAGATAATCTGCTAGAAGGAGACACCCAGGAATGTCTGTGGGCTGCCAGGCTGTGACTACTGCAAAGCTGCTCTGTGGTTTTTGAAGAAAACATTGATCATTTCCATTAAATGATTTAGAATCATGTAAAAAAAAGGTTTTTGTTTGGACATTTATTTTTATTTTTTATCAATGAACAAAGTTCATTCCACAGTCGTGTCTGGGCCGAGCACCAAAAATTCTCCAAAAGTCTTTTAATCACTTTCTAAATCTCGACAAACCGGGGTTTAACTGTGAAGTGGTGTGTCATGTTTTCCTGGATCAAATGCCTTTCCCGATCGACTCTGTGATTCACTCTTACGGATTTCAGGCTGACTAGTTGAACAAACAAAAACACTAGCCATAGCAGTGAATGTCTGATGAAATCATGTCTTTCTACCTGTTTTTCTCTCAAGAAGAACCAGCGTGTCCTCTGTTGGGGCTCCTTCAAGGAGCTTTTCTGTCAGACGACAACCACAGGCTTTCAGTAACCTAAAAAGGAAGTGAAAACACACATCAGCTTGGTAAGTCATAAAAGTAACGTGGAGAAATCACAATGGCTGGCTATTAAAAGTCTATCTCAACTCACCAGCTGAAGGAGCAATGCAGGCTGGCCCAGAGATTGGGATGCTGAGTGAGAGAAGTTAGCGATCGGGCTGCGTTGCCACTTCTTTGATGTGGAAAAACCGCAGGAGAAAACACGCTGTTCATCCTCAGAGCTCGCTGGGGACAAATTCCCTGTTCAGTGTCAAACACCTGATGGACAAAAAGATGGCAAAACAGCACAAACTGACTTATTAAAATGACAAAGTGTTTGTCCAGTAAAAAAAAATGAATGCACAGTCTACATTTAGGCTCTACCTTTAGAGCTGTGCTTTGCAGACTTTGTATAGTGAGTTTGAGGTGTCGTAACAGGAAAGGCCAGGAGTTGATGAGGTAGATCCTGTCCATGGCCACTACAACTATACTGTACCAGCGCTGAAACCCACGGGCCAGGCTGTCCTTGATGAAGAACGTGTGTGAGAACACAAACCCGTGTTGTTCATCACCGAAAAAGATCGGCCCTTCACGCCCAGGGCACACCTGAAACCCAACAACAAAAAGACTCGCGTTTTTGGAGGAGGGGGGGTTAGAAAAGGTCCTCCTCAGTTAGATCAGGTAGAGTTTACCTCACAGCTGAGACTGCGTACACAAGCCTGACGAACTACACTGAAAAGCTGAGACTGTCTGGGGTGCTGATGGCTCACAAAGCGAATTCCTGTTTCATCATCGATGCTCACGAAGCCTGGGTGAGACGCAGGTAGAGATCGGCATCCCTGTGAGGCATGGACAGGAGGGAAAAGGAGAACTTCGATTACAGGATTATTAAATAATGTTGCTGCTCTATCTTCTTAAACCATAATGAGTTGTGGCGGGTGGCTGCTCATACTGAGCCTGGCTCTTCTGGGGCTAAAAGGGAGTTTTCCACTCCACTGTCGCTACACACTTGCTTAGTGTGAGCACTGCAATCTGCTGAGTTCCTTTATATAGAAATGTTTACTATGTGAAGTGACTTGAGACGACTGTTGTCGTGACTATAAATAAACTGAATTGAATGAACCTTCTCCAAGGTTTACTGTGGGTGAGATCCCATCACGCATGCCCACTCACCTCACACATCTCCCCTCTTTGAGACACAGACCCGCTGGCCCTCATGGTCAGACCTTCACCCTCCCGATCAGCATCTCTGTCCCCTGGAACCGGGGTGCCCACCTGAGAGGAGGGGTCTGGGGATGGAGGGTGTAGCGCCTCGGTACAGAATAGTGTCCGAGGGCCATGGAGCTCACAGAAGTGACACAAAGCTACCAGAGCATTCATCTGAGAAACGGATCAAGCGTTTATGAGAATCTAATCAACGTAATTTATGACATAGTTTTTATTCACAAGCTAACACCCGTTTAAGCCATTTTAACCAGCAGCAACGAGAGGATCTCACCTTTAGCACTGAGAGTTAGACTGGAGCTCGCTGCTGCTTCACTCGTTTGTGTTAAAAATGTATAAACAACAAAAGCGTGACGCTAAATCAAATATTTCGTCTGCATGTCTCGTATAAAACGCGCGAATTCAAGAGAATAAATCCTCTCAGCACTTTCTCGTCTCAGTCTCGAGTTGTTAGCAAACAGCACAGTCACGTGACCTCGAGTCACGCGCTCGGACACAAATCATGACGTACGTCACGGAGTTGATTAAGTTTAATCATAATTACTATTTTATGATTTATTTAAAATAAAATAATGTCGTCTGTGAGCAGATAGTTTTCATATGGGAAAATGTGTTGCTAGCATTTGACTTTACGAAGCGTGTTTCGTCGAAAGACAACATAAAACTACATTACCCAGAGTTAAGTTCGAGGAGGGTAAAGGTTACGAATGAGTTGGTCAGCGTTTCTCTAGAGTGCTAAAAAGTACGGAGCTACAGAGGACCGTGTGGTAATGTACTTTTAATAAATATAAAACACCATTTCTTAAAACGTTTGTATTTGTGATTTAAATGTAATTAACATTGTATAATGTTGAATTTACAGCATGTGTGTTTACTTTATTAGCTCATCAGTAACTTCCGTGTTTCATTGTAAAGGAAAAGGCAAAGCCCAACAGGGACGTAGGAGCCTTTCTGAACTGGGAATGGCGTCAGACGGATCAGGAGTTCCCCCAGAATCCGCAGTGGACGGTGGAGGGACCCCCCCAGCTGAAACTAAAAGTAGGAAAGATGCCCAACAAGCCACGAGAGGTAAATGCCTGTTTTAGTGTTTGTCTTTTCTCATGTCTGTCATTCTCTCTCTCTCTCTCTCTCTCTCTCTCTCTCTCTCTCTCTCTCTCTCTCTCTCTCTCTCTCTCTCTCTCTCTCTCTCTCTCTCTCAATATATGTATATTTATATGTATATAAATATAAAAAAATCTGTATTTCTCTCTCTCTCGCCGTCTTTCTTCCCTGTGTCTACCCACCTGCCAGTCATGTTGGTCAGATTTGGTTCTGTTGTCTGAGTGAGCCTCCAGTGACTTGGCCATCTTCACCACAAGTTGCAGTCACTTCCTGTTGCTCTACAGATGCATCTTGTCAGTAGGTCACTGGTAATGGTGACAAGGATGGAGAGGGGACTTTTCAACCACAGCCTTCTGCTGAAGTGACTCTTCTGCAGTCATGTGTGGTGTAGAGTTGAGCAGAGATGCTCAGTGTGGTAGCCCCCTAACCATCTCCACATTCCAAGTGGTCGAAACAGGAAGATCTAGCAAACAATGGCTCTGAACTAGTAATGCAACTGCTTTGGTGGAAAACCCCTAACCTCACCTCTGTAACATGTAGCTCACCTCAGTAGCTCAACAGGTTGAGCGGGTTGTCCAGTAATTGGAAGGTTGCAGGTTCGATCACGGCTCCGGACAGATAATTCTGCTGTTGTGTCCTTGGGCAAGACACTTAACCCACCTTGCCTGCTGGTGGTGGTCGGGGTCCGGTTGCGCCTGTGCTCGGCAGCCTCGCCTCTGTCTGTGCGCCCCAGGGCAGCTGTGGCTACATTGTAGCTCATCCCCACCAGTGTATGAATGTGTGTGTGAATGGATGAATGATACACTGTAGTGTAAAGCGCTTTGGAGTCCCTACTCTTGAGAGGCGCTATACAAGTGCGGGTCATTTATCATGTTTGATCCTCAATTCCAATGAGTCCAACTGCAAAGCTTTCAATTTTGTGCCAAAGGTACATTTGTGTGTTTGCAGATTAAAGTTTAAAGGACTGAGTACACACCCTAGGGCTGCACAACTAATAGTTAAAAAAACCGCAATCTCAATTCATGCGTGTACGCAATCTCATTTCCAAATGATAAGGATTTTAAGCAGCTGGCTAGACAAGAAAAGGACAATGTTCTCTGTTGTGATCCTGCCATGGTCAACAATTATGCTGTCCTGTTAAATGTTACATTTTGTTAATAATTGCGGTTTACATTTTAACAAACACACATATTACCTACGTCTTTCATCACCTTACAAGCAGAGAGAACATTGTTCAAAACAGTTATCGTTTAAATTATTTAAAAGTTGTGTACGTAAGTTGATATGCAGGTAATAAGTGCAATAAATACTTATTTTGGATAATAATTGTAAGATAATCTTGATCTCAATTTTAAGCAAACAAAATAATTGTCATTCTCCTTTTAACCAAAATTGTGCGGCCCTAACACATCCCTGATGATCTTCTGTGTTCGGCTTATGAAGCGTTTTTTTTCGTTGTCTTCAAAAACACCTGTGAACTCAGCAGTAAAGTCTTTTAGAGCATATCTCAGGTTAGTGTTGGGTTCAGGAGCTTTGTGTGAGTCGACTCCGCTCACACACCAGCAGTGTGAAGAGGATGGTGGGAGTGGTATTCTCTACCTGGTGTGAGTCACAGCTACAAAAATATTTCAAAAATCCCCTACTCTCATCTTTGTGATACTTACACACAGGGATGCACAATATATTGGTATCAATGTCGGTATCGGCCCAAAAATGTCATATCGGTGCATCACTACTTACACATATTATTGAATAGCTTTTAATATTTTAGATGGAAGCAAGCAGCAACAGCCACACCTCTGTTTCCTCATAAAAAGCAGTCTACCTTATTACCTGAGTAAATAACATAGTGTGTGTGTGTGTGTGTGTGTGTGTGTGTGTGTGTGTGTGTGTGTGTGTGTGTGTGTGTGTGTGTGTGAGTTCTGGTAAGCCTTACATTGTGTTGCTGTTGCTTCTCCTAAGGCTGAAATGGCAGCTGAAAGAGGGGTGTGATGGATGGAAACCAAACATTTTTAACTTCCTGCTGAGGTGTTCTGCCGGAAAAGTGTCTGTCTTTAGCAAATGAGTCAAGAGTCATAACTCTGACCTCAAGGGGAGGATAGGATGAACTCTCAGTTTCTACTCCCTCTTGTACCACTGGCTCCAAATCCACATAAAACGCTCGAAGCGTGTATTTATGTCGATGCTCGAAGCCCACAAATATCTTAAGAATGGTTTCCAGGAACTTCTGTGTACACTGGAGTCATCTCACCGGGAAAAGGAAGGTGATACGATAGTCGACGTGTTTTGTCTGCCTTGCATTCAGAGCCATCCTTCGTAGTTGTACAGGGAGTGTGTGGTTGGTGTTCTCAGTAGGGCCACTGCTGCACCTCTTGGCAGACGTTGTAGTCCTCTGGACTGAGTCATTACCACCTGTTGAACATCTAATTCTCTCAGGAAGTGTGTTGGAACGGACATGACCCGCCCACACGCGTTTGTTTCTTTGAAATGCTCACGCAAATGATAAAAAAGGAATGATATAACTGAACAAAACAACGTGTCTAGTAGGGCTGAACAATTAATTGCATATGCAATTAAACTGCGATGTGACAAAAGGAGATTTTCTAATCGCAAAGGCTGCAATTTGACTGGCAGTGAGTGGTTAGCGCAATGCTAATATACATTGAAAAACCCATAGGGATGCTAATGCTAATATCGCCGATTACATTCTTACAAATTACGAATTAGGAACGTGCCAAATTATAACATTTGGAGTCTAATAAAAAGTCAAATTTGTTATTAATCAAATAAGTACAGATATTTTAGTAAAGCTAGAAAACTGTAAGAGACTAATTACTCCACTGGCTAGCAGCTATGAACGAAATTGAACTACGGAAGCTCTCCACAGACAAAACGTCAAAAACTCTAAAATCAAAATACTTCAATAAATGGGACACACTTCCTGCAAATCAGTTTTCACAATTGATGCTAATACCCATGGTCCTTCATAGGATGTGCTCCTGGCTGCAAAGCATTGCACCTTAAAATACAAAATTTTGTTTTTACTTGTGAGTGTTTATGTAGACAAATAAACTTGTTGATATGATATGTAGATAAATATGTAGATACATAAACTTGTTCATATTCAGTACAAGTTACATAGATTTATTTATTTTTTGCTTCCGTTAGTTGAAAAATGAGAAAAGCCCCTTGAGAAAATAATCGTGAATTTCAATCGCAATTGCACTATTGAAGAAACAAAATCGCAATTGGATTATTTTCCAAAATCGTTCAGCCCTAGTCTCTAGATGATTACAATGTTTGTCTACATCACGCTAAAGGTCCAAAAAAGCTGCTTTAACCTAACAAGCTGTTAACTTTGTCCATTTTCTGCTTGTCTAACCGGCAGCAGTAGCTCAGCAGGTGAAATTGTATAATATGTACGGATTCTTTATCAGTTTTGTTGGCACTTCATTCAAGAAGTAATGAAAATAGAGTTGATATTTTTCTAGAAATATTTGAATGCCTATTTCGGTTGTGTGCCTTAGGGATTGAAATAAGATTTATGTGGGTACCGGCGCACAGGGGGATAGAAGGTAATGAATTAGCAGATTATTACGCAAAGCAAGCAGTAAAGTTAGAAGTAGGGAAACCGATCCCTTTTAGCAGTAACGAAGTGAAGTCAATGTTTAAGGATAGAATTATGAATGAATGGCAGGACATGTGGGTAAGGGATAAAAAGGGCAGACATTTATTTAATATACAGAACGTAGTAGGTAAAAGGTCGTTTAAGGAGTTACATAATAGGGAACAAACAATAATAACGAGATTGAGATTAGGACATTCGGGATTGAACAGCACTTTGCATATTTTGGGAAAACATCAAACAGGTTTTTGTGATTGTGGGACAGAACAGGAAACGGTAGAACATGTTTTGTGTTTTTGTAGTAAGTTTGATGTAATTAGGGGTGAATTTATAGATAGGTTGAAAGATAAAGGATGTGGCATTTGGAATTTGAGAACGTTGTTGAATGGCAGTGGGTCCAGTTATAAGTTGGTGCTAGAGTTTCTTAGGAAAATTAAGGTATTTAGTAGAATTTAGTTTTTTATTATTTTTCTATATATATATATATATATATATATTTTTTTTTTTTCTCTCCTCGCTCTGACTCACTTTCCTGCACAGTAGGTGGCGGTAATGCACTTTAAGTTGGTTGCCACCCGCCATTTAACCGGAAAGGAAGAAGAAGAAAGCTCAGCAGGTTGAGTGAGTTGTCTAGTAATCGGAGGGTTGCAGGTTCGATCCCGGCTCCAGACAGAGAATTCTGCTGTTGTGTCCTTGGGCAAGACACTTAACCCACTTTGCCTGCTGGTGGTGGTCGGAGGGAGCGGTGGCGCCAGTGCTCGGCAGCCTCGCCTCTGTCAGTGTGCCCCAGGGCAGCTGTGGCTACATCGTAGCTCATCCCCACCAGTGTGTGAATGGATGAATGATACACTGTAGTGTAAAGCGCTTTGGAGTCTTTACTCTGAGAGGCGCTATACAAGTGCGGGTCATTTATCACTTCGTAGCTGAAAGTCTGTATTTTTTCTGTCGTTTACAGAATTGGTCGGCTTGAATCAGAAGGGATTAAATCCATGCCAGTTTTTCCTGATGGGGAAGTGTCACTTTGGGAACCGATGTCGTTTATCACACAGGTTTGCTCACTTCACTTTGTTCTAATTCACAATCTTTTTTTGCGTTATTTTTTTTTACGATATTAGACCTTTTCAAACAGAGATCGTTGTGAACAACAGGTTCTCATGGCCAGGATTAAAGGCACGAAACAAAAAGGGAAAGGGCCGGAGCAAAAACAGTCAGCTCTGACGAGGACATTCTGTCGAAACGTTTGTTTTTTTCTTGCACGTAATAAATTAGAAGATTGAACCGAGTGCTTTTTCGTTATATCATTGTGAGTTCAAAGTTTTTAGGATGAGTCTCCAAAGGTTTTAAGGTGTGGGAGACCTTTTTCTTTAATACATACCCTGTGGATCCTAGTAGGAATGGGGGTTGCTCCCGTGCGCCTGTTTCAGGAACCAGAAGAGAGCCCGGTCCGAGTTGAGATTCGGACGACAGGATTTGGAGTCTTCTTTCTTGAAATTTGGTTATCTCTCCTCTGATTGGCTAACAGCAACACGACTACCACTGACTGGTTGCTCTGCAACGTTGATGTTTTATCTCCACAAATAACACAAGCCTGGAGGAGCTCTGCTGTGTGGTGGAGTTGCTAATGCATAGCTTCTACTAGCTAGACGTTCTCTGCCGTTTCCTGAACGCTAAACCAACAACAGCCTTCCCCGTCGTGAGTCCAGATGGGTGAGTCCATGAATGTTAGTGACAGTGTGACGTAGATCTGTCAGGCTTTTCTAATCCTAGAGTTTCACCGTCTGTTTTCTATCGGAAGCTAATGCAGGAGATAGGTGTAGGAGACTATTTCCATGTTCAGCCTGCATGAAACACTCAGTGTGACCCTTTAGAATCATAAATAATAATAAAAAAAGATATTTTTAAGTGTTTTTTACTTTTAAAATTCTGAAACCAAAGTTTTATTTAGTATGTACATTCCTCTGTGACTATATTAGTGCCACTGAGAAGGAAAAAGCCTGAGATTAACATGTAGAGAAAACCGTATCGTGGATATTATTTTCTGATAAAACTCCAACATTTTAAGAAGCATGTGACATTTTTTGTTGCATTTATGTGTTTTAGACTCTTATTGTGAAGGAATAACGAGGGTTCTGCTGTGGAAGTAGCCAAAACACTGCGTCTCTATTCAATATCGACTTTTAAATAATATATTTTATTCAGTAAAAAGTGTGCATAACTCATGGTTTAATTATTATTAATAACAACAATAATAATAATAAAGTCAGGTTCAAAAACACAATTGTTTGTTTCTGTATTTTCCATCAACAATCCAACTTTTATCTCAACATTTTCTACCGTTTTTGCTTTTCAGTGGCACAAATGCATAATTATATGATGAAGTATATTCAGATTTTATGCACAATATTTATTTAAGGCACCGATGACTTAATTTTGACTAGATTAGACTCGTTCTTTGTTTTTAAAGCCTTTGTCGAGTTTATTGCAAGTCTTTTCTCCTCTTTAGTCTTGTGCTTCACCCATATTTGCACACCATGCTGATTCGCTCTTGCTCTCATTTGTCAGTGACCCCTCACAGGATGATTCAGACGCTGCATCCCCCGATGCAGATGACAAACAGGATGGAGGAAAGATGGAGGATCGCAAGAAGAAAGAAGACAGTGTGAACAAAGTGGCAAAGTCGACACCTAAAGAGGAAATAGGTCACCCCTCATTTCTTACGGTCATCTGATCATGACAGAATACTCATTAGGAGGTTTTTTTTAAGTTTTTGATCTGTTTGTCTGCAGCAGAGGTGAACAAAAAGCCCAGAATGCGAACAGCTGATGATGTTATCTCTCGCATCCTGTGGGACCCATCTGTGGATTCCTCAGAGTTCGCGGTGGGCTACGTGGATCGCTTCCTGGGTGTGCTGGAGCGGCCTTTCTGTGACTTCAACTGGGACACAAACCCCTGTGACTGTGACTACTCGTCCGAGCTGGCCCTGCCCAGACACAGGATCCAGTACTTCACCTACAGAGGGCAACGTGTCTGGGACCGCCACAGCAGGACTGACAGGGTTTTTGGCTCCACTGGCCAATCTCTGGCTCCCCCCTTTGGAAAGGAGGAGGAAGTAAAGGGTAAACTATCTCCCCCCCCCCCCAAGACTCTCGTCTAAAGCCAGAATTAAACTGACTGAATGTGAACTTTTATTTCAGAGGGAATTCACTCAGAAAACCTTGATGCTGAAACAGCAGAAGAGCAGAGAGTTGCTGTGGGGGGGCAGGGTGAAGGCAAAACGTGTCCCAAAGACCGACACGAGGAAGACGAGGAGCTGAATGGGATGAATCACACTTTCAACCCGACGCACGGTGCAGGAAACGTTTCGCAGGAACAGCGGGAGTCGTGTGCTGCAGAGGAGGCTGCAAATAGGTCTGGTGTTTAATTTTAAACCTCGCTTCCAACTCAGAACAGACGACGCGTTTCTGTATGAAAAGATACGAATACCCGGTTTGTATAAAACGATAAAAGCACACAGCAAAACACAGAAGGTTATTTTCCATGAAAGAATAAGTAACTGTAGTAACAAAGGATTCAAATTTCATGTTGTAATTGAATTACTCCGATACGGTCTGATGTAGATCAGCTGATCCATCGGTTGGGAGGATTTTAAAAGACACATTCTGGATCTGAGACCATGGTTCTCGACCGGGAAAGGGTGGCTGGCCAACTCCGGGTCGGGGGAGAGGTCCTACCTCAAGGGGAGGAGTTTAAGTATCTCGGGGTCTTGTTCACGAGTGAGGGTAGGAGGGATCGGGAGATCGACAGGCGGATTGGTTCGGCGTCTGCAGTGATGCGGACGCTGAGCCGATCTGTCGTGGTGAAGAGGGAGCTGAGCCAGAAAGCCAGGCTCTCGATTTACCGGTCCATCTACGTCCCAATCCTCACCTATGGTCATGAGCTTTGGGTAATGGCCGAAAGAACGAGATCGCGGATACAAGCGGCCGAAATGAGTTTCCTCCGTAGGGTGGCCGGGCTCAGCCTTAGGGATAGGGTGAGGAGCTCGGACATTCGGGAGGGACTCGGAGTAGAACCGCTGCTCCTCCGGATCGAAAGGAGTCAGTTGAGGTGTTTTGGGCATCTGGTCAGGATGCCTCCTGGACGCCTCCCTGGGGAGGTGTTTCGGGCATGTCCTGCCGACAGGAGGCCCCCGGGTCGACCCAGGACACGTTGGAGCGGTTACATCTCCAATCTGGTCCGGGAACGCCTTGGGGTCCTGCCGGAGGAGCTGGTGGAGGTGGCCGGGGAGAGGACGGTCTGGAGCTCCCTAGTTGGGATGCTGCCCCCGCGACCCGGACCCGGATAAGCGGAGGAAGACGACGACGACGACATTCTGGATAAAGATGCAGATTTTCAGGCGCGTGACAAAAAATAAGTAAAAGGTTTACACAAAAACTCGAGGCTAGCTGCGTTTTTATTAGGATTCTATTTAAAAGCAGAATTTTGTAAATTAATCTTAATTAATTTTGTCAACCTGTTTGCATTAAGGCTTCAGCCTTCAGAGCTTCCAGATGAGTCGGCTGTAAAAGAGGAGGAGGACGGGCCTGCAGAATGGGAAGAAAGCTGGGAAGATGGAGACGAATCCCAGGTGTGTGTGTGTGTGTGTGTGTTCCATCATATCCCGAGACACGCTCCTGCTGCTCCAGCTTATATTTAGTCCGGTTGTTGTTGTTTTCCTCCTCAGATCCCAGCGGCCTCTCCGGACCAGACGGAGGAGAGGCGGGGCGGACGTCCTCCTAAAAAGCAACCCACACACTTCATCGCCTTCAGGGCCAACACTCCCGCCATCCTCTCCTGTTTCCAGCTGCTGCAGGAGGAGCTGACCTCCCTGCTGCCCTCCTCTGCTCCTCACTGGCAGACTGCCTCCAAGCTCCACGTCACCTTGTGCCTCCTGGTGCTGAACGGCCCTGCCGAGGTGGCGGCTGCCGCTGAGATCCTCCGTCAGTTCGCCCATTTGGACCGCAACCCGCCCGTAGCCGTGACCTTCCCTGTGAAGCTGAAGCACTTTGCCGGGAAGGTGCTGTACCTGAGCCCCCAGCCTCAGCTGCACCTGCACCAGCTGAACTGTGGCCTACAGGAGGCCTACAGGAAGGAGGGCTGGCTCCACAGGAGCTCCTACAACCCACGGTACCACCTCACACTGGCTAAGGTAGAGAACCGGGACGGGCAGAAGATCTTTGAGGGCGTGGGGGACCTGAAAGTGGGGAAGGGTTTGAACTTTGGTCGCCTGCCAGTGAACACCTTACACCTTTGTACGGTGGGTGGCTCCAGAGTGGACGGGTTCTTTGAGACGGTTTGCAAAGTGACTCTTCGATGATAAAGAAAGCGTCTCGTTAGCAAACACTACAGAGGACATTATGAGATGATTAATTAACTTATAACTATAACATTGTGGAGTCTTCACCAATTCAGAGTGAAGAATGTCGACGTCTGGCGTTCGCAGTGAGCGCAGGAACCTGGGGTGAGAATGTTTGAATGTTTCGTCTTCATGGAATGTCAACACGCGTTGAACAGAACCTTCTGGGTTTAGAAGGTCACCTAGAAACTGGAATTATTTCTGTAGATGAAAGGTTATGTTGATCAATATATAGGAGAAAATTGACCCTTTTGGACATTTACATATTGCATCTGTTTAAAGAGGAAGTCACCCCCTACCAGAGTATTACTCCACACCCACTTCCTGTTTGAAAAATGCAACAAATGCTGTTGCCTAGCAGACCGAGAGGGCGGAGCTAACAAATACACACACACACACACACACACACACACACACACACACACACACACACACACACACACACACACACACACACACACACACACAACGACATTGTTTATGTTTATGTATTTAGCAGACGCTTTTGTCCAAAGCGACTTACAAGTGATAATCGGCATATTGCCCTTGAGGCTAACAACAACAATAACAACAACAACTTGACATCAGTCATGGAGAGGAGGGAACAAGGAGTGGACGGTAGAGAGGTGGGATGGGTGCAGGGAGGGTGCTAGTTTAGAAGATGCTCTCTGAAGAGCAGGGTCTTCAGGAGTTTCTTGAAAATTGAAAAGGAAGCCCCTGTTCTGGTAGTGCTTGGAAGGTCATTCCACATTTGTGGAACGATGCATGAGAAGAGTCGGGATTGTCCTGAGCGTGGTGTAGGCACTGCTAGCCGACGATCCTGTGAAGACCGGAGCGGCCGGGCCGAGACGTAAGCCTTTGCAAGAGGATTCAGGTAGATGGGAGCCGTACCATCTCGGACTTTGTATGCTAGTGTTAGCAATTTGAATTTGATGCGTGCTGCTAGCGGTAGCCAATGGAGCTCAGTTAACAGAGGGGTGACGTGTGCTCTTTTTGGCTGATTGAAGACCAGACGCGCCGCTGCGTTCTGGACCATTTGAAGAGGTCTCACAGTCCAGGCTGGAAGACCAGTTAGAAGGGCGTTGCAGTAATCGAGGCGGGAGATGACAGTAGATTGCACCAGGAGCTGGGTGACATGTTGTGTTAGGTATGGTCTGATCTTTCGTATGTTATACAGCGCAAAGCGGCATGAACGAGCCACATTGTGACATCATATGGTACCAGCTAACATTTAAGGGTACCTCTTAGCCAATAGCGATGGCAGATTTAAATTCTAATGCAGTGCAGTTTTTACCTGACAACACAACGCTGACAGTTTTAAGCAGAAGATTTAAATTTTAACTGAAATGCACTAAAGTGCAAAACTATTGACTACACGTGTCTGCAGCACGATTAGACACACATTTATGTAGTTTACCAGGAAAATAAGTTGATTTGGGGGTGACTTGCTCTTTAAGGGCTTATAATAAAATAGTTGTGGGAGTCGGGCGAATAGAAATGTTCCACATAAATAATAGCATTATGATCTTCTTTCACACTGTCTTTAATTCTATTTAAGGAACAAAATTCTAGTTTGTATGGAGATTTTAAGATAGAAAAATGTCGAGAAATGAAGGCCGTCGGTCTTAAACTAGGGATGCACCGATACGATACTGGTATCGGTATCGATACCGGTACCAGTATCGGTATTGGTAAAAGTTAACGGATACCAGGAGCTGATACCAATGCAGTTGCTTGAAAATTGCTTCACTGTAACTTGTCATTTCTGTTCGCCTAATATTTTACTTTTGTGATGATTTCCATTCATATATTTTACTTTTTATCTACCTCAGTCTTTTCCTGTTGAAAGCAGAGAAGAAAATAAAATCTGTATTCCAAATCATTGCATTTTCTTGTGTGGTAGAAGTATCGGTATTGGTAATCGGTATCGGCGAGTACTCGGATCCAAGTATCGGTATCGTATCGGTTTGGAAAAAAGTGTTATCGTTGCATCCCTATCTTAAACGTCATGCATATAATCCCAAAATTACCCAAATTATCCGTTGAGCTGTTTTCATGTTTTCAGATAACAGAATCAACATAAAAATGTTCAAATTTAAGGTGAAATCCGACATTTTTATCCATTGAAATTTGTCTTCGATCAAATGCAAAACATCTAAGATCTGAAAAGACGCACAGCTGTCCTCGTGCTTAGACCTTCTATTACCAAAGTGTTCGATTTGTTCATCTGATGCCGACCACCATGATGGTGTCTGTTTATCATGATTTAATTCAAGATCACAGCTCACTATTTGGATGAAAAATACACAGAAACTGACTAATCATCAGATATGTTAGATTAAACATTTCACGGCAGATTTCTTTCACAAATTTTAGTTTGCGTCTCTCTGAGCATCATCATGAGTCGTGTAATTAGTCAGTTTTCAGCCATTATTTGAATTAAAAACTAATTTTTGTATTTTCTGTTCCTTTTAATCTGGTGTGATTTTAAGGGCTGCAGGCCCAACATGTCTCTGTTTACTCTGGATTAATAAACTGTTCATGGAGGGTAAAACTCTTGATGTCTGTGGTTCAGAGGACACTGGTTACTGTCTCTTCTTCTACAGATTATCACAAGAGCCGGTTTGAGGCTGAATATTAAATCGCTTCGTTTTGAGACTCGCGGAGTCGTGAGATTTTCTCGTCGCGGTGACGGATGTGCCGCTGCTCCGACACGTTGGAGGCCGTGTAAACCCTCAGCTCAAGTCTTGCATCCATAATATGGGTTTTACACACACACACACACACACACACACACACACACACACACAAAGCTACTGTTTGCTCCCTCGCTCGTATTATCTCCCCTCCCCCTCTCTCTTTCAGTGACACAGAAAAACCAACGCCACCCCCCTCTCTCCCTCCTCTCGCCCCCCCCACCCCCCCCCATGGAAGGCAAACACTTCAGATCCATCCTCGCTGGGTTTCACCTCCACGTCTTCACGTTTGCCTTTTTACATTGCGGCTCCTCCACGGCGTGCGCTCATCACGTCTGTCACGTTGTTACGCGTTTTCTTTCGCCTCCTTATCGGCGTTGGTGCGGCCTCCGCTGAAAACTGCTCCTGCCTATTAATCCGCTGCACACTGCTTTGCCCCTTTCTGTTCATTGTTCGCTCCATCCATGGCTCGCCCTCCCTCCCCTTTCTCTCAGCATCCCTCCCTGGGAACCCATGCACACCCCCTCCCACCCAATCTCCCTAATTCCCCGCGTTTCCCCCTCCCTAAAAGCATCCCTGTGTTCCAGTTTTCCTCTCCCAGCTTCAGATGCATCTTTTATTTCTTTTTTACCGGGGTATCCCAACTGTGCATCTAAGATGTGACTGGATTTTTAAAACCCCTCCTCCCAACCAGGCACTGGGAGGACTTTTGCATTGCTACTCTTGGTAATCCGGTTCAGTCTGCTGTTGCGGGCAGAAACCGGTGTCGTGAGGTGGTCGTTACTGCGAACGTGCCTCTCCATCCGACTGGGTTGGACCCTTCTAATCCACGGTAACGGATTAATTATCTCGGAGCAATATCGTTTTGGGAAGTCATTTGGGCGTTAAGCGGCGAAGGGCTACAATGCAACGATAAAGAGTCCCTCAGGGGTGTCTCCTCAATCCTAATCCCTCCCTCCCTCTCTCTCTCTCTCTCTCGCTCACTAACTCGCTCTCGCTGAGAGCTCTTCTCCCATCCATCAACACAAACACCTCTCCACCGTCACCAGACAACCGTACAATTACTCCCAATTTCATATTTTAATCGTTGCTTTAGAATTTGGCACCTTTTTGTAAATTAGCTTTTTTTTTTGTTTTTGGCACGCTCGTGTGCCATTTTTATTTTTTAATGTTTTTGTTTAGGATGATGAATTTTCAAGAGCATCAAGCATCAACGGCAGGCTCGAGACCCCTCTGAGAGGGTAAATATTTAACGGGCTACCGGCAAAGAGACGAGACAAGGAGGAGAGGGAAATCTCCCGACGGCCGACTGAGGTAAGAGGCGGATTCCTGACCAGCTGATGTGGCTGCAAAGATCCGTCATTCAAATGAGACCAAATTCACTCTGCATGTTTACTCCACAAAATCACTCATGGCTCTATGTTCGTCTTTGCAGACACACTTGATGGGTCTTTGTGGAACCAAAATCAGGGGTGCCTCCAGAAAATTTTGATGGGGTGGCCAGATGGGGCCAAAGAAATTTTTGGGGTGGCACACCAAATTGGTTCTTGTGGTAACTCTGGGAGAATTTAGCCTGTGGCGACGTGCTGCATTGCACCTTTATTCATTTTTATTAAAATAACAGCACATATCCAAAACATTCAACTTAAATTTTACAAACGCAAACATTTTAGAAAAATACATTTCAGTTATTTCAAATGTTACCCCAAATATAATTTAAAATTTTATTTTTTTAGTTTTTTTTTCACCTGTGTTGCTGTGTTCACAAAAAAACAAAAAACTATGGTGATAAAAACTTTTTTTAATTGGTGAGAAGCAGAAACATATGTATATTTTTTATTCTGATTATTTCTTTACTCATTAATTGTAATATTTTTATTTTGTTTTACAATTATATCTTGAAAAAACAAGATTAATATGTGGTTTGACTGAACATTAATATGATTTGTTAACACTGGCTTTTCCTGGGGGGGCAGCAATGGCCACCCCTGGCCACCCTTTGGGGGCGCCCTTGACCATAAAATTGCATTAAATACAGAGATTAATCATTTTTCTCCCATCAACATTTTAGAAAACGCTATTAAGCCGTGGATGTCGTTATTTCTTAATTTTACCCCAAATTTTTTATTTGATTCGGATTCCGTGGACGCCTTTGAACTTCCTGTCATGCTGGACGCTTCTGGTAAGCTCCGACCTTCCAGCAGCACTTTGAATGGTCCCGCCTGGTCGGAGCAGAGCAAGTCTTCTGCAGATGAGGATTTAAACCTGAGTGAATTCTCTCTGCTTTTTACAGGTTGGACGATTAGTTTCTCTCAGCAGATTTAATGGGTCTTAAAGATGTAATGTTCTCATTAAATTCTGCTCTCTAAAGAGGTCGTTGCAAGATGAACATCCAGGCTGTAATGCTGACAGATTTTATGAAGCCATTTAGAAATGTGCAGCTCTACATGGGAGTCCCAGCTCCAATCAGCTGACGGAAAGAAGAATTAAAGGTGGAGTTGATTTCTGTGCACCAAAGATGATCCTAAATCCAGCAAACAGAAGGCGCGTCTAGCCTTGTTCTCATTAGCTGCCTCACAAAATGGCCCTTTTCTTTACATCCAGACATCATGGAGTCTCATATGTGCGAGTCATTTCACCCTCGCTTGTGTTTAAACTTTATTTACGGGGTTTTCTGCCTTCTTTTGTTATGATTTAAGGCTGTAAGCTTATATTCTGGATTTAGCCCAACTCCTTCCCATTTTTCTGTTTCTCTTCAGCTTAGCTCTAAAGCTCATTTATCTGTAAAGTTATGCAACGGACATAAGAAGCTGGCAGAAGATATCACGTCACCTCGAGGCTCCCTATCTGTGACATTTGCTGAGTAACCCCCTCCTGCCTCTGGGACCCCCTCCCCACCTCACTTCCATCAGCTCCTCATTAGGTCAACTCCATATTTCGATTTAGGAGTTGGAGGAGATTCTTACCTGATCTTTGACCTGACAACTTCCAGAAATGTGTCATTCTACATAACCGTGGAGGAGCCATCATTCTCATGTTGGTGATGTTCTCTTGGGGCAGATTTATTCCCCTCTAATTGTGAAATTCCTCCTTTAGTTGTTTATTGCACCTCTTGAAAGGCTTTGACCCTAAAAAATGGCGTTTGTTGCGTTTTATGAATGGAAATGGAGTGTTGGCAGTGATTTGGTTTGTGACGGTTGTGGCCGCTGGAACTGTGAAGGTGAGCAGACTTGTTGTAATGGGCTTATTCTGTGTGGTGATCTATTAACTTGTTCTCTTCCGTAGACGACCCGGATCTGAACAGCGAGCTTGTTCAACATCAAATGCGTCGCGTGGCAAAATCTAAACTGTTTTTCTGTACCGTACGAACTCAGCCATGTGCGGATGTTTACAAAAGGCCTCTGTATGGGGAATCAATAGGGACTGTAAAGTGGAACAGTGTGTTGATTGAAAGTTTTATTACTAAGAGAGACTTAAAATCCAACACAGACCATCATTTGAGTGTGTTTGCGCGGTATTGATGCAGGATATCATTCTGTGACATCAGCATTGAGCTGGACTCTAAAACTTTTCATGTGTGTAAATGTTTCTCGGCTCTTGAACAGTAAAGCTTTGCTTGGCGGTGTCCTACAACAGCCTCTGTTGTTGCCCTTTCTGCTCCGTCTTCACCGGGAGGATTCCACTTTTGGAGAACTGGATTTGTCCTCTGCCTGCATTTAGCCTACTTTCTCCCCTCTTGACCAGCTTTGGTTGTATTGAATGATAACAGCCAAACGCTTTATTTTCTAATTTGTGTCCCAGATCAAACGTTGTAAATGTAATCGGTCAATCAATACTTTATTAATCCCAGAGGGAAGTTAGAGTTTCAGTACACACAATTCAGAGATCAGATATACATGGGCAAGACACATGACAAGAATTGGTGACTGTGGTCATTCGCAACCCTGAGTTGCACTACCTTAATAGAGATAAGAGGGTTACATGAGGATTGGTTCAGGTGGAGGGAAAAAAGGCACTTCATAGTTACCCTCCACCAGGAGGGCAGCTTTGCTCTGCAAAAAAAAAACTTCAACAAATATGCAACAGACTTCAGACTTCAGATCCTATTTCCCCCCAGCGAGAGCAGCCACCTACGGCACTCATTTACTGTACAGTCACAGGTGGGAGGGAGATCTTGGGAGAAGCGAAGAGCACATTGACTCCTATAGCTGATGACCTCGCCAGGCTGAAGCCCACCAATCCGGGGGCGGTAGGTCAGGTTTACACAGCATCTGTCTGCATTCCTTCGAGGGGGTTTGTTGCTTGCCACTCAAGGCTACCAGAGTGTCAGATTCAGATAGCAAGAATTTGTTTGGGTCAGGTTGAGATAATTTTCCTCTCTGCCTTCAGTCTTTAAACTGATCATTCCAGTCCTTCAGTGAAGCCAATTTTGGGTTTTTAAACCTGTCCATACCGTCCGGTGACTCTCTCCGCGATGACATCCATTTTGCGCACTAATACCGGTATCGCAGTTAGAACATTGTCCAGCTTACGATTCACCTCAAGTAACATCCCAGTCTGTGAAGTCTCCACACGGACGGTGCTTTCCGTGGGTGCGGGTCGCCCTCCAATCGCTCCCGTCTTCCCAGATTTCCAGAAAACCAGATATCCTCCCACTCCAATCAGGAGAAATCCAGTGATCATCAGGCCGAATATCCACAATTGGTGTGTCCTCTCTCCCTGGAAGTAAAAGTATGAAGTAATGATGCCATTCTTAGGCTGTGTATCCTCCTCCACTCGTCTAGAAAAAGGCACCACCTTGTTTTCAACAAAAAAGAATCTAGTGCATAGGCATGCAAAGCCTGTAGGTGGTGGTAGTTCCCCAAATCGCCTGTCTTTGCTGAGAAACATTCCTTGGATGTTGAATAATTGGTGGTGTGCAATAATTGTTCCTAAAAGAACAAGTTCACTTGTTTTTCAACACATCTGCAGTGGTCTATAGTATAAACAAGTCTCTGGCGCTCCTGTTTCAGGAAGTAGAAGTGAGCCAGGGAAGAGTGGAGCTTCAGACGACAGAATTTCGAGTCCAATTTCCTGAGGGTGATCCTCAATGTCAAGTCGCCTGGCCTCGCAAGGCGATGTCATGCAAGGCCAGGCGTCTTGCTTACTAGGACACTGTCCTTCCTTGGTCAAAGAAATCAGCTAATGGAACAGACTTGCATCAAATGACACGGGATATATCATACTTTATACATATAAGTTTCAATATAAATATATAACGTGTTTACTTTTTAAATTGTGTATATATTTGTTAGATTACATATGTAAGCGAGTTACTACCCACTAGCCTTCCAAGCTGCAATTACTAAGCAACTAACCAACCATAGATAACTTCTTTTGGATCTAAAAAAACATTTAAAATTAGTTGACTTACATTTAAACTGGAAATTTGTCCCTGAAGTAGCTGCCGGCTTCTGATCCGCCATGCTTTTGAAAATTCCGCGCTGTATTCTGGGAAATGTTTGACCAAGGCTAGGCTACAAGACAGCTCCCATGAATCCTGGCTCAGCTAGCTGAATGGCTAACAAACGGAGAACAGACGCGTTGGTAGAGCATGAACATTCAAACACGTCTTGGCGGTTCCTGATGACGTATCTCCTAGGCAACCGGGGCGGGACCAAGACATCAAGGCGAGGTTCCTTGGCATTGACAAACACCCCTGATATTTGGACAACTCCCTTCTGATTGGTTAACAGCAACATGACTCTCCCACTGACTCAATTTGCTCTGCATCGTTGATGTTTTATCTCCACAAACAACACAGGCCTGAATGTGTTCCGCCGTTTGTGGAGTCGCCAATGCTAATGGTTAGCTTCTACTGGCAGAGATGTGCTCTGCTCTCTTCTGGACACTTAACAACAGTTTTCCCCATCGCAAGTCGACATAGGTGAGCCCATGAATGCTAATATTCAGTGTGACATTGATCTGAGTGACTCCTAATCAGAGTGTTTCCGTTTATTTTCAATCAGAGACTAAAGAAGGAAATAGAAGTAGAAGACTAGTTTCGCTTTTAGCCCGCACGTAAAACACAGAAATGTCAAGTAAAAAAAGGAGTTTCTCAGTGAACATGGTCCTTAACGTCGTCCTTCGCCCGTGGTCTTCTACATAAAGCAGCAACCAAGCTTATAAAAACAGGTCACATGTGTGTATCAGAGCATACATAATCCTGGTTATTTAAATCCACAAACAAATGCTGACAACGGAGAATTTGCAACTTTCCAGAATCATTTTTGGTGCCATATATCTTAGCTTTGGTGTGGACGACAGGCCAAACCGTAGAAGATTATATTTTTGTGTAGTTGGATATCTGGCTTCAAGCATAAAGAGCCTTTGTCAAATTTGGCTAAGTTGACTTTTTTAATGCCACATTTCTTTGATATAAAATGGTGTCGAACACAGGTGTCTAAAGTGTAGCCCCCTGGCCCGCAGAGCCATTATATCCGGCCCTGCACAGCAACCCACAAGCATACACTATTGATGCTTTTTAAAATACATGATGCCCATCATCAGTAAATGCAGATAAAACAGTCTGTTTAAAAGTAAAAGTACAAATCAAAATTCAACTCTTTACATATCATGTTTAAAATTGGCAGATCTTTTATTTTATTTCTTTTTTATTAACAAAAAATGTAAAACACTTAGTTTTGTTGTGTTGCAGGTGTCCTGTTGAGCAGGTAAAATTGAGCAAAAACAAAGAAATTTGTTTTATGTTTTTTGGAAAATCTTTTTAAACCCAAGTGTTCGTGCGCTGAGCGACTTTCCAAATCGGCAGTTTTGGCCCAATTTTTGAAACATTTTGGACAAAAATGCTTATAAAAAATTAGCCTCATTTACCCGAGCAAAATAATTATGCTTTGCATCAAGCCATCCTAAATATCCACATATATAGGATGGCTTGCCAGGCTAATAAAAAAGGGGAAAAAAGAAAAATCTGCAAATAACCTCAGGAAACGGAGCATTTAACAGTATTTTTATATTCAAAAAAATCCCTACATGGATCACATAATTGCTACAGATGCAATTTTTTCTGTTTAAGTGGCATTTTTGACGAGTATTTCTTTATTTAAACATAAATATAGACCCCACCACATTTGAGCCGTGTCATGAACGTGGAAAGACGCCCAGACTTCCGCACCTCCTCCTGGTTCTGTTCATGCCACCTCTCCTTGGCCTTGTCACACCCCCCCCCGCCCCATCTTCACATCTTCACATCCTGGTTTGACTAACCCCCGTGTCTTCCCTCCCACAGGGCGGAAGGAGAAGAAGGGGGACCGCTGGCAGTAAACCATGGCTGCCATGACGACAGTGCCCAGCTACACTGCTTCGATATGGGTGAGAATGTGTCATGCTCTGCCCCGACTGGACTTCAGTATGCAGATGAGGGACAACACCTTTGTCCCTGACAGCTGGGAGTACCAGCAGGTAACAAACTCCTGACAAAAACTCAGACCAAACCCACCCTCGGGTGCTGCGATGCATGATTATTTCAGTCCCAGGTGCTCTGTTTGGATGCACAGGTGTGGTTTATTACACGTTAGCAGGATGATGGGTAATTTGTGCCACATGACTCGAATAATTAGCTCCATAAATCCCTGCAAGTAATGGCAACCTGCTGAACCGTGAAAATGACATTTTCCATGTTTATTAATTGACACGATTAAATGTGTAAGATTTCTAGTCGTATTTTTGCTCCTTTACCTCACTTGAAATACTGTTTTGCATAAAAGTAGAGAATTCATTCAGGCGGTGCATGCTACCTGTGTCGCTTTTGTCTGCAAGATGGAGTTTTGTTCTGCAGCAAAATGCAGCGTTTTGCCTCTCTGAGTGTTTCTGACTTGACTTTGGTACCAAAAGGAGGCGGGTAAGGGAGCGAGAGCACAATTTGTCCTGTAGAACTGAAAGACAAAAGAGACTCGGAGAACGGGGGTGAGAGAGGCAACGAGTAATGTGAGGAGGTTGGCGAACTGGGCACAGAGAGAGGGAACGCAGTCAGAGCGGGAGCCAGAGAGAGTGGCAGCGAAGGTTTTAAGTAGGTCAGATTATTAATAGAGATTCAGCGGTGTGGATGGAAAGAAAGAAAAGACCGGGGGGGAGTGGGGAAACGGGGATGGGTGGAGTGGAGCGATGAGGAGGGGCTTCGGAGAACAGGAGGGGAGACAGAGGGAGGAATGGGGAGTGACAGACGGGCAGATGGATGGAGGATAAAGCTGCAGAAATGAGTGGAAGCAATATGCGTTTCAGTTTCAGTACTGTTGACTCTATTGATCACAGCAGAGCCAGATGTGGCGTAGTGGCGTTAAACTCCATCATGGTGCGGCGAAGCATCAGGGTTTCCCAGCTACACGCCTGTGAAGGGTAGAGAATCAGCGTTTCCTTTATGAGCCTGTCTAACTGCTTTATGCTCCCTGTCTGTTTGGACATGATTCATATGCACACACCTTTTTATCATCATCTCCCACTGTTCATGTGGGCGGGACGCTTGGAGACGCTATAGAAACGTAAACTGCTCCTTTAAATTCAACGTGATTTTTATCTTTTGCACTCGGCGACTCATCTCCTCACCCACCTCCTCGTGCCTTTTTCAGACTCTGCTGATTTTGTCCAGTCTATCAGCCATCGCCCTCGTCATCTCCCTCTTGGTGGTTCTCTCCTTCCTCATACACTACTGCTGCTGTCACCGCGGCGACCGGAGCGAGGGATCCGAAGAGGAGGAGGAGGATGAAGATGGCAGCACGGGTCACGGGTACAGCGGGAAGAAGGGGAAGGGCATCTGCTGTGTCACATGGGTGGCGGTCGCCGCTGTCACGCTGTGCTGGTGAGACGCAGAAATCAGCTGTTTGGTTTCAGGTCAACGTGTCGGTGATGAAAAATAAAACCTAAATCAAACAGTTCAGCAGAAAATGTCACATTTTAGCGTCAATAAAAGACAACTTTGAACTATTTGGGTTACTGAAGATTGAAGAAGCAGAATAAAAAAAACAAACCTCAAATACATAATTTCACCTCATAATTTAAAAAAATATATTTTTTAGATCCAACAGACAGTGAGGCACGCCGTGTGTTAATGCAAACACTCATCAGACATCCTAACTGGGTTTTAATCACTCAACTTGTGACATAGATTGCAGCGACTCTGCTTCAAGGCCCTCCCAGATATCGGAACTTCTCAGGCCCAATCCCAAAACTCGCACTGCACCCTACGGTCCTCAGCGAAGTGCACTTGGATAGAGTGCGGTGAGGCTTTGAGTGTGTGGTACACAGGTGAGCGGATAATAGCCGAATTGGGACAGTGAGCAATGCGTCCTCGATTGTACTACTTTTAAAAAAATCCTTATTAACTATTTTCAAACAAAAAGTTATTTGGCATATTTGCATTTATTGCTGTCCACATTGAATATTAGTCTAAAACATTTAGGGCATGAATAAAAATCATGAATTGTCTTTCCTTTAGGGTAAAAGAGGAAGTTATGAAAATTTGGTTCTAATAGTGAAGATTTGATTTTTCAGAAACATTCCAAAAAAATGTTCCCTCACTGAAATAGGAAAATTTCTCTTTCAATTTTAAACTTAATATTTTATTGTTTACTCTGCAGTCTGTAAAATTGTGCCAAAACAAGCGATTAAATTACTGGCATGTCGTGTCCAAAAACAAACACACAGCACCGTTGTCAGTAGACAATATTTATCAACAGACATGGAATGCATCTTTCCAACAGTAAAGATGTGCTTCTAATCTGTACACAATTTAAAACTTACTTTATATATATATATATATATATATATATATATATATATATATATATATATATATATATATATATATAAAGTAAGTTTTAAATTGTGTACAGATTAGAAGCACATCTTTCCAACAGTAAAGATGTGCTTCTAATCTGTACACAATTTAAAACTTACTTTATATATATATATATATATATATATATATATATATATATATATATATATATATATATATATATATATATGTATATATATGGGATTACATATTTTTCTGAAATGGCACTTGAGCTATTGCTCTGCATTCTTCTCAAAATTAGATTGTGGGTAATACCCTTTGCCTAAGTCCGCATCGATGAGGACTTTGGCAAAGTGCAGATCAAGGGTGTAAAAGGGGTGTGGTCAACTTCCGCATCTGAGAATCAGGACACCCTATGCAGGAAAGCGCATTTGAAGGGCGTAAGAGTGGAAGTGTGAGTATTGGGATTCAACCTGAGTGGGTGTGGCCAACTCCAGCTTGTTTTCTTAAAGTGACAGGGCCCTGACACAACTCATTGTGGAAGGTACTGAAACTGCTTAAATATCTTTGTGCGAGAGCGATTTAGTGCAAAGAACTTCATAAACATGTTCTGTCTCAACCATAGATCTATTATAACTTAAAGGTGCTGCATGTAAGAATATAGTGAGAATTTTACTTTGAGAAAATCCCAAAAGAGTCTGTTTCAGTCATGTTGGCAGGAAGGTTATACTAAAACATATTTCATATCCAGCTGGCTGCAGGGATTCTTAGTTGTTCTCCTTTCAAAATAAAGGAAGTAGGGATGCAACTACTGTTAACCATCGGTAAGTGTGGGGTTGCCGTGTCTTCTGCGAGCTAATACTGCAGCACCGACCATTTTAATTTGACGATGGACGGCAAAACTCTCCAGAGTTGTTTAAAGTGGTTGCTGTAACCCCATTTTACCGCAGGATGCCATTTTTATTTCATTTCTACATAATGCACCTTTAAGAAAAACAGCCATGTCCACTTTGAGTGGCACAGATATTTGGTAGGGCACCAGAAATCCTGGGATGGAACATCATTCCATTTAAATTCTCATCTGTCTTTGTCATTAATCACTTTTGGCTCAGCGGTGGCAGAAAAAAACAAAAACTTTTGAGGATTTTTGTTCACTAAAATGAATATTTTTCACATTCCGATTGCCATTCAGTGGACTAATATTTTCTATCAAACGGCTAAAGATAAAACACCCAAGTGGGAAAGCTGAAAGGGATTTCTTACAGTACACAAGCCTTTTTTTCCTGTGTCCCTCCATGAAAGTGTTCCCCAGAGATCACCTGATAATCTGCCAAGTGGCTATTACACAATGCTCACTGACGGCTCTTGTTTCACTTCCCAAACTCTTGGATGTTTCTGTCTATAACACAGTCTGTACTGCCCTCTTTGGGAGTATCACTATCACACCTATAACCTGCCTGAGGCTGCTATTCTCATTTATTTTATTTGAAGCTCTTTAGCAAAGATTTACAGCTGCACTAACCTGACATTAACAGTTAAATATGTTCGAGAATAAAAGAATGGCTAAATTTCAATTTCTTTATTTCCCTCTGGGATTAATAAAGTACTTTTGAATTTGAATTGAATTTATGACAATACATCCTTAAAGAGCAAGTCAACCCCTACCAGAGTATTATTCCACTCCCACTTCCTGTTTGAAAAATGCAGCCAATGCTGTTACCTAGCAGACCGAGAGGGCAGAGCCACTAACAAATACACACACACACACAGCCACAACGACATTGTGACATCATATGGTACCAGCGAACGTTCTAGGGTACCTCTTAGCCAATAGCAATGGCAGATTTAAAAACAAATGCAGTGCAGAGTTTTTACCTGACAACGGCACAACACTGACAGTTTTAGGCAGACAATTAATATTTTAACTAAAATGCACTAAAGTGCTAAACTATTGACTACACGTGTCTGCAGCACGATTAGACACACATTTATATAGTTTATTAGAAAATAGTACATTTGGGGGTGACTTGCTCTTTAAGTTTCAAACTTCTTTGTAGGCTGAAACCAACTCTTAAAGGTCCAATATGTAAGAATTTTACTGTGAAATAATTACAAAACAGTCTAATGTCTCAGTCATGTTGGAAGAAAGGTTATGCTGAAACGGATTATTTCTCCGCCGGTTGGGGAGGTTCTTAATTCTATTCCTTGAAGACCAAAGAGGAAAATAGTCGTTGTTTACATTCTGTGAGCCCACAGGGTTGCTGAATGCCAACATTGCAGCTCAGGCATTTGTAATTCGACACTATCAGGCAAAAAGCTCCAAAGCAAGTACTGGGAGGGACCCAGAAGTTATTTCCTGGATCCCTAGGAAGCCACAGCGTCTTTTCATTTTACTCTAATATCGGGTCAAGAAGCTAGACCAAAGACGCAAATCATTGTAAAAGGTGAAAGTGTCCAATGTTTGAGATGAAATTAAACTACGAACAGACTGGCTAATGCTAATGCTAGTGGGTAGCACTCTCATGTGCTCATGTGACGTGGGATTCCGAAAAAATCTGATGATCGCAAAACTAAGAATGACTAAACTCTACAAGTGGAAGAAAAATGGTCAGATTGTCTCCACGTCTAATGCTCCTGTCGTCTTGGAAGAAAGATTCGAAGCTTGCTAAACTCACAGCCATTTTCTTCTCCGTGTCTACACCGATGACGGCAATATGGTGAGACGTATTTGTAGTCCTATGCATCTGTTCACACTAAACCTAAAATAACTTTCAACACTGTTCAAAAAGAAGCGCTTTATTAGCATCAAAGCGTGTCTTTAAAATTCACAGACATATGCAAACTTTATGGCACACATTAACAGGATTAGAAAATAGCTTCTTTATCCACATGGACCTGCATTCTTTTTTTTCTTATTTCTAGGGACCCATGGTCCGGATGGGCGTGACTTCGGCTCCCTGTTGCACCTTTGAATATTGTCTCGTCAAAAAATAATTTTATTTGATAACTGTGCTAAAGCTTTAAACCAGTAAGACGTCCGACTTCCTATTTTCTGATATTCTGGGGTTTTTTTACATTATTTTGGTGAAGCGTTTGGGATAAATATAAATTTACTGCAGCATCTAAACTCCAAAATAAATGTTAAATTGAGTTTCCATGTCTAACTGAATTAGTAATGTTTGTGCCACTAAAGTAACTTTTTTCAAGGTTTTAAAAGACTTCTTTTGCTCCACTAGCAGTGACTTTAAATCATGTTATCCTCACAGTTACCAGTTCTGTAAAGACCACACTGCTCAGACCTCATTCGTTGAAGTTTTACTTCAGGAAATTGATTTTATTCCAATGACCAAATATATTTAAGCTAAAAGAGATTTGCCAAGTCACAAATTGTCTAAAATTGTTTAATTATCTAACTATTTCAAACAAATTCAACTGTAATCAAATATTTAACCATTTTATTTTAAAATTATTAAATTAAAAGACAATACATGTAATGTTGCCGTTTCCCACGTGCACTCTGCAGTTAAACGTGAGGAAAAAGTATTTGGCCCTTATAGATTTCTTTGGTATTTTCCTTTTTTTGTTGTTGTATTTGAAAGTTTCTGATTGGGATTTATTGTACAAATAATGCAAATTTTAAATTATTATTTTATTTTTTTTAAAACGCTATAACCAACCTGGCCCTGTGTGAAAAGGTAACCACCTCCATTGTTAATCCACCTCCATTGTTAATCCATCCTATAATTCATAGTGTGATTAATTATCTGCAATTAATTTTCACATTATTTAGAAAGCAGAGTTCAGTTTCACTAACCAGACTCATGTATGATTAAGGATTTCCTTCAATAGAACCTTTCTGACAACATGAAGCAGGTTAAAAGATCTCAAAAAGCAACACGTTATGCCTCATTCTGTAGCAGTCGAAGAACAAAAACAACCCTGAACAACACCTGATGATTAGCATCTAATGAAATTTGCGGATCTGAAATATTCAAGTGAAAAAGAAGTATTCTCAAAAGCGGAAGACGTCGGAGTCAAATTACATTTTCATAAAACTGCGACTCTATGCTAACGGCTAATGGTCAACATTAGATAACCTGCAGTAGAACACTAGACAAAAATGAAGGCAAAGTTGTACAGTCATTTTGTAAAGTCACACTAGACCATGATCATCAACCCTACTGGTTGAAAGTGGAATTACAACTGTTGTAAACAACCCTGCTGTAGCTAGCGCTAACAATGAGCTAATATTAACATGAGCCAAGTAATACTAAAGTAAACCATAGAGTAAAACGATCCACTGTTGAACAAAAAATATTGTCAGTCCAGTAGCAACAAAGCCAGGTCACCATCAGTTTGTGATTTCTTAGCCGCCCTTAGCTCCGTCGCACTAGCTTAGGCTGCGGTGATGTTAACACTGGGTTTAGCTCTTTGCTTTGCCTCCAAAGACATTACTCTCTTACTTTTACTTCCAGGCTCCGCCATTATACCAACAGGAAAAGCAAACTTCATTTTCTTTCTTCTTGTGCTTTTCATTGACAATTGGCGAACTGAAAAGCTAACCGCTAGCATTACAGCTAACAGCAGTGAAAGAGCTCCTCCTAGGGCACCTACCTGCGTCACAAAACGATCCACATTAATTTACTCTCAAACGTTCTGTAAGTTTTCCATTAAACCTAAATCCACCTCGAAGAAACAGAGAAAAGCTAACGGCGGCACGGGGACTGAATAAAAATGATTGATGCAGCCACACAGTCAGAAAAGTGAAGTCAACGTGAATGTCTCTGAAGTGCATTAGTACTGTGGGAAGCAGGCACCATCTCGCTCTCTACTTATCTCTAGATGAATTGGTCATTATGGAGCGTTTTCATCTAAAATCCAATCTTCTCATTAGCATAACATTCAACTGCGAGCTAAAAGAGTCCAAAAAAGCTTTGTATGTCTTCAAGAAGCTTGGTTTGTTCCAAACAGCTGGCTGTGAATCACTTGCTGCCCATCACCATCATCATGTGGCCTCCAGCCTCTCACAAAGTCGTGTTATTTCCGTTTCCTAACCACAGCCAGCAGCAGCAGCAGCGCCGTGTTTATGAAACCCACTGCCTCCGCATCAGTGTGTGTGTGTGTTTGAGAGGATGATGTCAATTCAGCCAGTCATTAACCCACCAGTGGTTACCCACTCCTCTGCTGATCATAAAGTCATCAGGTCGGTGCATTAGGGTGGTTGTACATCACATAAAATACTGCTTGACGTCTGTCCAGCATGCTGTTGTAATGGAGGAGTGAGTCGCCGTGGCGACGGCCCTGATGCCTCACTTCGAAACCCATGGCCACCCGTGTGTGCACTTTAATGGTTTGGCAGGGCTTATTATCCTCCATCTGCTGCAGTTTTATATACATGGAGACTGAACTGCTAAACGACAGAATATGATGTAGTGCTGATCTGACCTTAGCCGGTAATAATGTCCTCACACACCGTCTGCAGGTGATGAAGGGGCTCGTGTCTCCCCCTCATGGACTTTCTGGTCTAAACATCAACACAAACGCTGCAACTAACCTTCTGAAAAGTGTTCTCTAAGAGGATGGTGGCTTTTAAGTGGGTGCACTTCAAAACTGCATTAGACGCCGGAGTTCCCGTTTTAAAATGCAAAGCACACACAGAAACGGACTCGCACTCCCCCCCTTTCTCCCTGCTCTCTAATCTGGGTCACATACTTTGAGGGAGATTGGGCTGTACCATTTCTCTTGGGTTTGAGGGGATTTGATGAACATCTGGCCCCGCGCCATAATCCGAATATTTGAATAACCGTAAACACGCTGAGACGTTTAACATTTCAAATGCGTCTTCTCCCCTGAGAGAGCGACGTGTGTTCATCTGTTTATTGCTGTCCCTGTGCTCTGCTCTTGGTGCGCTCGTCCCTCGCTCGTTTTATCTTCTAGTTGTGTCACGTTCGTTTAAAATGTTCATACACACTGAATTAAACATTGCATCTGTGCCCCTCTCTCTCTCTCTCTCTCTCTCTCTCTGTCTCTCTCTCTCTCTCTCTGTCTCTCTCTCTCTCTCTCTCTGTCACATGTGCACCCTCCCACAATGTTCTCCTTCTCATTTTTTTTTATTTCCTCCCCTCTCTGCAGCGTTGCCATAGGCATCGGTTTCTATGGCAACAGCGAGGCTAATGATGGGATGTATCAGTTGACCTCGTCTCTTCTCACGGCCAATTATACGCTAGCTTCCATCGATCTACTGGTGAGTGCTGCACCCTGCGAGTGAAATGTCACGCAGAGCATCTGCACTGCTCGGTGTGTGTGTGTGTGTGCGCGCGTGTGTGTGTGGTCAGCCTCTGAGAGGAAGACAAATCAGACACAAACTTCTGTTTTAGTGATTTGCTCGCGGTCAGGCGGCGGCTGGTGTGGTTTTCTTCCGTGTAGTTGATGACACGCATTAGAGCGAGTCTCAGTGATCCCGTGAGTGATTGCAGAAGCAACGACAAATCACTTCGCTTGGGTTATTTAAAACTGGAGTGCTTGTTTTACACTGTAAAGCTACAATGGAAATCTGCAAACAAGCTAGCTTGTGGAGTGATTTTTTTTGGGGGGGGGGTTATTAATAGCCTGGCCTGCCAGACTCGTCCTCTGTTTAATTCTTCCCATAAAGAAGCATGGGGCTGGCTGGTCAGGCTAGATTCACAAAGTGGTTCTCTCACATTTGTCTAAAAGCCTCTACCAACAACACAGCTCGGTGCAAAACCGACTATTGGACCGTCTGGTTGTCTCTCCCCGAACCGCCGCACTTCCCTGGGTTCTCCATTTATTTCACTCATATTTAGCAACAGAGCACCACTCAGAGTGAGAGGTTCTCCACTGACTAATGTCAGAGAAGGAGAAGCGGCTGGTGTAGGTACCGGATCTGCTCGGGAACTGCTGAGGAGTTTCTGGTCAGCAGAAGGCTGCAGAGTGCCGTCTAATGTGAAGTTGCTCAAGTTTGTGGCTCAGGAACCACCGAAGCCAGTTTGAAAGCAATAACAAAGTGTTGATGAGAAGCTCTGATATCCAGGAGGGGCTTTGAGTAGAGCTGTTGCTCCTCCAGCAGCAACTCGTTGTTGCACGTGAGACGTGGTCCTTTTCTACCTCGCCGTTTGTGACATCACAAAAGGGCACTTTTTGAAACGGCCTGTCTCAGGCACATAAATACTACTGACTAAAACCGACGGAAAACTGACTCATGGGATTTTTTGCGTTTAGAGTGCTGATGGAGGCAGCGGAGACCCAGATGGCTGCATGAAATAATGCGATTTCAGAATGGCTGTGTTCTCATTGCCTAAAGTGCAAAGAGGCCACTGATGATGTAACCGATGCGAAAATGAAGCCGTTTAGGATCCAGAATGAGCTGAATGTCTGTGGAGGAATTTGATGTTCGTGTGTTTGGCCGGTCTTCCTGGCTGTGGGGCATTCAGCGTCTCAAACCAACAAATGAAGCTGTTTAAAGATTGTTTTTCAAGCTTTTTTCAAAAGACTTCAAACACATGAATGTTCGTCTTTTATTGCACACTCATTCCAACAATTTTCAAAGTTCAAACTTTTGCTTTTAGAAGTTTGTTCCATACAGGATGTGACCTCTGACCCCTCAGTTATATATCACTCATGCAGTAGCATCTGCCTCTCCTCTACACAACCACTCAAACCAGCATTAAACACACGATCGTATCTGTTTTTGTGGCTTTCATTCCACTTTACTCCTCTTACAGATATCCGACACAATTAACGGACTGCAGCTCTCCGTCTCTGGCCCCCTCTCCTCGATGGAGGAGCTGTTTTCCGGCAGTAAACCCTTCTTGGTGTCGACGCGGAACTGCCGGAGGTTATCTGAGAATGTGATCAACCTCCTGTCCTCCATCTCTCTGGCTCGGTCCAGCGTGGAGGCAGGTCTGCTGGGGAACGACAGCAGCATCAGCGGGGCGTCCATCATTCCTCTGACGCCGGTCCCTCCCTCGGTGGCTCCCACGGTGGTGCCTACCAGCAACCTACTCCCAAACCCCTTCTCGCCTGGCTGGGCAGCTAACACGCTGATGGTCAATGAGGACTACAGGTGAGGCCTTTCAACACTTCATTTTGATGCACTTGTAAGAACTTTATTGTGTTTGGCTCAATTAAAACGTGACTTGTTCAGATTTAGTGAAAAACCCAAACACCCACAAATCTGATGTTATTTTTAAATCAACTTTGCCAACCAGCAGCAAATAATCAGACTCAGCAATGAAATATCCAGTCTGTGGATTTAAATGATTTATTTTTAACTAATGGAGCATTTTCTTAAGGTGATCCGGAGCAGATCAAGCAGAAAACATCAACGCATATTCCAATTAGTCACCTGCACCTGATGTGAAAGGTCAAGCCAAAACAAAACAAGCCTGTTTATTTTGTTCACTAGTTTAAAATGCAAACTACCCGCATGCAGATGGATTCCTGAATGGCCTCTGTTTGGAGCAAAAGCATTTATGTCCTGTAGGACCGATGAGCTAACGGCTAGTCCAAAGCACGTTGCTGCAGTTTTAAAACATCTCTAATTCCCCAAATTTCATTGCAATGAATGCGGTTATTTTGTGAGCCTTTGCTTGCCCATCAGCTTTCATATTCTAGCTATTTACGGACATCGGCGGCTTTTCATGCATGCAGGGATCAAATCCTGCAGGAGTTTCTTAAAGCGTAACTGGTCTTCGATCTGCCACAACTAATTTCAAACACGTTACTCTGATTATTCAGGTTTTTTTTAAAGACTATGTGTTGTAAGAATGTGGTCAGAAACGGGAAATACCCTAAATCTATCGACAAACGTCAACATTAGCAGCTAGCTCCTTTTTATGTTGAGAAATTTTAATCTTTGGCTTTAATTCATGTCCAACATCAGTTAAGATAGTTCCAAATAGATCTCTAATACTTGTTTATTATATATTTATTGTTAATTCTGATTTAATAAAATCCTGTTTTCAACCTGAACTCATCCACATTCTGTTCCTCTGTCGCTAAAGCAGATATCCTTTCTTAAAGGGGACATATTACACAAAACTCACCGTTTGCATAATTTTTTTTTTTTGCTGCCACAGGACTCTCTGCTACCTCTCAAAACACTCCAAATGTGAAAAAAGATACATTTGTTTTCTGTTACTGTTTGGGATCATGTGTCTAAAACAAGCAATGTAGAAAAGTCCCCGTTTGTGATGTCACAAACGGGAAAATTAGCACAGAACCACCCATCAACTACAAAGAGCTGCTACTGGGGGAGTAGCGGCTCTCCTATGAGCTCCTCAGCTGGTAGCAGCCTGAGTGGGTGGTGGGTGGGCGTGGCCAGATTCAGCTTATTTTCTTAAAGTGACAGAACCTTGAAAAGGCTCATTCTGGAAGGAACTGAAAATGTCAAGATTTAAACAGCTGAAATCGCTTTGTGTGAGAGGGATTCAGTGCGAAGAACTTCATAAACATGTTTTCTATAGATAATAGAACTATTATAACTTAAGAGAGAAGTCGTTTGTCTCCTGTAAATGTTTCAGGTGCAGATTTATTGAATTACAAGATGATTATCCCCTAAATGGGCCGTTTTTACATTCTGTTTAATTAAAGGCTTTTAGTGAATGAATGCCACATCGTTTTGCATGTAAATGATTTTTCTTGCGTAAGAATAAAACACAACTTACTTTTTAAAGTAAAGAAAATGAATAAAGTTTGGCTCCCTCACCAATGAGCTTTAAAATGAAAGAGAAGTCTCATCTGGGGAGACTGATTGCTGATTCAGACGAATCAATTTAGCTATATTGTTATTTTTTACCTGTTTGTGAGTCTTAACTCACTAAAGTAAGACAGCAGCTTCTCCCCTCAGATCAAAGTCGGAGAAAGAGCCAGAAATCAAAATGTTTTTTACAAAGAAATGTCATTAACCCGGTGGGATAAAATGACTCAAATTGTTGGTTTAAATGCAATCAGATGCATTAAAAAGGAAAACTAGAGTACTAATGCAGTACTAATAACATTAAACACATCTGCGTTGTGTTTTCTAGGTGGTTGTCATACGTGTTGCTGCTGCTGCTTGACCTCATCATTTGTCTGTTCATCCTGCTGGGACTGGCCAAACAGGCCCGCTGGCTGCTCATCCTGTGAGTAAAACCTCCCCGCGGAGACCACGCGGGCGGCTCTGGACCCGTCCGTTTGGCTGAGCCGTGTTTGTGTTCCCCACAGGATGACCGTGCTGGCCTGGCTGGCTCTCTTCCTAAGCTGGGGCTCGCTGGGTTTGGAGACGGCCACTGTGGTGGTGAGTAGATCCAGAAAACCCCGCTGTCATGAGCAGACCAGGGGCTGCAGGAGAAGAACCATGTGTGTGTGTGTGTGTGTGTGTGTGTGTGTGTGTGTGTGTGTGTGTGTGTGTGTGTGTGTGTGTGTGTGTGTGTGTGTGTGTGTGTGTGCGCCCATTGTGCTACACTGTGAAAAAACCTGCCTCACAGGGGAGTGCTGCAGTCGTGGCAGAGGCCCAAGAAGGCAGGAAAATGGGTCAGAGATTAAAGATTCAATGAGCGTGTGCACGTTTGTGAACAAAGTGAGCGCTCTTGCGCCGCAGTGCGTGTTTTACACGGATGTGCGCTTGCTAGTTTGTGGGCGTTTTGAGAAGGAAAGCAGCGTGACGAAGCGCAGGACTGTCGGCGAGAGCGAGGAGCAGGCAGAGTGCATCCTGGGATGACTTTTGAGAGACGGAACAATCCGCTGCGTCTGCGCCTCCGACCTGAGCAATCAGACGGAGCGTGCTCAAGTAAAACTATAATCTCCTGAAAGGTGCATTTGGTTTCACGAGGTCCAGCTGTGCTGTCCACACTGTGCATGTTTATCCCTGCAGAAGGCGACGCTCTGTTTGCAGTTATGAAGTGTGCTCATTCTCCCCTCTTTCATAAGAGGAGGATCGCGGGGCTTTTCTCTTCAATGCCATTCATTTGAAGAGTCTCTGTGTCATGAGGGGCCGGCGGGAGATGTCCCAAAGCCCGGCGGGCCGCACAGAGCTGCTCTGTCCTCGGGTCATTAACAGGAAAACAATGAGCCGGCTGTCAGCCTGCTCACTGCTCTTCCAGTCAGGCACCAGGCTCTGCATGTGGCGTTTGCTCCCTCTTCTGGTGGGGAGATCTCCAGCTACAGCGGAGCTTCAAAAGTGCACACAGAATTGATTAAAGAAGAGGAAAACAAGGTTAAAAGAGGGGATGATGCCACGGAAATAGAACAGACAACACGTGATGCCACCAGATCAGTATGTCAGACATCTGCAGAAGTGTGTCAGTCGGTCAGTGTGTTCACTCGTTGGCTTTTTCAGTTGATTTAATGGATATCGAGCCACGGTGCTGCTAGCTGAGAGTCACATAAACGTCATGGCTGTCTCCTGGCTGGCTCGCCATTTGTAATGAATTAAATTACAGGTTATTTAGGCCCTGTCCACACGTAGCCGGGGATCTGCCAAAACGTAGATATTTTTCTACGTTTTGGCCTGTCGTCCACACGAAAACTGAGTTTTTTCACACGAAAACAGATCTTTTTAAAAACTCCGGCCAAAGTGAAGATCTGCGTTTTCTCCGTTTTGGGTGTCTGCGTGTGGACAGACAAAACCGGAGTTTTAAGGTCCGCAACGTCACTTTCCGCGACAAAAAATGCTGACATCACGTGTGCGACCTGTGTTTACACTAGCCGACAGCATGGATGCCCTCAGAGCTGCGCTCTGTCACTACCCGATCCATCAATTGTCCAAGCACTTTTTGCTTGTTTGTTTTTGCAAGCGGAATTACTGCTCCTTGCGGAAGACCACAGACGAAGGACGAGGTTAAGAACGGGGGAAGTACTGCCGCCTACAGGTCTGGCATGTCCTTAACAACGTATTTATCCGGGTACGTGTGGACAGAGTTATTTTTAAAAACGCGGTGGTGTGGATGCAAGTTTTTGGAGGGGCGGATATTCGTTTTTAAAAAACCCCGGCTACGTGTGGACTAGGCCTTAATAAGCCATAAGTCGTCGGATTCCATAGGAAATATGAACTCCACCTTATGGACCTGTGAGGTTATTTGAACCAGAAGATTGGATCTTTTTATTGCAGGGATTAGAAAACAGCTTCGTATTCACTGAGAGACGACAGAAGAGAGAGAGTCAAGTTTAAAAGTTAAGAATTTTATTACTAATGAATTAAACTAGACTGACTTTAAACACTACATGATGTGTGGTGTAACTAAGGTGGATGAGGCGGTGAATGGATGACGTGTGATGTTGGTCAGAACCAGCAAATCCGAAGAAGCGATTAGTTCTGATGGGAGCTGAAGGTGATGTCTTCGCTTTAAGCTTTGGTTAGGAGGTTCATAAACACATTCAACGCCATTACGTCGGCCTACGTACCCTTTTGGAAGTCCCCGTTAGATCAGGAATGTCGAGGTCCAGCTTGACCTTTTGTGGAACCGAGCCGGTAGGAAAAGCAGCGGTTGCCGACCAGACCAGTCTGTGAGATACTTCCGGGTCACGACAATTTTACTGGCGTCAGGTGAGACCCGAACCTGGGTCGTGATGGTTCAGCTTTTATTCTGAAAGGAACCGTTGCAGCAGTTGGAACAGCAACAGATTTTATCCAGCTTGTCGTTGGTTCTTTCGGCTGAAGAGGAAAGTTACGGATTGGCCACTCCGACAACTTCTCCAGAATACTTTGAACTGGCGTTAGAGATGAAGTGGGCATAGTTTTATACTTCGGATGTTTTGGTTTATGGTCGAATGAAAAGTTGACAGATTTACCAAGCACCACCAAAACCACGCCTCCGTCAGATCTGTCAGATTCTGATTGGATCGGTGAAAGTAATGTGTCATGTCTTTTAACGCTCCGTGAAATCAGTCCTGTTGGAACATTTAAAGTCATAGTACCTTTATATTCTATAGGATTATAATAAAGTAATTAATATTTTGATTTCACAGATTGGTCACATCTTATTTATTGACTAACACTTTGATGGATCAGCTTTATTAAAATAGAGTTATTTGATTAATTAAAAGAAAAGAGTCCATTCTTCATTCTTCTGTTGAGCTGAAAAGAAGCAGGTTAGAAGCAAATGCATGAGACCTTGAGACCATATCTCATGCAGACTAGTTCTGTGTCAGAGGAGGGGGAAAACAGTCATTTCATTCTGTTACATAGAACTGACCAAAACAACTAAAACTCCATCATCTCCTGCTCCTTCCTTCAGGCTCTCAGTGATTTCTGCTCAGATCCAAACACGTTCGTCCTGAACTCCACCCAGTTCAGCGCGGGCACCAGCTCAGGTACGGCAGCTTGTTTTCCCTCCTGATTTAGCTCCTGAAACCGCGTCAGTCAGCAGAATCGAACAGAGCGACGGGTGAATGCGGCTTTGTGTTTCACGCACCCTGATCTTTTGTCTTCTGCTGAACATCCAGATGTGTTGGATTATTACCTGACCTGCAGCCGGCGCATGACCAGTCCATTCCAGCAGGTAAAGTGACCGCTCGCACTCACGTGCACATGCATCAGCCTGCAGGTTCTCGCTCTGAGGGGCGGGGTGGGGGTGGGGGGTGGGGGGGGGGCAGGAGGGGATGGGGAGTTGCATCTACCAAAAAACATATGACGATACAGATGAGCAGTAGTCTAAAAATGTGGTTCTGAACTGTGCTGCTTCCGGTTCTGGATTTAGCTGCTGACCCAGTCGCAGAGAGCGCTGTCGAACATCCACACACACCTCTCCAGTCTGGACAGAAACGCTCTCCCGCAGTTCCCCAAGGCCCAGGTAGGAAGTCATTCCTGCACACTTGAAAGCCGTCGTAGGAATTGTTTCCACCTTCAGCACATTTGTGCTTTGTGCAGAAATCCCTCAGGGAGGTTCAGCAGATCCTCAACTCCACAGAAGGCAACTTCCACCAGCTGGTGGCGCTGCTCAACTGCCGGGGTCTCAATAAGGTAACTGCAGCTGTTCACCTGAAGAGCTGCTGTGTCGTCTTCTGAAATGGACTCATCGTGTGTGTTTACGGGCTGTTTTGGGTCAGGACTACATCGACTCCCTAAAAGGCCTGTGTTACGATGGGATGGAGGGACTGCTCTACCTTTCTCTTTACTCGTTCCTCTCAGCATTGGCCTTCACTGCCATCCTTTGCTCTTTGCCTGGAGCCTGGAGGAGCTTCCCCAGGTAAAAGCAGTGTGTGTGTGTGTGTGTGTGTGTGTGTGTGTGTGTGTGTGTGTGTGTGTGTGTGTGTGTGTGTGTGTGTGTGTGTGTGTGTGTGTGTGTGTGTGTGTGGCACAGCGATCATAAAGTACAGTGCCTGGTACATTACCATACTGTGGTTCATTACAGGGTTATAGCAGCAGAGTTACAGAAGTTCAAAAGTTAAAGGGGCATTATGGAAGTTTGACAGCCAAAACATGTATAGAAATAATAAATTTCTTCTTCATACGTTCTCCTGACCTGAATTGGAATGTTTATTATGTGGTGTGCCTTGAGACGACTCCTGTCGTGATTTGGCGCTATATAAATAAACTTGAATTGAATCCTGCAATGCCCTGGTCCTGTAGAATGAGCCCTGGCATTTTTACTGTGATTGCCTGTTTTTCTGTAAAATCACAGAAAAAGAGAGATGCTCGGGTCGAGCAGGCTGCTTCATGCGCGTTCACGCTCAGGCATCGCCCGTAGCATTTGCTATCCGTAGCTTTAGCAGCAGAGAGAGAGGCAGTGCCACTTTGTCGCTGTTCCTAACGCCTAGTGACAAAGCTAGCTACATTTCTGAGGACCCTTAGCTACTTTCTGTAGAACTTTCTTCTAGATATTTCCTGCTAATTAGCAACAAAATAGCCATTTTCACTCCGAACCGTTCTTTGGTTTGACGTTGTTTCAGCTGTCATCAAGGATATAAAAGTTACAGATACTGTGAATGTTACTAGAGTGTAGCTCACCTAGTAAGACATTGGACTCCGTGCAGAAGACCTGGGTTCGATTCTGGATGTGAACATAGTTTATTTAGAGTTTCTTTTTCAAATTAATGGTATATTTTTTTACAGTAAGATGCCCAAATTTTTATTTGAGACTCGTCGAACGGCGTTGAATTCACAGATAAAAAAGATGTGGGTTCAACTTTCATTTTGGAACAATTTTTCAAGCAAGGGAAGGGAATGATCTGAGCATGCAGGAGGACTGACCCATCATAAACCTTTGTCGGCTGTGCTGAAGAGAAAGGTACAGAACCAAATTATTCAATTAATTAGCTGCGCGTTCTCCTGTCCTCTGTCCTCCGGGCCACACACACACACACACACACACACACACACACACACACACACACACACACACACACACACACACACACACACACACACGGGACTGTCTCAGCTGTAATTTTTGTTAAGGAGTGTGCACGTCCAGCATGCACGCCTTGTGCACGAGACTACTATTGAAGCTGTCGTTACGCTTTTAGCCTGAGGGGGCAATCGCGAGCATAAACATTCAAAAGTCCGTAAAGTCCCTTTAAACAGAAGCTTTCAAAAAGAACAAAACGAAAATAAACAAACAGGAAATTCGAAAAGAAATGATGAGCAGCAAACGGGTCAATAAGCGATTTTCAAATATGTAAAATGTGGTAAAAATGTTCTTAACCGAATGTAAAATGAGACAAAATGACTAAAATTGGATAAAGTTTTCACCATAATAAACACAGATGAAAGATGCATAAATGAAAATACAACAGAACAAATAAAAACAATTATATACATACATAATATAAACCGGTGTTATTTTGCTGCTTTCACAAAAGCTTTTTTTTTCTCTTTTTTTTTTCCATGGACGTCGACAGCGAATCAGAGGACTACGACGACTCGGACAGCGAGAGTGAGGACCCCTTCACCTCCCATCAGGCACGTAGACAGGCGTCCTCGGGGTCTCAGCGAGGGGCCATGGCCCCCTTCTATAATTACCCGGGGGCCGGGTGGACACCCCCCTTTTCTAGTGCGCCGCCCCTCCCGTGAGTAACACAGACTCTCAGACACACAGACAGACAGACAGACAGACGGAGCATCCTGCCGGCCCTTTAAGAAAACACCAAAACACAGAGACTGGCTGAGGATCTTTGTGCAAACACAGTTTTCATAGTGAAAAAGTCCAGCGTGAAATCATGTTTGCTCCCTTCGAAGCACGAAGCTTTCACACTGATAAACTGATACGTAGACGCTGGATGTCACGCTACACGCTTCACACGAGGGAGATTAGATGGTCTGAGTACCTGTGTTACACACACACACACACACACACACACACACACACACACGCAGGATTAGGCCACCACCACCATGAGCACACGAACTGCAGACAGACACACAGACAGGTCACTGTGAGGTCGAGTGTAGGCAGAGAAACAGACACACGTCCAGAGGTCTGTCTGTCTGTCTGTCTGTGTGTCTGTCTATCCGTCTGTCGGGTGTTTCAGGACAGACGATGTAGGCCGCTCGGACATTTCCTCTTTCAAACGGCGTCCTGTCTCCTGAGCAGCAGTTTGTCCTCTACTGCTGTGCGGGGGTCAGGGGGGAGGCGGCGCTCGTAAAATCTCCAGCAATGTGAGGCTCAGGGTGACGATAGGTAATCCCCCCCCACCCACCTGTCTCTGACACACACCCGCCGCCCCCTTCTGCGTCTGTGTCCTCACCGTGGTGTCCACACGACTCTCCGTTTTAAAACCAAACACAACCAGCCCCCGTGCTGCTGCCTCCTTCCTGCTGACTCCTGCTTCCTGATGTGTTCTCCCTGTTCTCCTCCTCCTCCTCCTCCTCCTCACCGAAGACAAAAGCATAGCTAGTGCTCTCCTAACTAACACTAACACACTGACACAAGAGTACTGACAACTGTGCACTGAAACACAGTCCAGCCCCTGAGATGAAGCCTGCTTTAAAAAGCTCTCTGGGTTTTATCGTGCAGATAAACAAGTTCATTAGAGAAACTTTTGCAGTGGAGATGTGACTGTTGAGTCAGGATTAAATGCACGTAATTGCAGATTATTGTAATAATCCCCACGTGCATCAGCCATGAGTGGACTGTGGGTCTGCTGGAGCTCCTACTCAGGGCAGCTAGCTCTAAAGCACCACCAGTTCTTTTGAGTGCTGCGCTTTTCTGCACCTTCATTTCTAATCACTCTTTCTTCTTTTGTCCTTGGGTCCCGTCGCCCCACGGCCTCTGTTCCCTCTGCCTTTCTGGATGTGTCTCACCTGTTTCCCTCTCTCCTTAATCCTCCTCTCCCTCCCTCTTCTGTCCTTGTCTCTTTCTGTCTCCACACAGGACTCCAAACGTTTCCTCCAATGGCAACCCTGGCTATGAGAGCCTACCCCTGACCGACAGGCAGTCCCCACCCCCCTCTGTGAGTTCCTCTGTACTTGTGACGCCATCTTGACCCGTGACGTGGTTTTTCCCGTTGCCGTTGATGCCGATTCTCCGTGTGATGACCGGTAGCCGAACGCGATACCGAGCCCTCAACCTCACCGTGGTTTTGAAAAGCAAAATATGCCAAAATGTGGAAAAAGAGTTTGAATGATGGGAAGCTCATCATGGGAAGCTCATGGAAGCTGATGGGAACAACCTCAGTTTGGAGAGTTTGTTTCTGATCGGATTGACGAGCTAAAGGCTAGTCAGACCAGGACCATGAGAAAAATGTAGGAGCCGGCATCTCATCACAACATCTCAAAACTGTTGCAGCAGATCACGCAAACACACTTTTAGAAGTGGGATCAAGTCGCACATAAATTAACTCTTGGCTCAGATTAAGTCCTAATCTGGAGTCAGACCCAAGTCCTCAATTTGAATTTTCAATTCAAAAGAAGACATTTGTTGACATATTCATAATAAATGCTAGAGGCCGACCGATATGGTTTTTTTTAAGGCCGATACCGATTTTTAAAGATTTTTGGTGTCGATGGCCGATATACATGTTTTAGCAGCACATTGATTGTGAAAGACAAGTGAACACTCACTGTGTGCAACATAAATTAAATAAGTCAATGAATCTCTTCATATCATTGTACTTCAAGTATAAAACAAACTCAGAACATTTTATAAAACGGTGTGTTGGGGTCCTTCGGGTCCTTTCTTCAGTAGTGGCGGCAGTTGGCCACACAGGTGCCTGACTTTTTTTAATCGGCCCTTAAAAATGTTTTTTGGCCGATATAGATAAAAATGCAGCTCTCCAGGAGCTTCCCTCTGTTGGAGCTGGAGGTCAGATCACGTCTTGTTGAATAAACTTAACGAGCGCGGCTTCGATTGCAACAAAAAGCAAGTTATGTCCGTGATAAACGGAAATCCGCAGCAGTGCGGAGACCGCCCCCATACCCCCTTCATGCCACCATCGCGTATGTTGCGCGACACTACTGCCACGGTCTGACCACTTATAAACGACCTACGTCTCCCTGATGCCGCCATGGTGTTGCGGCAAATTGATGGCATTGTTCTGTTAAAACAGCGTAGAAAAAATAAATGCCTTGTAAGTCGTACTCTGGGGAAAACGCTCAGAAGTGCCTTTATCAGCACAGAGAACTCAGCCAGAGGAGAAAGTAGCTTCAGACGACAGGATACTGAGTCTTACTTCCTGACATTTCTGACATCTCTCCTTTGATTGGCTTACAGCAACACAACTCTACCACTGACTCTGGTTGCTCTGCTACGTTGATGCTTTATTTCCACAAATAACACAAGCCTGGAGGAGTTCTGCTGTGTGCTGAAGTTGCTAATGCCAACGGTTAGCTTCTACTTGCCGAGACGTTCTCTGCTGTTTCCTGGTTAAAATGCAGGAGATAGGTGTAGGAGACTATTTTCATGTTCAGCCTGCATGAAACACTCAAGAGTGACCTGTTAGAATCAGAAATAATCATTTAAACGTGATTTTTTTTAGTTTTCCACACCTTTAAATGATTGTGTGTAAGATATTTTAGATTTTAGTATTTTGACCTGTAGTATGATTCAGTCAGAGTAACCTCAGTTTGGAGAAATGGGGAGAAGTTCCTAAAAGACTAAAATCAGAGCATCATTTTAAAGTATCAAGATGCTAAAATGTATCCTAACAGTTCTGGTGGCCATGTTGTTCTTGTATGCTTTTTTTGCAGTTCATTAATTTTGCTATGCTAACTGTGTGCAGACTCCCTCAGGAATTGTTCCAGCTTCTCCACTAAGAGTCTTTCTCCTGGTTTTTAGACATTTCCTCATCTTCAGAAGAATGCACAATTGTCTTAAATATTGCTTTTGTTCACAGCCTGCAGTTGTTTTTGCGTTAAAGTAGCTTAATAATGCTATCTGACCCTTTGCTATGACATAAAGTAGGTTATCCTTCATAATTTATATTTCCCCTAAGCCCCTACCGTGGCCGCTACAGCAAAACAAATTATTTACGTGACCCTGGAGCATTGACCAAATCGAGCTGTGTCCACAAGAGGGCGCTGTTAATCGAGAATGTTCCCAGCATGCACTACAGGGTGATGCAAAGTGAGCTTAGCACACCAACCTAGCTTGAACTCGATCTGCTTTGAATTAATAACTGTGGCAGAGGAGGGAGATGAATGAAGATATATTCATCATTGTTGTGTTGGAGCTAAGTGTAGCGTGGCGGTCAACCGTACGCTACGGCAGACTATTGTTTTAGCCTGTTGTAGCGTTAGCAGGGGCGTGCTAGCATCGCGAGTGCCGTCTTCCTATGGCTCCTGCAGAACCCGATGAAGGCCGAGGAGATAATTCAGCAGTTAGATGTGTGTCTGAGCAGGAACATATCCAAAACATGACTTGTCCGTTAGCAGTAGACTATTTGTGTACACATTCAGCTCCTTCCAGAAGGGGAGGGGGAACAGGGGCGGGAGCTATTGCCGTTCAAATTTCACCACTCCCCCATGACATCACGCCAGCTTTAAAGAGCAAGTCACCCCCTACCAGAGTATTACTCCACTCCCACTTCCTGTTTGAAAAATGCAACAAATGCTGTTGCCTAGCAGACTGAGAGGACGGAGCCACTAACAAATACACACACAGGCTCACAATGACATTGTGACATCATATGGTACCAGCTAACATTCTAGGGTACCTCTTAGCCAATAGCGATGGCAGATTTAAATTCAAATGCAGTGCAGAGTTTTTACCTGACAACGGCACAACACTGACAGTTTTAGGCAGAAAATTACAATTTTAACTAAAATGCACTAAAGAGCAAAACTATTGACTAAACGTGTCTGCAGCACGATTAGACACACATTTATATAGTTTATCAGAAAAAATAAGTTGATTTGGGGGTGACTTGCTCTTTAAATCTTTACAGTGGTTCAACAAAAGTTAGTTGTACTGGTTTTACTCTTGTATGTGAAAATAACGTTTCTTTTGTCCCACTTTTACTTTCTCCACATGGTTTGGGATCGCCCCGGCCTCCGTCCTGACGACTGACCTCACGCTTCGTGGAAGCGCAGTACTCTCCCAGCATGCTGACTGGTTACGGGGGGAATCAATCACACCCTAACCCCCCTCATTCGAGGAACCTGTATTCACGTTGAAAAATGTTATTTTTTTGTTTGTTTTTTTGTTAGAAAATGTATAGAAAAAAAGTTTAGTTTTCATATAAATGGACACTTTAATGAAATAAAAAAGAGGAAACTAATCTAAATAAAACGAATGCTAGATGTGAATTCAAAGTGCGTAACATCTGAACCACTGAAAACAATTAACAAAAGCACTTAAAAAGGAAGGACTGCTCATGTTTCCCAGCTGTTGTGTTGCTGGTTGTTTGTGCGAAGATACGAATCGAGGCCTCTCGGCCGAACGTCTCTCCTCCTTTCGATGTCCGAAACTCTGTGTAAACTGTGAACAGTGGTGACGCAAGTCAGAATGGTACTGATGTGACTACGTTGTAGTTTTATATTCTTACATGTATCTGTATCACCGAGTTATTCTCATGTTTTTATATGAATATTGTGAAGAGAAAAAAAAAAACACCGGCACGTAGCAACACGATACATCGTTTTTGTTTCTGTGAATGGTTCTGCAGTTCTTTTGTTTTTTTATGATGACTTTTTATAGGTGGCAATTCTGTATTTCTCTTTTCCAGTGGTACGCTTGTATGTTTCACTGTTGACAGCATCTCGATAATCTTGAATCATTGTTGGGAACAAAATAAAAAAAATGACTAGGGCTACTGAGACCCTGGGTGTTTCTCAATGTCAAGGCGCCTTGCCTTGCGAGGCGATGTCCTGCGAGGCCACTGTCCTTCCTTGGTCAAAGAAAATGGTTAAATGGAACAGACTTGCATCACGCGACCGCGGCTTCCACGGCGGTAACGTCACGTGACACGGGAGATAACGTTATATTTTATATGTATTAGTTTCAATATAAATATATAACGAGCCTTTTACTTTTTAAATTGTGTATATGTTTATTAAATTAAAAATATAAGCGAGTTACTACCCGCTAGTCACCGAAGCTGCAACTACTAAGCAACTAACCAACCATAGATAACTTCTTTGGATCTAAAAAAAAAAAAAAAAACATTTTAAATTAGCTGACTTACTTTTAAACTTGAAAATTGTCCCCGAAGTAGCTACCGCCTTCTGATCCATTGTTCTTTTGAAAATACCGCGGTGTATTGTGGGTAATTTTAGACCAAGTCTAGGCTACAAGACACCTCTCGTGTATCCTTGCTTAGCTAGCTAAACGGCTAACAAACGGAGACACAATACACCGCGGTATTTTCAAAAGGACGACGGATCAGAAGCCGGCAGCTACTTCGGGAACAATTTTCAAGTTTAAAAATAAGTCGGCTAATTTAAAATGTTTTTTTTTTAGATCCAAAGAAGTTATCTATGGTTGGTTAGTTGCTTAGCTGCAGCTTCTGTGACTAGCGGGTAGTAACTCGCATATATTTTTAATTTAATAAACATATACACAATTTAAAAAGTAAAAGGCTCGTTATATATTTATATTGAAACTAATAATTTAACTGTTTTCTTAGACCAAGGAAGGACATAGTCCTTGTAAGGCGCCTGGCCTTGTGAGGCCAGGCGCCTTGACATTGAGAAACACCACCTGTTGAAAATGGAGAACTACAACTTCCACATCAGTATTGAGAGAAGATAACTACAAATCCCAATGCAAGGACAGCAAGTACATAGCAATAGGATCCTTGCTACTGGTGCTGCAGTAGCTCTACTATAACGAGCAATAATGACTATGTACAGCATCGGGTTTCTGACATCTCTCCAACATGTGTGTATATATGGTACAGTCTGAGATTTCCATCCCTCCTTTACCAACTTAACCCTAGAATTGAGTTTGTACGGTTATCAATGCCCCTTTTGAATGGCATCCTTTTACACTCAAGAGTCTAATATAAATAAAAACTTCAATAACCTGACAACAGTTTGGATTTGTTCTAAAGAGTCAGAAATACACAAAGGCTTTAAAACTTTATTATAAATAAGCAACAACATTATGAACCTTTACGGCTCAGGTGTGTGTTAGTCACTAGTGTGTGTCAGAGACGATGCTCCTCACTACTCGGGATATGCATAGTTCAACAGGCGAGATAAAACACACATTAATACGTCAGACAGTCACAGAAACGTTAGTATTTTTTGCAATAGTCTACATTTCAGCAGCCGCCATCGTAAACAAGAGACGTGAAACCTGGATCAGCTTCGCATTGGATTTAAAGAGCAAGTCACCCCCTACCAGAGTTACTCCACTCCCACTTCCTGTTTGAAAAATGCAACAGATGCTGTTGCCTAGCAGACCGAGAGGGCGGAGCCACTAACAAATACACACACGCAGTCTCACAGCAACATTGTGACATCATATGGTACCATCTAAAGTTCTAGGGCACCTCTTAGCCAATAGCGATGGCAGATATAAATTCAAATGCAGTGCAGAGTTTTTACCTGACAACGGCTCAACACTGACAGTTTTAGGCAGAAAATTTAAATTTTAACTAAAATGCACAAAAGTGCAAAACTTGACTACACATGTCTGCGGCACGATTAGACACGCATTTATATAGTTTATCAGGAAAAAAAAGGTTGATTTGGGGGTGACTTGCTCTTTAATGTTAGATTCTGATGCGTTCCAGGCTCTGGTGTTTCCAATGAGTTTCTGAACACCAAAACAAACAAACAAAAGAAACAATGAAAAAGGTAAATAAAAACATTTCCGGTGTTCTTCATTTCACCTGGGAGCTGCACTACCACCAGGTTTGTGATTTCACTGCGAATAAAACCAGGTCACATCTGAGGACAAGCCAACGCTACAAAATCCAGTTTCTAATTTCATAAATTTCTCAAATTCAGAATCTGCTTCGTTGTGCAGACCTCAGGTGTTACTGTTCAAATACCTGTGCCTGTTTGAATAAAAAAACAAAAGACAGATCACGAATCTCTGTAGTGCATAGAAGGCTACCAACATGGACGCGGGGTCAAACCGGGCAGCTGCTGGACTCAGGTGAGCTAACGTAACCGTTAGCATCCATATGACGACTCAACTTCACCTCAAACCAGATATACGTGGCTTTTTATTCACACACCGCATCTGCTGTGAGCAGTTAGGTCATTTTTCACTGAATTCTGCAAAAAACACTCTTAAACCAAGGTACCAGGAGGATGTGGGTCAAACCAGAGGCTGTCACAATCAAAAACGTCTTCCTCTCAGGAGGAAACTTTAGCCGCTGCTTCTCTTTGGAATTCTCTCTCAAACGTGGTGCGGATATTAAATGTATTTCAGTGCATTCCCTGAAGGAAACCTCTTGAAAAATTAAAGAGGAGATACTGTAGTTTACTCCCTCCCGAGCTACACAAAGGCATCACTTCTCGAGGTTGTCCGAGTTCAGCCACGAACCGTCCTCCTCCACCTCCCGCTGGACAACGAGGAGCATCTCCGCCACATCCTGAGAAAGCTGTTCGCTGAGAAACGTGCTGCAAGAAGGGACAAGAGTGGAAAATGTTACAGCTGGGCACACAGCGACGAGTCAGTGTCCAGAGGGGTGAGGTAACCCCCGCGTGGGGATGACTCACGGCTGAGACACAGTTCAAGCAGCAGGCGAGGGCCAAGGCTTGATCTAATTCAGAGCAGGTGACATGGAGCGCCTACCATAGCTCCGCCTCTCCCCCGATGCAGACGGGACTCTTCAGTTTGGAGTCCAGGTTGTAGTACTGTCCACTAACCTGCCGGACCGCGAGCCAGTGCCGCCGCCGGAGAGGGAGGGACACAATGCCCAAAGACACCCGTGACGGGACGTTGAGGATGAAACCCTGAACCTTTGACATGCAGAGGCTCTGAATGGTCCTGGAATTGTTCAAAAGAATGAGTTCAGCAGGATAAATAATAGTAATGCCCAGAATCAAAACTCCCTCTCACCTGCGTTTATCCCACCACACCGCAGCCAGTTCCCTGCTCTGCAGCGCCGCCATAATGACGTTAACGTCATAGTTCCCCGTGCCTAACACGGACCGGTGAGGATTAACCACACATTGTGGAGCCAACCTGTAGAGACGTCAAGAAGATCAGAAGATCCGCCGCCCACCAAGAACAGCTGAAATCAGATGGAGTACATTTTGTGCCTAAAAACTAGGAATGGATCGATATATCGGATAGATCGATATATATCGGTCAGTCCGATACAAGATTGATCAAGAAATCGGGACAATATTTACCATTTTTTGATATATTGGCATCAGCTGATTTACCTCCTTAGCAAAGCCGATTTAATAATAATAATAAAATATTTTATTTGTAACGCACTTTACATTTCAATGAAATCTCAAAGAGATAGCTCAAAGATTAACAGCCAGGCACATCCCTGGGCAGCCTGGTGCTGATGCTGAATTAACTTTAAATGTATATTTACGTTCCTGAATAACATCTGCATAAAAAATGCTCACAAAATTATTTTCGACTAGAGGTCGACTGATATTGATTTTTCTATTGCCTACACCGAGATGTAGGAGACATGGTCAGCCAATAGCCGATTTCTAGACTTTTCTTTTTATGTTGCAGGGTACTTAAAGAGCAAGTCACCCCCAAAACAACTTTCTTTTTCTGATAAACGACAAAAATGCGTGACTAATCGTGCTGCAGACACGCGTAGTCAATAGTTTTGCACTTTAGTGCATTTTAGTTCAAATTTTAATTTTCTGCCTAAAACTGTCAGTGTTGTGCCATTGTCAGGTAAAAACTTTGCACCGCATTTGAATTAAAATCTGCCATCGCTATTGGCTAAGAGGTACCCTAGAACGTTAGCTGGTACTATATGATGTCACAATGTCGTTGTGAGCCTGTGTGTGTGTGTGTGTGTGTGTGTGTGTGTGTGTGTATTTGTTAGCGGCTCCGCTCTCTCGGTCTGCTAGGCAACAGCATTTGTTGCATTTTTCAAACAGGAAGTGGGAGTTGAGTAAGATCAGGTAGGGGGTGACTTGCTCTTTAATATGCAGATGTTATTAGTGAATGTAAAACTACATTTAAATGAAATTCAGCAACAGCACCGGACTCCCCAAGGATGTGCCAGACTTTAAATCTGCTTTACTAATAACAAATATCGGCGAATGCTGATATATATATATATATATATATATATATATATATATATATAAAATTAAAAAGAACGGTAAATATCGGTCTCTACTCCTATTTTCTTTAACAGTTTTGAATTTTTAATACTTGATCAGATAAGTAATTTGTTTGATTGACTTTGGTTAGACGTCTGATTTTAACACTGAGCCGTGCACAAAATTCATTTTTAACACTTGCTTAAATTCAGTGTTCAAAAACTGATTCAGCGTCACAAATTTTGTGCATCAAATTATGTCATTAGTGACATCTGAGAATGAAAAAAATGGTGGAAAACATCTAGATATCGGCCCAAAAAATTGGCAATACTTATTGGCCATTGGCTGACCATGATCTCTACAAATCAGCAACAGATAAACCAATACTGGTCGACCTCTACTAAAATCCTCTCAATACGTGTTTGTTTACTGGTGCATTGGCTGTTTGCTTGCCAAAAGCCGCTACGATTATGACTCGATGGCTCGTGTTTTAATTAGGTTAATGGCAGACAATGTAAAGAGTGGCCTCTTTAAAAACAAAGCCCATATCTGTACGAAACAGCACCGCTGCTGTTTCCCCTCCAGGTTACTCTTGTTTTTCACAACAGTGATTTTTTTATGTGATGCAGCAAATCCGTTTAAGTCTGCTTCAAGCTCGTGGAAGCCTGAATGGCATTTACAACAGTTTTAGGCCAATTTTTTTGTTTTTATCAAATTTTCTTGCCTGAAATTAATCATCCTGTAGGTCAAACCCCCTAAAATAACTAGTTGGATTAATAAAAGCTCACAGAAAACGTGTTTTCATAGCGACAGCCAGTCTGTGATAAGACTGGTAGCGCAGATTTAAAGCAAGGCACATCCGTGGGCAGCCCCGTGCTGCTGTCAAATTTCATCTAAATCTATACTTACGTTCCTGAAAAACACCAGCTTTATAAATGCTCTAAAGCATTATCGTCTAACGGCAATATTTTTAAATTTATTTACCTGTTTTGTAGTTTAATTTGTTTATTTGTTTGATTAACTTTGGTTAATAGCTTGAGTTTAACTCATTCACTGCCAATGACGACTAAAGTCATCATTTTAGATCCAACCGTTTACTGCAAATGACGACTTTAGTCTTCATTTGCATTATTTTACTGTTTGAGCATCGGAACGAGCCCCCGCGCTGAGAGAACAAACATCTCAGCCCTGAAGCCGATCTTCATCCGCATACGTCACACGTCACGTGATCAGGAAGCAGAAAATCTATGTGTTAGGAGATCGTTTAGGCCTGTTCCTGTAAAAAAAAGTGAGGCGCGAACCGGAAAAGCGTCTGCCGATCATAATTCAACAACGGATTATGAAAGAACGGATAACGCTCGAAACACGCGGATTCTTCCCGATGTAAGAGGTGAGTCTCCTCTTTGTTTTGGCGTCGACATCATCCTAGCGCGCAATGTTCTGTGACTCTTAAAAAAACAGTAAAAAACGGTGAGAAACGCTGGCAGCGAAGTCCGTTAGCGATCAGGAAACGGCTGGCAGTGAATGAGTTAATACTTGGCAATGCACAAAATTAATAATCATGAGTCGGTTAAACTCTGTTCAGAGAGTAGCTCAGAAATGTTGAGCACCTATTGTTTGAAAATGACATTTTAACATCGAGACAAGTCCGAAAACATCTAAATATCGGTATCAGTTGGAGAAACCCACATCGGTCGATCTTTAACCAGAATCTTGGTTCTACCTTTTGAGTCATTGGTGGAAAGAGAGATTTACAGTAAAAGTCGACTGAAGTACAAGAAAACCCATCTTTTCTCTGTTTCTGGAGCTAAGAGGAGCAGCTGACTGTTGCGTCTCCAGTAAACACGCTGGAACATTCCCATACCGTTTACAGATGTCATCGGCGGTCTCCTTGGTAAACACTCGCTCCTGGAGCACGTTGTTGAGTGCGTGAATCGCACACAGCTCCAAGCGTTGCTTCTCGTGAAACACTTCTCCTTCGTTCATACTTCAAAACAGAATAAATACCGTTGTCGATCAAAATAAACATCATTACAGGCAACCATGCCGCTAGTTAGTATCTGCTTACTCACTCGTCCCTGTGCCTCCCAATGATTCTTCTCTCTGTTTGGCTGCCGATGGTTAGAAAAAGAGCGGCACGGTGACCTGTTAATAATCAACAACAGCCAAATAAAGCCACCGACCTGCTGATGAAGCAAGTCCCCGAAACGATGCTGGAGTCTGGTGGCTACATCCAGAAACCGGAAGTAGCGCCCTTGTTGTGTTGTGTTGTTGATTAGATGACTTCACATATGCATCCAGTCTTAAATAAGTAAACAACATGCGTAGATTAGATTCCGTTTAACCTATGAGAACCGAAAATAACGTAAAATTAGCGGTGCAAACAGCTTATTTTATGGGTTTCAAACGAGAAGTGCTAACGTATTCCAACGGGTTGAAATAAACGGTGACGTTGTGCTACAGCGCCCTCTAGTGGTCATGATTAGAAACGGGCGCATTACTAGAGGTGGTGATAAAATATTACAAATGTGGTCCTGGCTCATAAAAAACACCCTAACTACACATAACTGCGTGTTAATCCGCCACATAACTACACTCTTATGAATCGCACACAGTACAGTTTTCATTGGCATGTTTTGTATTGAATGAGCTTCAACTCTTCCTGATTAGATTTAACACATGACTGTTGTTTTTCAGTGACTGTAGAGCACTGAACCATGATTAGAATGATGAACAACACATTTGAACTATTAGATTATCCAATTGAAAATTATGGATAGGCAGTATCTTTGGTTTTCAAAAACAAAAACGTTCTCCTTCATAAGTAATATAAATGTCAGCGACAACATGTGTAATGACACGAAATCAATAGAATACATTACATTTTCAAAAGTAAAAATTATCACTGTCTGTTACTTTTATGTATAACAACTTCTTTAATGTATTTTTCAACACTTTTATTGTATTTATCATTTATGCATTTTATCTTATTTTATTCTAGATAAGCATCTATCTATCTATCTATCTATCTATCTATCTATCTATCTATCTATCTAGCTGATATATTGGATATGACAATGAATATGTTAGTACTTATGTGAATAAAGAATAGTAAATGTATAGTTATCTGCCCCAAATGTAATGTCTAACTTAAAAAAACAGTTCGTGTTTTAATAATCAAACGTATTCTGATCATTAAAAAATTCGTGAAATCCACAAATCCTTTAGTAAATGTATTTGTTGCGTTCTGAACTAACAGGGAACATTTTAACTCCACCTTCCCGGAGCACCGCCAGCGTGTGCTGACATAAAAAGGGTGCCGATCCATTATTAATCAAGGGCGTGTTTTTTTTTCTTTTCAAAATGACCAATAGCTGATTGGTATCAGTCCTGTTTCGGCGCGGTTTGGCTGATTGTGCTCCTACTGATGACGTAACAGAAATACTCTATCTTGTTTGGCTGTAATCGTCTGACGCGTAATTTCACTAAAATGCCGATTGGTCAATGGCAGTAGCTTAAACTGAGAAACGTAATTTCGTTCCTGGGAAAAGAAGAAAACAAAAACAGTTAGACTGGACTAAGTTTTCAACCAAGATTGTATTTCTTTTCGAACTTTATTAGAAAACACGTTTTTTTTATCTGACACCAGGCGGACATTTATCACCTCAACAGATCTCTTTTTCGAAGATGGTAAGACTTAGCATCATGCTAACAGCTAACGGTTGCCTAGCTTGAGTCGATGTTAAGTCGTCGAAACATTTTCTTTATTATTTGAGTTTTGACTATTTTATATGTATTCCGGTAGTTGTTGAGAAAAGAACCTTCATTTTAAAACCTATCCAACGTCTTTAGTATAACTAATATTGGAATAAAATAACAAGAAGCGTTGAGGTTACCTGCTTAAAGCTAGGCTTGTAATGCTAGCTGTAACATAAATGTACTTAAGTTCATTTGATCGTTAGCGGACATTACAAACATTTGACTTATCTAAAGGTGTAGTTTTAAAAGACGCGTTCATACTGAGCTTGCCCTAAACGTGTTGATTGCTGAATTTGAAGTAACATTTCCAGATACTCAACAAGATGCGAACTAATGTGCCTTTTTTTGTATGAATATTATGGAAATAAAATAATGTTTTGCGTAGAAAACTTTCCTCTTTTATCTCCGTGTGAGATAAATAGTTCCCCAGCGAGGTTGTAAAACTGTTTTATCTGATTTAAACGATCAAAAATGACAATAAATTGGCAGAAAGACTGGCAAATAGGTAGAAACTTTGACACAATGCATTATTTTCACTTTAAACATCTTCTGTACGTTCATTTTGTGTATCTTTTTAAATACAATACAATTATTAATATTACTAATATTGTTTAGTTTTTGTCTATGCATAATTTTAAGTGTAACTTCTGATATTTCGTGTTTATTTATTAAAAAATTCAAATTAGCAAAGCAAACAGTCATTTATGACGTGCATTATTGAGTTAAAGCCAGTTTAACGTTGGTCATCAACAGTGTAAAGGTGAAATTTATATATTTTATTTAAAAATATTGTTTCATGTTTAGAAATTCAGTGTTCATACCGAACCTCTTTAGTGCTAAGTCGTTGCTCTGTCTCTCCTCAGAACTCTAATGTCGAGAATTTGCCCCCTCATGTTCTGCGTTTGGTCTACAAAGAGGTTTCCGCTTTAGCAGCAGACCCACCTGAGGGCATCAAGATTTATCCCAGTGAAGAAGACATAACTGAACTCCACACGTCCATTGAAGGACCAGGTAACAGTCAGGATGCAACAAAAACTAAACATCTGTTATTGTTAGTTTAGTTTGATTATCTTACACACTTCCCATTTCAGTTGGTTAAAGAGACAGTGTGTAGTTTTTACTAGGGATGCACGATATATCAGCATTAATATCAGTATCGGCCAATGTTAGTCATTTTTTAACATAGCGACATCAGTCTGACAAGTAAAACTGGGCCGGTATTAACAAACAATATTTTTTCCATCTTGTTTCTGTTTGTGTATCTGTTTCCGAGGGTAAGGGGGGTGATGATGTGTAATTGTTTAGTCCTGTGACAGTGAAGGTAACAGATAAATGTGTGTTTATATAATATATTGCCAATTCCACTTAACAGAAATGAAGCAAAACATTCAAAAATTCAGCTTGCATAATTTCAGTCTATACAAAAGTAGCTGATTTCAGAAGCATAAATCAGTATCGCAAACATCTGTTATCGGCCGTAACGGTGATATTAATATCGGTCCAAAAAATTCATATCGGTGCATCCCTAGTTTTTACTGTTAATCTCTGAAAAAATCCATCAAAACTTTATTGAAAATAAATAAAGTTATGTCCAGTCGTTGAAAAGTATTGGCGGCTTTGTACCACAAACCCATAAGGTAGTTCTCATAGGGTTTGGTGTTTATTGGGGACACCTTGTTTCCTTCTGGCTGGCTCGGCGTCCTGTGCCTGTTGATGACGTCACACTAGATGAATGGCTGACTCACAGAAGTTGCGTTACCACGTTCACAAGCATTTAGGCAGTAAGAAACACAAATTTAATAACAAAACTGCTAAACTCTTTCCAAAACATATGTGGAAGAACAGAATCGAAAAAGAGATGCAGTATATTTTGACCGCGCAGTATTGTCGTAGCAGGTGCAGGGCCCCGAGAAGATCCGGAAAGTACAGAGTAGGGCTGCTCAATTAATCAAATTTTAACCCCAATTACGATCTGAGTTTTTAACGATTGTACAAACAAAACAAGCCGATTATTTGCTCCTCCCACTTGCGCTGCCCTGAGTTGCAAATGAAGCGCTCCTCCGTGTTGCCAACTTAGTGACTTTGACGCTATTTCTAACAGCTTTTCAGACCCCCTTCTTGACTTTTTAAATCCTAAAAGTACCTAGTGAACACCTCAGAAACATCTCTGGTAACCCTTAGCTACTTTCTGGATAACTGTCGTCGACATTTCTGCAGGTTAGCTAAACACTCCGCCTGCGCTCCGGACCGTTCTTCAGGACATTAGGAAAGGGAATGATGTAGTGATGTGTTGGTCGCTAAAGAAACGGCTCTCGGAGTCGGCTCCTTGTTGGAGTAACTAGAGTGAGTGACACACACACCGCACCTGCGGACTCCTGAGCCGCTAAAAATGGCTAAATGTGCACGTGCGGCGCGCTAAACACACGTGCATCTTGCCCATGATTGCTGTGAGACCGGGTTGGGGGGTGGGGGGGTGCAGCTGTGGTTGGGACAGTTATTACATTAACTGATGGACTTGTAAATAAATAGTTCATAAATAAGGTAGAAATAAGTTCCTCACACTGATAACTAATAACTAACCTCTCTGAGGACACGGTGCTAGTGCACTCTCCTACAGCACCTTGACACGACTAAATGTTACGCAACATTTTGTGAACATCAATTTATTTGCATTAATTTGTTATAAATGCCGCTGTATAATTCTTGCTGTCAGTATTTGCAAGATATTGGTATTTGGGTCTGTACTGGATAGACTTAAATGAGTTAAACCAAGGTCTATAGCCCTTGGGTCATAAACTATGAGCTATTTGGTCTTTTTATTCTGGGAATCAGGAGTTATTTTAGTGATCATCTTGTTTCTTTTTTATTTTTGTCCTGATTGTGCCCTGAGCATTTTATGACTGAATAAAAACAAATAAAATCAACATAAATTGAAAAATTGCCTTAAATAATCGAGATCTCGATTTCAGTCACAATAATCGTGATTTTTATTTTTGCCATAATCGAGCAGCCCTAGTACAGCACCAGGAAACTACACGTTGCATGCCTGTTATGGAGTTGAATGAGTCTGAGAAATCGTGCAGAGGTCGCTCGTTTTCGGCTCCACAGGGAACAACGTTTACCGTAATGTTTTAAACTAGCGTCACTGACAGTGATATGGTGTAAAACTACCCTGAAATGTATGTACTGCCCCCTAGTGGCAGGAGACAGCACACCGCCACTTTCTACCACTAGCTGGCTCCTGTTTGGCTTCATCTACTCGTTTGGAAAGTGGCTCTTTTCTCCCACGAAGCACAAATAATGTTTCAGAACTCTAAAATCAGTGGTCTCCATGTTTTCATTCCTGCAAATATGCAGTCATTTACTCTTCTTATCTAATTACTTCTATTATAAATGTTTACATCTGTTTTTGTCCAGAAATCATGAAAATATTTGTTTTTCTCCTGAGCTGCAGATCCGTGATCCTGCCCTTTAATTTTAGTTTGGGCTTGGCTTACTCGGGCCACGCTGTTCGCGCAATGAATTCTTTATGCTTTGACAGAGGGAACTCCGTTTGCTGGTGGCATTTTCCGAATGCGTCTGGTCCTCGGGAAGGACTTCCCTGCTGTTCCGCCCAAGGGGTATTTCCTGACCAAGATTTTTCACCCCAACGTGGGTCACAAGGGAGAGATCTGTGTCAACGTGCTGAAGAGGGACTGGAAAGCAGAACTTGGCCTCAGACATGTCTTACTTGTAAGCTCGATTGTCAGTTTGTCCTTTTTCGGAGCATAATGCTCTCTGACACCATCTATCTCTTCCTTTTCCCTCCAATAGACCATCAAGTGTCTTCTCATCCATCCGAACCCCGAATCTGCTCTGAACGAAGAAGCGGGGCGCTTGCTTTTGGAGGATTACGCGGAATACGAGTCTCGAGCCCGTCTCCTGACAGAAATCCACGCTCTGGGTGCGTCCGGAGCGCCTCAGGACCCTAACGACGGCCCACAGCCGAAGAAACACGCTGGCGACCCCACAAAGAGAGCGGGCGACCCCACAAAGAGAGCGGGCCCCAGCGCAGCGGCGGTACCGGCAGCTCTGGGTAATGGAGCTAATGGGGCCAGTACCACCAGCAGCAATAGTAGTAGCATAAATAATGTAGCAGGAAAAAAGAAAGCGGATAAAAAGCGGGCGCTGAGGCGACTTTAATACCTCCACGTGAAAGTGGTGTGAGAGTGTGAGTGTAAATATATAAATTTGTTCCCTTTTCTGACTATTTTCCACTCGAGTCCAGAGTTTGTAACCGTTTTGTTTTGTTTGAACTCGTCTCTTTGCCCTACAGGCTCGTCACTTATGTCCATACCCGAAGACACGAGAATGAAATGCTCTACTTTAAAAAATCCTGCCGTCGTGTTCCGTCGGCGTAATTGGATGAAATGACACCGCTTTCACTCTTGTCCCCTAAAGGACAGAAGTCCTCGTCTTAAACTCTCTAGTCTGTTTGTCTGAAGTGTTTCTTGCTGCTGTGATGGTACCGTGTACCGCGCAGCCTGCCTTGCTCTTGGCTCTCAACCAGGATAAATCCACTTGAAAGGATTTTATGTTCAACATCGCTAAACGAGATCAGGTCCCAAAGGGTTAAAAAGGCATTTTGCTGTTGTTCAAAACAAGTGACAACTTTTTGTAAAGTGTATTTTTTAACGTTTTGATTTGATGTAGTAAAGGTTTGGAAAAAGTTAACGGCGGATTTTTTTCCCTGTCCGGTCTTTCTCCACCTGCTCGTGATCAGCCGGCGGGAGGGAGCTGCAGGTTCTTCATCTTAAACAGCCGAGCATAACCATGTGTGGTTTGTGTCTACTACCTCTGCTTCCTACAGGCAGGGCGAGCTCTCCAACAGCCACGTCGTGGAGAAAGCATCCATGTTTGCTTAGATTTGTCTCCAGCCATCACACACAGGCAGGGTTTCTCGGGCACACTTCCTCTGAGTGCATGCAGAGCCTAAACGGAGGAAAAATGGTGCCTCTTGAAACTCGTTATGAATGGAAATTTGTCCATTTTTAAAATTTATTTAAATTAATAAAACCTTGAAATACCAGAAGTGATTCAAAGTCCCGTTCCTTGTTGTGTTTGGTGCTTTAATGTCTCTTATTGATGCAGAAGAAGAAGCAGGGCGATGCTTTGGTCTGGAGCGGTCTCCTGTTATGGAATAACCATTATGAGGAGAGGCTAATTGCGTCCACCCCAGCAGAGCAGTGAGCGAAAGTGCAGACATGCAGCAGCCCACCCACCTGAGTGGAATAGCAGCCTGCCTGCGTGCAGTTACCAGGGCCTTCGGAGACACCTGGGGCTGCAGAAGCCCCTTCCTGGTAGTGATGACGTCCTCCAGCACCTGCTCTCCACCTCTTTTGCATAATCTGGATCTGAAACATTTCTGATTTCGTTTCATTCACGTGCTGCAGATCCGAAGCACTGACAGATGATGTCATGCATCTCTCCTCACGCGGCCTCCACCTAGACGCATCTGAATGTTCGGTGCAGGTCTGAGCCCAACTGACAGTTTCGTTCGCGCTCCGGTGTTGAAGCTTTTGCGCCTGCAGTCCACTCCCCTCACCCGTTTTCATCGCTTTCATAATTGCCACCAACATAATGACACAGTTGCTGTGGCAACCGTGTCTGTCTCCTTCTCTCCTCCTCGCGCGCGCACACTCGCAGGAAAATAACACTCCCGGGATCGCTGAGGTTGTCAGTTCAAATCCTGCTCATTTTTCCAAGTTGTTGGTAAAATTTTCTCAGATTTTGTTTAATTGGAGTTTGATGACAAAAGTAAAATCCCTGCTAGTGACTCGCGTCGGGTGACTCGTGCGAAAGGGGGATTAAGTGAAGGGGAGAGGAGCTGATCGCCACCAGTTGAACGGGCCTGATCGGTACCGAGTCTCGCCTCTGACGGACCAATCACAGCGCTCCCCCGCTGGCGGACCTCCATGAGGCCAGGCGCAGTTCGGTATACAGGAACCCAAACCGGAGGAGAACCAGCTCCACTTGGCTCCAGCTTTCACAAAGTTCCATTTAGCGCCACGTTTTGGGACGTTGCGCAAATTATTTGCGTCTTCTCTCCGATTCTAACAGACATTTCCGTTGCAGAGTGCTTTTTTCTTATTTTTATTTTCTGGGGGGACGAATTCACGTTTTAGAAACAAAACGCCTCTGACTTATTTCATTATACTTTTATTTACTCCTGTGGTGGATTACCAACATTTTGATGCACACGCAACAAAAGTGATCGGCAGCCCTTAAAAACACACAGGTGTCAGATCTCGCAGCAGCTCAGTCTGTCCTCATCATCATCGTCTCCTGCTACAATAACAGGCTGCCGTCTGAGAGACGCGGAGACGGTGCGCAGGCTCTCCAGCATCAGACCCCAGCGCGACGCACAGGTAAGACACGACATCCTGCACATTTTCACCAGCGCAACACGCATTCAAACCCTAAAACGGGTCGCTACTTAATTTTGCGGCCGTGTCTGTGCGGATTTGGGAGTTTTGGCTCGACGCGCCAGCTGATCCGGAGGCTGTCGAACTCAACATCTGGATGGAAAGATGCGCAAAACTCGTCACGTGTGGCTTTAATTTGCTCTTCTTAAACGTAATAAATGAAAACTGACAACATACTGCGAAATTATTAATGTAATGGGAGCACTGGCACACACACATAGACTATACAGGCGCGCGCGCGCTCTCTGGCACGGATACACCCCCGCACTTTTAGCCAGCTGAAATGCAAGTCATGTCCGTAAACCCGCATGTTTGCTCGTTGCGGGCTGCTACTTGTTGGAGGATGTCCAGACCGGGTCGGCTGGTGATGCACGCGCGCATTGCGCAGCATTTATTCTCTGGTCAGACTTAAAGCATCCGCGCGGTGATCAAGCACATTCTGCATCCTCACGCATTCTTACAGGAATCTCGTTTGTTTTCTGTCATCGATTCGAGCCACCGTGTTTTATAAACGGCGTGAGAAGAAGGAGGGGGGAAGTGGCCATTTTGTTTCATCCCCAGCAAACACCTGTTGGAGTGCTTGCAGGCTCAGAGGGCTTGACACGCATCCTGCAGAGGAAGCATCTGGTTTCAGGTTGATTGAAACGTGTTGGAATCGGATTTGTTCACCCCCTCTTTCCTGCATCCATCCTGGATCCATGCAGCTCAGCTCAGGGCCGCATCTTGTCAATGTGCTTCCATTAGGCCTCCACTGCATTGACTCAACACCACTAAAGAGGTTTCCTTCAGTAGCAGGATGGATCACATTTAATGTTTGAAATCGTTGAGGCAATGGCACCGGCATCCAAAGGCAGCATCGTGAGCCCAGAGATGGACAGATGTGACTTGTGATATTTGCCTAATGGGTGAAGATTGGATTCTGCCTCCCTTTTCTCTTTCAGAGCCTCTTTTTCACTCACACTCAGACAGAGAGCTGCATTGCTATTCTGAGAGAGTTAGCTGCCTCAGCCCACGCACCGAATCTGAGAAAGAGAGAAAGGCAGAACGAGGAAGAAAGAGGAGAAGGAGGGAGGCAGAGACTTTTCTACATGAAGGTTGCCAGGATGCCGACTGTATCCCTCAGATGCACTCACTCACACACACACACACACACACACACACACACACACACACACACACACACACACACACACACACACACACACACACACACGCACAAAGCCTCCTTTAGAGCTCCGTGTTCCAGCCTGTCTAACTGTTCTCGGTGCAGCTGATCTCCTGTGTGTGTGTGTGTGTGTGTGTGTGTGTGTGTGTGTGTGTGTGTGTGTGTGGCATGTGCAGATCCGTTGGGTTGGTGCTGTTTGTGTGATGTGTTATGTTGCATTGGTAAGTGCTGGGAGAAATGTGCTTGATTCTGTGCCGCCCACACACCGCCCTCCCACTCACGGTCGTCTCTGCATCTATACCTCTGGCTCTTCCCGCTCGCCACAATCTCCTCTGCTCATTTAAATCCCTACCCTGCATTTATCCCTCTGCGCTCTTTCCATTGTCGTCTTTTCGGGAGAAGAGAGTGTTCCTTCTGCAGCCAAACAAGCACACCAACACACACACACATGCACACACCTGCTGCTCTAGTGCAAAAACAACCATTCACATCTGCATCCACAAGCCAGAGCATGGACGCAATTTTCACTTTAGAAGTGGGGAGGGGGGGCACGGGGGGGGGGTGTCTTTACAGTATGCTCTAATGGGCAACCGGCTTCAACACAAACGGTTGTTTTCTGCTTGGTCCTAGAGCTCAACCAGTGTCAATTTAACATAACGTAATATTGTTTTTGGATGGTAAAAAGTGCAGGGGTCAAAACTTGACTTTGGAAAAAGTGGGGGGGACATGTCCCCCCTCTCCCCCCCCAAAAAATTACGTCCATGAGCCAGAGCACATTTGAGGGTGCACATCTAATCTAAGACTTGTTTGTTTGTGTTGCACGTTACAGATCTCACAAACCTGGACCTCAAGAAGAGAACCCCCCCTCCACCATCCTCTAAATCTCTGCTGGATCCTCCTAAAAAAACAAAAAACTCCTGCATTTGTTCTCATTTTCCCTCCTCTCGTCAGAAGGTTGGAGGAGCACACAACTTCAACAAGCGGAGCCCTCGCTGATTCCGTTTCTGCCCCCATCCGTGCCTACGTTCTCTGCCACAGATAGGGACGTTTTGATAATTACATATAATTATAATTTCTGTGGGAGACAGATCTGCCTCTGTCTATTATTGCTAGCACCTCCAGCACAATAACTTCACACATTTACATATTTCTCAACAAAAGTGATATTCTTTGAACCCCTCGGAGATGAAGCAGGAATAATTTTACTTCTAAGAGGGACGTGTCGCATGCAGAAGCAATGTGCCACTCAGCAAACATCTAATTAGGAGCACGGCTGAGTGACACGGGCGACGTTTTGTGCCCCGAAGTCGACTAAAATCATGGCTTTCGCCTCTTTTCGTGGCGTGTTTTACAGGCTGGGAGTCATCTTTTTTGGATGAAGCGAACTGCTGAAATTTTCCCTGTCGTTCCAGCCTTCTAGCACATAAGCAGAGCCTTTCTCATTATCACCCACAGTCCGGTCACAGTAACGGCCCGTGCCAGGCGAGCACAAGCCGATTCGGACAAACGGTGCGTCAGTGGAGAAGATGTCCTCCTCAGTAGGATAAGATCACGTTAATACACAAAACCGATCCATTTCAACAGAAAAGCACAAGAACGCCCTTCTTTTTTTTTTTTTAAATACATGGACTTGAGTCATTTATTTCCTTTGATGATAACTACCTACAGGTTAAATGAGTGCCCATTCTGAATGTACACACTGTCAGACTGAGGTAGACAATCGGGATTCAAGAAAACCGTACCACGCTCGGTAAAGCCACGTACAGGAAAGTCACGTTTTCCTAAATGAACACCTTTGCTACCACCTTTTACTGGATTTTATGATTAAAGACAAATAATTATTCATCACTTGTACGTTTCTTGACGGCTCATTTCTTCAGAGGGACGTGCAGGGTGAGCCAGTAGAGACAAAACTGTCTTCTACGATTCTAGAAACTAATCATTGACCCAGACGCAAAGATTTTACCGGTTTGGCCTTTTCTACTTTTATCACTCATGATTTATTTTTATAACTCCTAATTACACCATATAGATCGAACAGATCGTGACAAAAAACAAGATGGACTTTAACTGTTGCTGTCCAGTTTGTTGACTGAGACTCCACGAACGCCGTCCTGTGGGCTCTGGGAGCTACACGAACATTTCACATGACATTTTTGTGGGTTAAACTGCAAAAGCAGACGTGTCCCGACGACATTGAGTCAACATCAGAAAATAGATGTCTTAGTCATGTAAAAATGACGCCCACCACCAATCTCCGAGTCCTCGCCGTCTCCCTGCTCTCCCTGTTCGCCGCCCCACTCACCGCCGCTGTGGAGACCCCTTCGTTCCACCCCGGCCAGCACCTAGACCGCTCAGGGAGACCGTTCACCGAGCAGCCTGACTCCAGCACCTCCCTCCTGCTGCTCGCCATCCAGGCCAATGTCAGGCCGGCCGCCCTCCGAGGCAGATCCAAAACCCCCGAGAAGCTTCCTGAACATTCAGAGGGAGTCCTGGAGGATCCCCCGAGACCCCTGTACCAGGTGAATGTATCCTCACCGGAAACCGCCACACCCCGTTTCAGCGCGGCCCAGGTTGTTCCTCCTATGGAAGGATTTCCGGATGTTTGCTGGGGTTATTACGACGTGATGGGACACTTTGATAATCCGTTCAACTGCTCCAAGGACAGCTTCATCTACTGCTGTGGGACGTGCCACTACCGCTTCTGCTGTCCGGACCGAACCCGCAAGCTGGAGCAGGAAAACTGCAAAAACTATCACTCTCCAGACTGGGCCAAGACCGAGGCAAACGCCAACATCATAACAGAGGAGCTGAGTCCTGACCCAGGCTTCGATCCCCTGAAGATGCAGAGCCACAACACAGGCTTCATCATTGGAGGGGTCGTTGTGTTCATGGTGGCTGTGGTAGTGGGCATCAAGGTGATGTTCGACAAGGTGCAGCAGGAAGCCAACCAGAGGGACCTGAACATGCCCAGGTGAGAAGATCCGTGCACTTTCATCGTGTTTGGCTGTTCGATTTGTTGCAACATTTTATGCTTGAATGAGTCATGCAAGATGGGCTTTTAAGGCCAAAATCAGGGCTTAGAATAATGTAAAGGATGGGTCGTTTACATCTTACTTATGAACCATAAAATGTGAGATTCCATAGAAATATGAAATATCAATCTGATGGATCTTTGACTATTTTAACCAGATGATCAGAACTTTTTATTGCAGGGATTAAGCGACACTTCGTATTAACTCCGAGGAAAGTCAAGTCAAAGTCAAAGTCATTTATTGTCATTTCTACCACATGTGCAGGACATACAGAGAAACGAAATTGAGTTTCAGCACACACAATTCAAAGATCAGACATACGTGGGTAAGACACATAACAAGAATTGGTGATTGCGGTCATTCGCAACATGAGTCGCGCTACCTTAATAGATAGATGAAAAGGGTGTTACATGAGGATAAGTGGGGGTAGGTAAAAAAAAGGCATAGCAGAGTTAGCCCCAGCGGGGAGTAACTCTATTATACAAAAAAAAACTCCTTTAACATGGAAGCACAAACAGCACAGATACAACATCAGAGTCCGATAGGGAGGCGGGGATGGGCGGGATCCTGAAGCCTCCAATGGGAGCTGCCACTGCGGCGCATCGACCAGCTGCAGACCAACAGGTGGGAGGGAGAGATAAGGACCAGAGAGCACATTGAAGTTTCCCGCAGACGTCTCAATCTGAAGGAAGAGGGTGAAGGTCAGGACACAGCATCTGTCGGCATTCCTCCTTTCGTGGGGGTGTGTTGAGGCAGCCTTGAGAGGCTGCTATGGCGTCAGATAAGGATAAACATGACTTTGTTTGGGGCAGGCAGAGATAATTTTCCTCTCCGCCTTGGAGTCTCTAAGTGGTCATTCATGTCCACCAGTGAGCCAATTATACGTTCTAAACATCCCCGCATCGTCCGGCGACCCTCTCCGAGATCAAATCCATCTTGCGTACTATCACAGGCAATGCCGCGAGGACATTATCCAGCTTGTGGTTCACCTTGAGTAACGTCCCAGGAAAGAGAGAGAGTCAGGTTTATAATAGTTAAGAAATTTATTTCTACACAATTTAAACAAGACTAACTTTAACACTCTGTGTACTGATGGTCTAAGGTGGAGTGAGATGTGCGATGATGGTGTGTGTGTGTGTGGAATGTTGTTATCAGAACCAGCGGATCTGGAGAAGCATTTAGTTCTGAGTGGGAGTGAATGTTTCGCTCTAAACTTTAGTAGGAGATTTATAACACACATGAGACGCCATCTGTCGGTCTACGTACCCCAGGGGAAGCCTCTGTTAGATCCAGAATGCAGAGGTACTCAAGGACCCTCCTTGGTACCGAGGCCGGTAGAAAAGCAGCGGTGCCGACCAAACTAGTCTTGGAATGCTTCCAGGTCACGACAGGTTATCACTGGCGTCTCCGAGACCCTGAAGGGGTCGTGAGGTTCAGCTTTTATTCTGAAGGAACCGTTGCGGTCAGGTGTAACTTGCAACTGATTTTATCCAGCTTATCGAGGTTCTTTTGGCTGAAGAGGGAGTCCGGATGGCCGGTCTGAGACTTCTCTAGAACGCTTTGAACTAAAGAAAAGGTGGCGTGGGATAGTTTTTATAATTGTCATATTTTGGTTTACTGGAGAATCAGAATTTGACATGCAAAAGAGGTGTGTCATCACCTCGAACACATTCGAAGTCCAAGTGGCTGCGGCAGAAGTCACAAGCAGATTAATTCACTCAGAGTTTTATGACTTAAATCTAGAGGATGGTGATAATTTGAAGCACTGCATTTAAGCAATATTTTTAATGTTTTGGAGTTTTCTGAAAATGTTATTAAAATAATAAAATTTTACTTTTAACTCTGACAGTTTCACAAGCAACTGATCTAACGAGCTAGCGGCTAGTCCAATGACAAAGTGGACTGCTGCCATTGTAAAACATCTTCTGTTCGTACGTCGGTTCCTTCCCGTTGATTCACCTGGGTTTTGGGGACAGAAGCTCTAGCAGAGACACTCGTCCTCAACATGGAGATATAATCCTACTTATGTGTGTTGGGTCGCCCCGGGGACTTGCTGCCACCAGGACAGAAGCCTCAACCTGCTCCTCTACTGGCAAAACAACTTCAGTCTCCTCATCTTTCTCTTTCTCTCTTTATTTGTTTCATTCAAAGTGTTAAAAGAAAAAATATATATATATGTATATGTATACAAACAACAACAAAAAACATACATAACATGAACACCAAACAATTTGAATGAAAAGGGGCAGAAGGAAGAAATATCTTATATTATCTGCCCCTATTTACAACCCAAACTTTTTAATAATGCTTCCATACAATTCTCAATAAACAACAAAACAAAACGAAACACAGATTCATTTTATATTCTTGTAACTTACAGACCTAATCAGACACCAACTGAGTTTAGGTTATTGTAGTTCTGCAATACACTTGATTTTATAATTTTTAAATATATTTAGTGACTTTGATTCTTTCATGTCTTTGCTAAGGTTGTTCCATATTTTCACGCCATTTACAGAGATAATCGTTTCCTTCATTCTGGTTGTAAATTTCTGGTTTTTAAATACTTCAGTTCCTTTTAAGAAATAATTACTGACTCTTTGTTCAAACATTTTCTGAATGTTGGTGGGTAACGTATTGGTTTTCGCTTTATACGTTGTTTGCAATATTTTCATATTTACGACTAGATCATAAAATTTCAGTCGTTTATATCTGATGAATAACGGATTGGATGGATCTCTATAGTGAGTGTTATTAATGATTCTCAATGCTCTTTTCTGTAGAATAAAAGGTGGTTGTGTATGAGTTTTACATGTGGATCCCCATATTTCTACACAGTAAGTCAAGTATGGAACAATGAGTGAGTTATACAATGTCAGCAGTTCCAGAACTATTCAGTTAAAACTTAACTTTATGTAGTACTGCAATGGCTTTGGCAATTTTACCTCTGATATAACCTGTGTGTGACTTCCAGGTGATAGCTTCATCAAACACAACCCTTTGAGTGTCCATTCCATTTATTTTTATTGTTACGTCTTTGTTGTCTCTCTCAATAAACAATATAAAATGTGTTTAATTAAGATTCAGTGAAAGTCTGTTTATGTCAAACCAGTTGTTAACTTTCTTCAGTTCGTCATTTATCACTCTAGTTACTTCATTAATATCTGACCCTGACTAGAACAATGTTGTGTCATCAGCAAATAAAACAGTACCGAGTAGCTTAGATACACTTACAAGATCATTAATAAATGGTATGAACAGTTTAGGTCCAAGGACCGACCCTTGTGGCACACCATAATTAATCTCCCGCAGTTCTGATTTAGTGTTGTTTAGTTGGACACATTGTTTTCTATTATTCTCAAAAAGTGGTTAAAAAGTTCTATTTTATAACGTTAAATTGCTAATAATTGTATATCACACTGCTGATGACAGTGAATTTTGGTTATTTACAAATCCAAACATTAGCAGCAGTGGCTAGCATTAGCACCCCCCAGTGGAGCCTTGGACATTTCTGGTCCCGGCAGGTCGATGTCATGCCACAGATGACCAGGTCAGACTGGCCGGGGTTAGATATGAACTTATCTTCCTGCAGGTTCCAAGGGTGCAAAACAACAAGTGAAGTTGCCACCAGTGGTATGCTTCAATGTGAGTGTTTGGGTGACATGCTGCTCGAAGTGTTGCTTAAAAAAAGCTTCCCCCGGTCTCTCCCAGCAAGGTTTTTGGGACAATTTCGAGACAGAGAAGCTATGTTGCTGTGTATTGTGTGGTGGCTGAATTAAAGAATCCCCGCTGCCTCAGTTCTGTTTTTCCATCTCTCAAATACGACACAAAACAAACAACGGAACACATGTATATCTGTAAAGGTTTTCAAAATAAAGTTATCAGATTTTGGGGACTGAAGTGGCAGAAAACTCGCCTGGCAAGTCATCTTATATATGTGGATGTAGAGTCTGGCCATGACCCATAGAGAGAGCTCAGTCGTTGGGTGGAAGCTACGGTTATCTTTCAAACAGTCTCCGCATGCTATTGGACTAAGAACAACGTAACATACCCATCGCTATGGATGTCAGTCAAAAGGACGGACACCATACACTGTGGAAGAAGACACAAATACGCCCTTTTTCTAAATGAAGGGCTAAAGTGTCTCTATCCGTCCTTGAATCAAAGAAAAACCCAAGTCTAAATTGTCCGACGTTGATGCCAAATCTGTTTCAAATGTGCCGTCGCCATTTTAGTTTTGCTCAGTTGCAGTAACATCCTGCCCAATAAACCCATTGAGCCCTGTGATTGGCCCACCAAACTGATTGTGATTGGCCAGCCACAAGGCCTGGCCTGCTGGGCTCCAACGGAGCATGGCTAGACTGACATGCAGAGCAAAATCGTTTTACTTTGGCTACGGTCTGTCTACGTCTCTTGGCTAGCAGAAGTCCATTTTGGTCTTGGCCCTGCTCTAGCTACCATCATTACCACCGTTAGCTTATTAGTGTGACAGTGTGGGCGTCCTGTCACAGTGTCCCGATTGATCATGCGCCCTGGCTACTTGGCCAAAGGGATGCCCTTTTGGCTGACTGGTAAGCGCGCATGACTCTCACCCGGGAGACTGGGGATCGAATCCCGCCCGGGCCCTCGTTCCTCCACCTTGCCACATTAGTCAGTCAAAAATAAACTCTTTAGCTCCAAATTGGGGTCGTACAAAGTACTATCTACCGGTAAAACTCTCAGAAGCCAATTTCAAAAGATACGTAGGTAATGATTGGTCTGGTTTGTGTTCAGATTTATTTTCATACTCGTCAGGTGATGGTGAAAGATCAGTCATGACGTGCAGCACGTGAACTTTGTACTTTTGTCAGTACAAACAATTGTTTTGTTGTTAGCCAATTTCCTTTGTTCTTTCTGTGTGCCCTGCTCATTAGAGCTCTGGTTGACATGTTACGGCACCAGTCCAGCCCAGTCCAGCAGGACGAAAGAAACAACAGCGTGGCCCTGACGGTAGGGGACGGACAGGGGACAATAGGAAGAGCTCCCAAAAATCTTTATGCCCCTGGAGTGCCCAGCAAGGACAACAGATGTGAGTCTGTTTTCTATTCTAATTTGTTCTGTTCTTACTGAAAATAATTTTTTTTTTGAATGAACATGAATCAGAATGTCTTCATGTCGGTGCTGAAATGGATGCAAGCCTCATTTTCAAATGTAGAAATGTGAAAACTGCCTGGCATTCTTTTTCTGAGCTGATTTTCTTTTCTTTTGACTTACAGTGGGCAATCTGCAGCACAACTTCATCCACTCGTCAGGCTCCAGCCCCAAACACACTGCAACTATCGGTAAGGCAGCTGCTGAAAATCAGGGCTTCCGCGTAAATGACGTGTAATCACAGCGATTCTTCATTTACTTCATTCACCTACATCTGAAGCTCAAAAGTAGGCTCATTCATTTGAACAATAATAATGATTATCATTGCTCCGGTTGCTTGTGTTCGTGTTGAAAGCAAGTAGACATCAGTCTTTTTTTTCCAGTGAATGTTAGCAGATTCACACCCTGCTACGTGCGACGCGCTGCATCGATCCAGAGGAGCGAATCTCATTTAACACGCCGTCGTTTTCTCCCTGTGGTCTATGCAGAGCGCACCCCTCGGATGAACAATGCTCAGCTGGCAGCTGGAGGCACCCTGCTCTCCAGCAAACACAACAACACCAAATCCCAGCCTTCTTTCCACCACTCTCTGCACAACCTGGCCCAGCTGCCGCCCTCCTATGAGAGCGCCACCAAGCCGGAGCTCAACAGATACTCGTCGCTCAAACGCCTCGGTAAGTGCCTTGCTTCGCCTCAAATGAGACACCTTCTCACTCCCCTCAGAGTGCTGTTTCTGCAGCTGTTTGATAAGCGCTGGAGCACAGCGGCACACTTGATGCTAAAAGGCAGAATGCATCAATATGTACTCATGTTTTTGCTGTGATGAAGTAAACAAATCAGGGAAATATTGTTTGGCTTCCAGAGAAAGGTCTCGATGAGTACTCGTCTGGTTACTGCACCACCAAGCGTCGACCACACACAGCCCAGCCAGCTCTGCAGTCCTCCCAGCACCACCTCCACTGGGGTGGAGACTACACCCTCAGCGGGAGAGGAACCCTCCCCAGGCACGCAGCTCGCCCCTGGATCCCACCACCGCCCGCTGGCATGCCTGTCTCCCCCATGCCTGCCTCACCCACTCCCAATCCTTATCCGCTAGACCCTCCAGAGCCACAGTACAATCCCAACTACGATACTCTCTCGAAGCCAAGAAAAGTAAAGTCCTCTGACCAGTTGCTCAACATGGGCGACGTTCCAGGCAACACTGGGACCCTGTCCCGAATGTCAAAGAACCAGCAACACCAGTACTACAAAGCCATGGCTGCCTCTAACAAAAATTCCAACACACAAACCCTAACCAGGAAGACGCAGGACAGGCAGGAGAGACAGGAGAGGCAGGAGAGGCTGCTCATGTCCCCGGACCACTTGGAGGAGAGGATGGGGGTCGGTGGAATGGGTGTCGTAGACCCCTATGCCGCTCACACGGGAGGCATCGTCCCAACGCTGCCTCGCCAGCAGAAGGCCCAGTCGCAGCAGAACGTATGCGCCACGCCCTCCCTCGACCGGCACCACATGATCAAGATGAACTCTCACCCCACGTCCGGACGAGAGCAGGAGAGGAGCACGCCCACAACGGGGCAAATGAGCGGAGGAGGCATGGGTTGGACGGGCGTCGGGGAGATGCCCGGAGCAGGGGTCGTCGTGGGAACGGGAACGCTTGGAGGCCACAGTGCAAGGAGGATGGCTTTTGCAGCCAAAAGGCAGAACACCATTGAGCAGCTACATTTCATACCGGGTGGGGGTGGCGGCGGGTCAGCAGGAAGTGCAGGGGGCAGTCAGGGAATCAGGACAGGGAGTAAAAATGAGGTGACGGTGTAGTTTAGTCCTTAGATGTATGGGGAGTAGATCACCCTTCTGCATTTAACTATTAGATACAACAGCAAGAATTAACTCTAGAATAATACAGTAGTAACAGTTTCATGTGTTTAGTTGATTCTAATTAGCTTTCTCTAGTAACAAAATTAGCTGGAATACTTATAAAATTAAAGATCTTGGTGGGGAAACCTGCTCCCTGTTTGTGATAGCCTACATCAGCCATATTTTGTATCAGAGTTTGCCATATTGCCATAAACAGCAGTGCCATTATTCAAAGAAAGACTGACTGGATGAGTAAAAAAACAAAGGAGGGGTTGTTCATGGTTGAACTTTTATACATGTTTTTCAAAAAGTACTCAGGAGCCATATTACATAGGGAACCAGACATTCTAACAAAGGTTTTGATGATGCAGAAGACGGTGAGGAATACTTCATTGGAGGATTTCAGACAGCAGAGAAAACCACCTGGTCTTTCAATGATTTACTGAAGCTCGGAAGTCCAGAAGGGTCTCACAGACCATTGTGCCTGGTGAAAAGTTATTTTTTTTTGTGGAGATTTTACTTTCTCCTGAACAAACCTCATCCCGACACAGGGAGACTGAACTTGTTTTTTTCTTATGTAATCGAGTGGAGAAGGTGGAGGCTGTTTTCAGCAGTTTACCGTCAGATTATCCTACCTACATTAACAATCCAAATGCCTGGGTTGCCTAGATTTCCATGTGACCTTAGATTAAATCACCAGAAGAGACTCACACTCTGACCACTGTTACTCTACAGGATGCTGAAATGTGAAACCGATATTAGGCCATGTTAGGGATTGACGATGTTCCCAAATCAGGTCCTACCTGTAAAAACAGTGGCTTACCAAATAACGAAGAGCCATCAAGTGGTGATGTTACTCAAAAAAAAAAGCAGACACAAACGTATGGAATCCAGAGACTAAAGAGAAGCATTTCTTCACGTTTACCTATAAAGACGCAACTTGCCATGATGTAGGTTGTTTACGAAGAGCACAAAGAGGTTGCACTTACTCAACTGTCCTTCAAAGCCATTCATGGAGATTCAAAGGAACCATCATCGCCCTGGAAGCTGGTCTGACAATCACCACCTAGTTATTCTCACCAGGTGACACATTCTACCAAGTCAGCGATGTTTTGTACAGCTGAAGGATTGGCTTTGGAGAAAGCCAAAGAGGGACGGCGACCCGAGGTGTCGCGAGAGACTCGGAGGGTTTGGATGCCCTTCCCATCTTCAAGACAAAGACCTTGCTGTATCATAATGCACTTCAACCAGTATGAGTAAAACGAGAAAATATATTAAAAAGAAAAATAATCTTCATCAATAACAACGCTTATCAATACTAAGGGCTATCCAATCCTATATACTGTAGTATGTGATATCTGTGGTCCATATGAAATGCTATCTCTTTCTATTGATTTTGTGTTGATATTGTTATGACGTATTAAGTATTAATGTGTACAAAAAACGAGATAAAACAAGAGCAATTTAAGCACAGTTCAAAGACAAACACAGAGACACAACTTTGCACACATCAGTCCCCTGATATTTCCACCGGACACGAACGTTCTCCGTGTTCCTAAGGTTTACATCCACGGCTGAAGGTTCGACTTATCGATCAATGGAAGGTATTGCTTTGAGAGAGGATTACTATATTTTTTTTTCTATCAACTGAAATCTGAGGCATTTAACAGTTTGGCTTTCGCTCAGCCACACGAAAAGGATAAAGAGATGAGAAGCCGAAGAGCAGAAACACTGATTACATTTGGACAATCTTCCTATACACAGTGCTAAATGTAGTTGTTATAAATTTGATGGAGTGTTATGAATAATGATTATTATAACTGTTATGGTTATTATTAATAATTATCTTACGATGTGATGTTCTTTTACTTGGTGGGATTTAAGTGTTTATTGTTTTTTAGATAACGTGCATTTTCATGACTAGTTGGTTTTTCATACATCTGGTCATTAAAAGTTCTAAAAAATATATTCCAAATCTTGATGCATGCCAACTCCATTTCTCCATTGAGAGGCATTGACAGCATGCCTGGATTTATGAGGTCGTCAAAGCTTAAATAGCCAATTTTTCCAGCTGTATGTACTGTGCCTAGACATCAGCCTTATGACTCGTATGATCTCTCGTGATTAGGTTTCCACTCTGGTACAAAAACGTGTGTCGAACGACTCTGCAGCCTTCGAAATGTAGACAGACAAGGAAAAAGATGAGCCAGCAGCCTGATCCACTAACTTATCACAGGCTGCACGCACAAACCTACGATGCCATAATGTATGTATGTTCAGATGAATGTTTACTTCACAGATGGGGGATAAACAGAGGTCCAACGGCAACCTGAAAACGTTGAGTGCAGTGTCTTTTTCAGGGAAATAGGACAGACGACGTACAGTTGTATTCGATTTTTTTAATAGAGCCACAAAAAGGTCTGTAGCAAAGTCTGTAATAACTCACAAGCCATATCCATCGAAAGTCATCATCACAACTTTTATAAATGGTTAATCTAATTTGTGAAAGTATTGTATTTTGTATAGCTAGTACAATCAGAATATTTTGAGTGATCTCTTCGACATTAATTTGAGGATACGAAAATATAAAATCAGTGTCAGTATTTAATGAATTGTACAGTGCCAAAATCCTAACATTTTGTTGTCTTTTTATTCTCATAGCATCCTTGGTGGCTTTAGTTTTTTTTTTTCCTTTTTTTTTTTTCAAAATGGAGAACACATACACACCCAGGGATGCCACAAAGCTATTTGTTTTTTCTTTTCAGTGGTTGAAATGAATGAATATGGTGTGAGTTTTTACCATTATGAATTCATTTAGAGGGAGTGGATGCTTAGTGGCCACCTGGAATGGACAGGGACAGTGTCCAGTAGTGAAACTATGGATTTATTTTCATGCCAATAAATTTCAATACAACCCTTTTTTGGTTCTTGTTTATTGCATTGATCCCCTTGGAGACGACGGTGACAAAGAATTTGTATAGTAAAGCTGGTGGGAGAAATGTTTTTTGTTTCTATTTTATTTATTTTTTATTTACAGCATGAATTGTTATTGCTTTGTTTTAAAATTTAGGATATAATTAGGAGTTAATTTATAATGACTATGTTTCTTGTGAGTTTTTTCATAACTGATTGCCCACAATTTCTTCAGTTTTTTTACACAATTAAATTCAATTCAAGTTTATTTATAAAGCGCCAAATCACGACAAGAGTTGTCTCAAGGCACTTCACACAGTAAACGTTCCAATACAGGTCAGTTCATTAAGCCAATCAGTAAAACGTTTCCTATATAAGGAACCCAGAAAATTGTGTCGAGTCACTGACTAGTGTCAGAGTCTTTACAGCAATCCTCCTCCTAAACAAGCATGTAGCAACAGTGGAGAAGAAAACTCAGTTTTAACAGGAAGAAACCTCCAGAAAATTTAAATGAATAAGATGGTCTTGAAATCACTTTATTGTTTATAAAAAGAAAAATAACTACGTTTCTTTTTTAGACAGGTTTGCTTTAAAACATCTGAAGTTAATTGCTACGGGTGGCTGCACCACAAACACCACGTTCTGTCAAGATCTCTAAGCTAGGGAACCAGACCATTCCAATTTAAAAATTCCGACATACACTACAATGTATTATTCGAATAACTGTACCAGGAAGTAAAATTTATTTCCTGACAAAGTCATACAAAATGTGGATGATTTAAGTGTGTGTAAACAAGCACAACTCTGATGTATATGAGATAAGAGGTCAAACCAGAAGCTGTAGCGATACAAATAAACATTCATAAACAAAAAGTCTTCAGTGGACTAATTAGAATTGTATTAAAATGCTGTACAATGATAAATGACCCGCACTTGTATAGCGCCTCTCAGAGTAGGGACTCCAAAGCGCTTTACACTACAGTGTATCATTCACCCATTCACACACACATTCACACACTGATGGTGATGAGCTACAATGTAGCCACAGCTGCCCTGGGGCGCACTGACAGAGGCGAGGCTGCCGAGCACAGGCGCCACCAGACCCTCCGACCACCACCAGCAGGCAAGATGGGTTAAGTGTCTTGCCCAAGGACACAGCAGCAGAATTCTCTGTCCGGAGCCGGGATCGAACCTGCAACCTTCCGATTACCGGACAACCCGCTCACCCTGTTGAGCTACCCCTAACTGAGCTGTGAGGTATTATGAGATACAACAAGAGCGTGGATGACTGTACTTTTAGATTAAATTTACTGTAGATCCTCTGAACAGATATGGTGCTGCAGGTGAGGGACGTGCAGCTCATATTTTAAATCTCCTCTGAATACATTTATTAAACTGAGACATATGAAGGCTTAAATAATAGAGCAGGCGGTGCCCATTGTGCTGATGCATGCAGGTGGAAAATTAAACAGCATACACAAAGGACACAGACAATATTATACTGGAATCCAAAAGGGTTCGAACGAAGGCAACTGGACTTCTTTGGTTTCTTGAAGACGCTTCTCATTTGAGGAGCTTTGTCAATTCTGACTGGGAGATGTGAGGGTCAAGTTGGAGAAAATTCTTATTTTCTCTGAGACTCCTGCCATGTATGGAATGATGGTGCCCTTGTGCCTGTTGTCTGGAAAGGTCTGGAAATGAATTCACAGCAGTGACTAGCATTAAAAAAAAAAGGGACAACAATGACGCAGCGGCCTCAGATGCATTGAAGTTATTACAGTTTGCAAATTTTGTCTCCAGGAGGTTCCAGTGACTCTGAAAGGTATTTTTTTTGCACTCAAAATATTTTATTCTTTTGGGCTTTTTGTACCAAAATGGGCTGATTATACATCGTAGAATACAGAAGTCGTCATAGAATGATGCCATACATGATTGGTTGTTTTGGATTATTTAATACCATTCCCAATTCTAGCCATGCCTTTTCACTTTAATTACTCTTTCCAACACAGTGGGAAAACACTGAACAATCACACATAAATACAAAGACATATGGAATAATTGTATAGCGAAAAATGTGTTGCTTTTAAAAAATAATCCACTGTGAACAGCAGATTCTGTGCCAGCTTCATGAGATCGTCACCTGGAGCTTTCCCACTCATACAGAGGAAGTGCTTACACACTCTGGGCTGCCTCTCTCTCTCTCTCTCTCTCTCTCTCTCTCTCTCTCTCTCTCTCTCTCTCTCTCTCTCTCTCTCTCTCTCTCTCTCTCTCTCTCTCTCTCTCTCTCTCTCTCTCTCTCTCTCTCTCTCTCTCTCTCTCTCTCTCTCTCTCTCTCTCTCTCTCTCTCTCTCTCTCTCTCTCTCTCTCTCTCTCTCTCTCTCTCTCTCTCTCTCTCTCTCTCTCTCTCTCTCTCTCTCCTCTCTCTCTCTCTCTCCTCTCTCTCCTCTCTCTCTCTCTCTCTCTCTCTCTCTCTCGTCCCAGGAACCTCAAACCAGTTCAGATGGGTTCATATTTTGTGACTGTGACAATCTAGTTGTTTGAATAGTTTCTCACTCTTTGTCCAGCAGAGCCTGAAAGCACCATCACACCTCCTCCATACTCCAGAGTGGGAGACATGAATGCGGACACCATCGATTCTCTACTAATGTCCAATCTCTACGTTTCTGAACTTCTAGCATGTTTACTTTTCTTACAGGGTTTCCATTGTATGTGATTTTCTCAGTTGCGGTGATTTATTTTACTAAATAGGAGTAATATAAATTAGATTTTAAAATTTAATCTAATTTTTATTTTCAAAGTGAGTTCTATCCGGGTGTTTGGTGTACTTTTGTACTTGACAGAATTCAAAGGGCCTTGAAAAATTCTCGACCCACAGACCAACAAAAGATTATCCCAAACTGCTACATCTGGACAGATAATTATTTAGGGTTATTCATCTTAGAGAAGTGCAGAGGATTAAGTCCACCTGATTCCTAGTCATTCATCACAACAGATTTTCTAATATTGTGAGTTTTTCAAGGTCACACTTTCTTCTTGACGTCCTTTATTTCCGCATATATGAAGTCAAGTCTTTTGAGACCCTCAACCAACATTTTTAAGGGAAAACAGACCAGAAAACAACTTCTGAAGCCCCCTTTACTTAAATTCTTTATTTTTTCCATTTAGCTGCCTCATGAGTTGACCGGAGGGGAGGAGACTTAGAGAATGTTTATCATTGTTGGGGCGGTAGAAAAAGGGCCCCTGAACTACAGCTGAACAGCCAATCACATTTGGTCTCTATGGAGAAGTGGATACTTTTCTTTTGCCAATCCCACCACTAGAACATTACCTAACCCACACTTCCTGTTTAAAAAACGGACCAACAGGAGGTGTTGTGGCAGTAACTGACAGTAACGGACTGAGTCTCAGTATAGATCAGGATGTTCACTCGGAACCAGAAGCTCCACAGTTCACGTTTTATTTTGTTTTTATTGGAGATTCCAACAGGTAAACAAAAGCCCAAGACAGTCAGGAATCAACTCAGTGTGATGTAGGGACATTGGATTACACAAGTGTTTTTTTTTATAACACAGATTATTATGACCTCAAACCAGCAAGGGTAAGATTGAATTTACGCTTTTGACTTTATGAAATTAGCTTTGTTTGTTTTGCTGCTGAGTTCCTTGAGTTTTGCAGGTAGAGTGATGGTACTTATAATGTTGTAAAGAGGAGAGGCGGGGCTTAAATTTAAACAGCTGCTTTTATGAATAGGATCATTTGACCCTTTTTTTTTTTAGGCTGAAGCAATTGCTCCTTGGGCAACGGTGGCACAGGAGTTAAGTGCTCGCCCCGTAATCGGAAGGTTGCAGGTTCGAGTCCCGCTCAGTCTGTCGCTGTCGTTGTGTCCTTGGGCAAGACACTTAACCCACGTTGCCTGCTGGTGGTGGTCGGAGGGACCGGTGGCGCCAGTGCTCGGCAGCCTCGCCTCTGTCAGTGCGCCCCAGGGCAGCTGTGGCTACATCGTAGCTCATCCCCACCAGTGTGTGAATGGGTGTGTGAATGGGTGAATGACTGATTGTGTTGTAAAGCGCCTTGGGGGTTTCAGGACTCTAGAAGGCGCTATATCAAATACAGGCCATTTTACTCCCCCTCAGAAGAAATGTGGAATGCTGCCGTCGCCATGGTAACTCTGTCTCCCTATCCCAGCCTGGGCGGGACTGCGACTGGTGAAGGCCGCTGAATCGTTTCCAGGAGTCACTGTGCTCTCCAACCCAAATACCTCCTTCCCCTGTCCAAACGGAGGTGACGAGCGCTGCTTATCGCGGCTGCATGCACTGATGTGAGGAGAGTCCCCAACCCTACCTCCCCTCCTAGTGGACACTTATGTTGTGTAACGTCTGAAGTCTGTTGCATTTCTGTCTGAGGGGTTTTTTTTTTGCATAGCAAAGCTGCCCTCCCTGTGGAGGGTAACTCTGAAGGGCCTTTTTTTCCTCCACCTGACCCAATCCTCATATAAACCCTCTGATGTCTATTACAGTAGCGCGACTCGGGTTGCGAATGACCACAGTCACCGATTCTTGTCATGTGTCTTTGCATGTATGTCTGATCTCAGAATTGTGTGTACTGAAACTCTAATTTCCCTCTGGGATTAATAAAGTATCTTTGAATTGAATTGAATAATGAATTGTTGTATTTAGCTTTTGTTCCCCAGACTTTTTATTAAGTCATCGGGTGTTGCTGTGGTAGAAAACTGGATTGGATCAAAAGAAAGGTAAATTGGCATCCCTAGTGGTGAGATGTGGTTAACGTATCTGAAAACAGAGGCAAAAATGTGCCCCACCCAAAAGAAAATCACCAGCCACCACTGGCAAATAGTAAACAAAGTTAAAACAGGCTATGCACAATGGCCGAAGGAATGGACACAACAACGCTGCAGCACATCTTATTTGGTATGTACTGTACTGTTTGATGGTGTTACACGTGTTACTTTGTGGTGATGATATTATCAGGAGACCGCTTCTGTGGCTCGTCACTTCCGGATTTTACCTGCTTGAACTTGACTGAGGCGTTTACATGCAGGTGCAGCATTATCTTGGTGTTTAAGCACGATCAGAACCAGTTCGCCTTCAGCAAGACTAAGACACGCTTACATGCATGTACAAAAACTGGTATCAGTCTAGTTTGGGCTATAGTTTGGTTTTCTGATGCTTATGTAAATGCGCTGACTCATATTTGTCAGCAAAAAAAGCTGATTTGGGGGTGACTTGCTCTTTAAAGTGACTGTGTGTATTTTCACTGGCGATTGGGGGAGGGGGGGTACATACCTAAAACATTGATAGCAAGAAGTTTTTTGTGTTCAAGTAAGAACTTACCAACAAATGGCCATTAGGGTCCAAAAACCCTGGGAGCGCAACCTCCAGCCAAATGACAAGCACATCAGACTTTCTTTCATCACTGGCAGTAAGTTGAGGTAAATGGGTAAAACAACCACATTTATGAATGGTGCAATTTTTTTAACTGCATTTTGCCCTCACAGACCCCTGTAGAAGGAAACATGGAATCTAATATGGCGTGTTCCAAAGACTTAAGCCCAACCCCAATACTCGCACTGCGCCCTGCAATCTTCAGCAAATGATAAATGACCTGCACTTGTATAGTGCCTTTCAGAAAAAGGACTCCAAAGAGCTTTACACCACAGTATCATCATCCATTCACACACACATTCACACACTGATGGCGAAAGCGCACTTGTAAAAAGTGTCTTAGAGTGCGTGGTACACAAGTACACAAGTATTAAATAATTGCTGAACTGAGACAGGGAGCATTGCGTAATTGACCGAAACGCATGCTGGGATACTGGTCGCTGTGATACATCTAAAAAAAACCTTTATTAACAACTTTCAAACAAAAACCAAACAATTATTTGAAATAAATTAAATTCATTGTTGTTTTGTCAATAAAGTTTCAGAGCATCAACAAATTGTCCTAAAATTAACTACTTTCATTGTATTTTTAGAAAAGGCACTTGAGCCTTTTCTTCCATAGCAATGAATTGTAGGTAATACCCTTCGCCCATGTCCGTATCAACGCAGACTTGGGTGAAGTGCAGAGCAAGGGTGCAAAGGGCGTGATTAACTTCTGCACTTGAGAATTGGGACACCCTGTGCACTTGCACCCCTGCTCGAGATTGCACGATTGAAGGATGCAAGTGTAGAAGTGTGAGTATTTGGATTGGGCCTAAGACCCGCTCCTATGTACTTTAGACCAGCTTTTTATGGTTATATGTTATGAAGCCGCCATATTTTTTTAACAACTGGGCGTCATTTAATTAATTTTCAACATTTTGATGGAAGTTTCCAGAGATTAATGGTAAAAAAAATAGACATTGTCTCTTTAAATGTCTCCAGGCTGTTGGAGACTGGTGTATTTGTCTAAGTATTGTTATAGTCTAATTTATCTGCAACTTCACTCGGACCCCCATCAAATTTCACACACATCTATCTATCTATCTATCTATCTATCTATCTATCTATCTATCTATCTATCTATCTATCTGTCTTATCTGTCTTATCTATCTATCTATCTATCTATCTATCTATCTATCTATCTATCTATCTATCTGTCTGTCTGTCTGTCTGTCTGTCTGTCTGTCTGTCTGTCTGTCTGTCTGTCTGTAGGCCTTCTAAGCCAGTAACTAAATGAACAGGTGTAGACTGAAAATTAATATGCTCATATTGTATCATGTAATATTCCATCAGTATTTATTTTAGTAAGTGCATTTCAACAGCAAAAACACAAACAGTGAATCCGGTGTGAGCCCCTTGTCCACGAGCCCAGCTGCTGCCCCTACCCGGAAACATTACAAGGGCCGGAAAGGGCCAATGTTAAGGGAGCACACGTCACTCACTTTTACCCTAAAATATTTCCATCGACCATCCAGTGTTTATCTCGGCCGACAGAATTTCAAGCGGAAGCTCCCTGGCGGAGTGACGGCTCGAAATGAAACGTCGAAGAGGCTGACTGTTAGTCGGCGTTGATTTCTGCACCGTTCGCCCAGCTCAGCATCAGTGAAAATGGCTCTGACTAACGCCTGGAAAACAACGCGCAGAAATGGAAGCGGACCGTAGCTAGCTGAGCAGTTAGAAGAAGGCGTGACAGGCCTCATCCATCTGCCACCGTATGCGTAGGTAAACATCTTCCGAATATAGTTTACGCATATGTTTATGCTAGCGCTAGCATCTTAATGTTGTCGTTAGTCGGCACACTTTTAATATTTGCTCTAGGATGAGAGCTAACTAGTTAGCCGCGGTGTGAGTTTTTGTAGAATGCGTGCGGCTTCACATAGCTAAAACACGGCGAGCCAGTGCAAAATCTGATGCTAAAGAGAAGCGCGCAGTCCATGTTTGACTGCTTTTTCCGCCAAATATTAGTCAAAACGGTCTCCGGATGTAGAATCCGTTATTAGCCGCGCCTGAAAACTAATGCTTACCCTGTGTAGCGAGTGGGATGCTGATGGTAATTTTAGCATTTTGTGTCCTTTTCAGGACCGCAGACTTGCAATAAAATGAGAGGCAGACTAATATGCAATAAAATATCTTCCTCATCTGCCAGGGGAGCTGTCTCCCTCCAAGAATTCGGTAAGATGTTTTAAAGGTGAGCAGAAACGCATTTAAAGTGAGTAAATCTTACGCAAACAGCGCACTTTTAGCTTTATAAAAAGAGACATATTGTGATTATTTTAAAAGTCAGTGGTGCACATCGACTGAGTTATGCTTACACTTGGAGCTAATATTCATTTTTATTCGAATGCTAATGTATTTTATTCGGTTTTGGTCGTTGGTTTAGATGATGTAATTCGAGTTAATTGGCCCTTCATAAAGTGAGTCACTCTGGTTAAAAGCACTTTGTATCTGACCGGATGGGGCAAAAAGATAGAGGAATAGGTGAAAACGAGCCTTATAAATAGAAATAAAAACAAAGTAATCTACAGAATTACTCTAGTATGGAGTACTTGTAAAATAACTTTTTGTACCGATTAGTCATCCTTTCTATGTCACATTGTGTAATTACCCTCATTATGTCTTCATATCCTTCCCTTTTAAAACATTTTCTATATATTTTTTACCATATATGGTCTAATGCTCATAGTTGGAGTAAAATTGCCTCTGATTGTTAACACACCAACACACAAATAAAGGTAAGACTTCAAAATTTTATTTACTGTCCGGGTTAAAACATATTTAGTTTGATAAAATGGAGGGCAAATAATAAATACAATGTTTTAAAATCTTTGCAGGGTATTAAAATCTTTCACTCTCCTTGAGAATCTTCAGAAATGTTTGTTTATTTATTTGGCAGACGCTTTTATCCAAAGCGACTTACAATTTCTAACCTATAGGGCATGTTGTGATCTGTGGGGGAAACCGGAGTACCCGGAGGAAACCCACGCATGCATGGGAAGAACACGCAACTCCACGCAGAAACGCCGCAGCCTAGTTTCGAACCTGCAACCTTTGTGCTGCGAAGCAACAGTGCTAACCACTGCGCCACCATGCAGCCCAGAAATGTATATAAAATGTGCATACAAAACTTCTTTAAAAGCTTGAATTTGAGCATTATTGTCTAATAGGTCTTCCTTTAACAAAGTAATATTTGTGAATTTTTTTTCCAGTTGTACAGAAGGGATTAAATGTAGGATCAGCTAAATCTAAAACATGAGGCTTTTGGATCACTCCATGTATAGTAATGGAATAAATTGGGTCACTAGTTTTCTTAGATATGCGAACCTGTTTTCACACAGACGCCTACAGAGTGAGTTGTACTCGTAGACGAGAAAATGTGATGAGAATTATTTTGTTTTCTATAGGAAATATGAGCCAAATAACCCAAATAATTGACTTCTATACAGCAACATTAGTTGTGTTCCATTCCAGCAGAACCACATCACAGTAGGTTGTGATGCAAGATGCAACCCTGACTTGACGAAATCACTTTTCACTTCAAAAAACAACAACAAACAAGTATGGGGGCACGTTTCGGTGTTGAAGTTTTTTTTTGTCACAGTGTAACTGAAGCTTCTCTGTTTACAGATTTGCCTCCGCTGGAGGAACATTTCATCATAAAATAAAGGCCAGTTTTTTAGCGATTTAAAGATATTTTCTTTTCAAATCATACTTTTCTAGAAACCTTCTATGACTTCTGTCCTCCTTTTTTTTTGAATTTTGTGTTTTCAGCTTTAGGAAGTTCTTGGCTGAGCACGGATGAGGAATCTTAGGTGAACGAAAAGTGTCAACGCAGTAACTCTCAGAAGAGTCAAGAAGTCATCATTTGAACTGGTTCACAATAAAAACTTTTAAAGTGATTGTGAAGCTATAGGTGGAGCTCACCTACCTCCCAGAAAGACCGTTTTACCCTTTGCTCATATTCTCAAATCAGCCTCCCTCGCTCGTTTTGGAAGTAGTGTGGGCAGTGGATGATCAACAGGGTGGCAGCACCAGAAGTAAACATTCTGGAGACATGAACTTTAAGCTGCATTTTGAATAAACTAGTAGCATAGCCTTACCTCTGGGGTAAAGTTAGTCTTTCACCAGTAAGTGGTGGGATTATCGTAGCCGCTCCTAGCGCCGGAGGTTTGGCATCTGCACCCTTATGTGCCAGTGAGTGGGAAATGTTCCAATTTGGAAAATACAATCTGGACATTATAGAGATGTTAAGTGGGCACCAGGCCCACCAGTTCAAAGGCCTTGGTTTAGACCGACAGCTACAGCATCAGCAGCAAGTGCAACTTCACCAGCATCAACTTCAGCAACAGCAGCAGCAGCAAGTTGAGTCTTCTGGAGCTCTTCTGTCTGGACTTGGCTTGGGCCCCCTGCAGGGGTCTAGAGGTAACGCCTTTTCTGATTCTGCCTCCATTTTTGCCAAGATGAGTGCCCCTCCTCCCCCACCTTTACAACAGCAGCCTTCCTCGTCTCAGACCTCTCGTTCAAAGTCAAGCAAGATGAGCAGCGGCAGCTCAAGCCATTCTTCGGGCTACCCACAGTTCCTGCGCTCTTTCCACCCGCCTGAGGCAGCACTAGCACAGGAGCAGTTACACCCAAGTGTAGGCCGCTTTGAGCACTTTACTGGGGGGAGTAGCAGTAGTGGGAGTGCTGGGGGATTAGGAGGATTAGTGACATCAGCACCTCCACCCCCTCCTCTACATCCTGGCCTCTCTGTCCCCCAGGCATCACCTGGCCCCTCTTCCTCTCCTTCCCCATCCACCTCTGTGGCCACCTCTAATAATCCTTCTAGCAGTAGTGCAGTCAGCTCTTTGGGACACCAGTTGGTTGGGGCCCAGTCTGATGCACGGAGCCTTCACCAACAATTTAGTTGCATGTTAGCTGCTAATCAGTATTTTCTTTCTGGGGTGCCTGCTAATGCTAGTTTAGAGCAATTCCTTGTTCAACAGGGAACCCATAACCACTTAGGTATCGGTTTAAGCCAAACAGGTGGGGAGCCGAGTACTAGTCTTGCTCCTCCTCCAGCTTTGCATTCTTCTCATTCACACGGCCACTCCACTCCTCAACCTCAGCAGGCTGCTCAGCAGCCTTCCCAGCAGCAGCAACTTCCACCCCACTCCCTTTCTCATGCCCACTCTCATTCTCATCCTCACCACCCCCTCCATCCAGGTCCCCAGGCATCATCACTGGGTAGCTTTGACTTCCAGGGTATTCCTGTACTTTCATCTAACCAGCTAGCTTCTCTGATGCAGCAGGAAGCAGGTTTACCTCTCCCATTGCCACTTCATTTATCCCTATCTAAGGATGATGGTAAAGGGGAAAGCAGCGGAGGTGGAAGTAGCAACAGTACTAGCGGTAGTAGAAGGAAAAAAGCCATGGCGGGCTATTTGCCACAAAGGAAGTCTGAAAACACTAGTAATACCAGTAGTGGCCACGGTCACGGTAATCCTAGCACCAGTAGTAGTAATGGAGGGCTTGGTCATAGCCAACCTCCAGCTGTAATTGGTAGTGTGGTTGGTATGACCAATATGGGTGGAGACCCATCATCCCTTCTAGTCTCATCATCTTCATCCTCATCAGTAGTGTCTTCTTCCTCCTCCTCTGCACCCTCTTCCACTGCTGCCTCAGTACTGGTTACAATTGATTCTCAGCTTTCTAAATCTGATAACCAGAGCTCAATGCAACCCAACGCAACAGAGTCCGATACAGAACCCGTTTATAGCTGTGGAGATTGTGGCAAAAGCTTCCCTCACCTTTCAAGCCTTCGCAGGCATATGCGCATGCATGAGCCAACCGCAGCAGGTACTAGCAATACAGCCAATACAGCCCCAAACCCCATTTTCATTAAAGCACAGTCTGACCCAAGCCTTCCCCATTCGACCCAAGAAACTCCACAACCCTCTTCAAATTCTTGTCCCAGCCCAGACAAAATATTTCATTGTCCTGATTGTGGCAAAGCCTTTAAGAAAAAAGGGCACCTCCTGCAACATGGTGTTTTACACTCTTCAGCTCGCCCGTATGGCTGCTCCACCTGCTCTCGGGCTTTTAATCGTAGGGAGTCACTGACACGCCATGAGAAGATTCATGAGGAAAAGCCATTTCGATGTCCTGCCTGTGGTCGTGCCTTTCGCGAGAGCACCTCCCTACTCAACCATGCTGCCTCAGGCACCTGTGGCAAGCCAGGTAGGGGACCCAAACAACGGGGCAGCAAGACAGGAACTGATGGTGAGGACAGAGTCGGGGGAGGGAGTGGAGGAGGGGGAACTTATCAGAGCAATAGAGGGGTTCATTTTGGGAAAACTGAGGAAGAAGATGGTGTAATCATTGTGGGTGAAGGAGAACCTAAATCAGGTTTAGGATGTGATGGTCTTTTTCAGTCTGAAAGGGGAGGGAATTCAAATGACAGGGACAGAACAGATGGTAAATACCCAACTGACTACTCTCGGAATCGTTACACAGGCTACCATGATGACCACCGTTCTCAAGGTAATCCATCTCCATGCTACTCTGGTGCCTCCCCTTGTGGAAGTGGGATGGCGGGCCCAGCTCTGAGAAAGGCACCCTTGGCCCCAACACTGCATCCTCACTCACAGAACCACAACCAGCACCATCATCCGCAGCAGCAGCCCCATCTGCCCCTTTCTTCTCTACTGGATGATTCAGAGGATGATGTCACTAGCTCTGTCAATAATGCAATCTCTGCTATAACAGCAGCTAGCAACAGTGGAAATAGAGGGGATGATAGGGGAGACATCATAGGAGGTCTGCTAGGTGGTCTTGGTTTAGGACCTTTGGGCTCACCTTCTTCCACATCTGGGATGGATAAGAATTTCAGAAGTGGTGGAAGCCAGGAGGCTTTGAACAGCAACACACAGAATCCTACAACAAAACCAAAACGTCCTCGCAAACCAAGAGCAAAAAAAGATCCTGCAGCTGGTGGTCAGCCCCCCAAACGCAGGCAATGCACCCCCAGATTGGGGCCCAGTGGGCTTCCCCGTACTCACCTTTGCAGTGTGTGTGGGAAGGGATTTGCACGCCGTGAGACCCTTCGCAGACACGACCGCATCCACACTGGAGAAAAGCCTCATCACTGCGCCATATGTGGCAAGTATTTTAGAGAAGCGTTTCATCTCAGCAAGCATCAAACAGTCCACTCCGGGGCAAAGAATTACAAATGCACCATTTGTGGCAAAGAGTTTGGCTACTCCCAGAGTCTCAGGAGGCATAACAAACTCCACCAGAAAGGGGAGCTGGTCGAGGTGCCCACAACACCAGCTCCAGAGAGCCTGAGCAGCTTTAACCCAAATCCTCAATGTAGCATTACACAAGACAGGAGCCAGAACCAAGCACCAAGCACCTCCTCCTACTACCCCTACTCTCAAGACGTAAAGCCTCAAGACAACAATCCTCCGCAACAACCCCCACCCCAATCCCAACCACAGCCTCGACTGTACACCTGTGCTATATGTTGGAAGTCTTACCGTCATCATTTCCAACTCACTGCCCATCACCAGATGGTTCATGAAGGTGGGAGTGACAAGTTTTTTTCTTGCGAGGTGTGCGGAAAGCAGTTTGCCTATGCTAATAGCCTCACTCGACACAGGCAATCTCAGCATGGGATTACCCGTACTGAACAGTCAAACCCGCAAGATGGCAACAGTGGGTCTGGGGAAAACAGAGGTGGGAGTGATGTCAATCAGTCAGCATCTGAAAGTGAGGCTGCTACTAATGCCCTGCTTCAGATGGCTCCATCCACTGACAGCCACGGAGGGCAGGGTCTTAGTGTGGTCACTCATAGCCACCAGCAAGCACCCCCGCAACAACCAGTGGGTTACTCCCCTCTCTTTTATGATGCTGCAACTGCCCAATCCTCTACACCTAATGCCCCGTCCTACTCTCAGCCTCTACCTCCCAACTCTACAATCATGCCCCCACAGCATCCACATTCCCCGGCCGGGGTGAAAGGAGAGCACATTTACCCAGCTGGATCACGTAGCCGCACGCTTCACACCACAGCGCCGTTCCAGCCACTCACGGAACTGCCCTCCACCGAACATCACCATCTGCATCACCACCACCATCATCATCACTCCCACCATCATTCCCTTCATCAGTCAGACACCCAGTCGCACCAACCCTTTGACTGTGACATCCCGTTATCCCACGAGGAAATGAGACGGCACAAGAAGAAAAAAAAAAAGTCCGACAAGAAAGAATGGAAAGAAAGTAAATGTGCTTCCCACGATTTAGTCAAATTTGATGGTGTCAAAAAGAAGAAAAAGATAAGTTGTACAGTTCGAGGGCAGCTGGTTACAAAACAAGGCTCCCTTCGACTGACCATTAGGCGAGGAGGAGGATCAGGTGGTGGTGGGTATAGGCTTGTAAACACTGGTGGAATGAAGGTGCAGATCCTGTCATCTCTCCAAGTCCCCGTGAAACGTTTCGGATGTCCCATATGCCCCAATTCTGTGTTTTCCCGTAAAGCTGGACTGCTGATCCACATGGCGGTTAAACACCCACAGAAAGCCTTGGGCTATCAGGAGCGATTAAGGTGCAATGTGTGTGGGAAGCAGTCTCAAAGGCCTTTGGCAGCCTTCATCCATCGGGCCTCCCATCGTGCCAGAGGGACTTTCTCCTGCCGCCACTGCTCTGCTCGCTTTTGGAATGCTACACTCCTTCACAGGCACAAAGTGTCCTGCCGCCGCAGGGCTAAAAGACCGCAGAGAGGAGACGCTACTAAGATGTGGAAGCTTTCAAAGAGACCTGGAGAAAGACGGACCCACGAGAGTCCTAAGGAGATGCCCTTCTTTCAGGGATCTTACAGATGCTGATCCTGGCCTTTGAAGTGAGCGGCATACAAGAGGGATTCTCTGCTGTAAAACTGAAAAACGAAAGGTTAAAAAAGGGACTTGAAAAGGCACCTGCTGCCGTTAGGAAGTTTTGCCTTGTGTTTCTGTTGCATCTACTCTGCTGACTATTAGAATGAGTGTGTTAACAACTACTGTAGGACATATAAAATATCGCCTGAGATTCTTCCAGATTATATTGGAAGGTGTTCAAAGGCGTTTTCAAAGACGTGACTGTTTCCATAGAATTAACCCTTAAGTGCATTGACACTATGCTTGGCTGACACTGTGCGGTTACCTAGACAAGTTTAGTTGAAATGACCTGCTAATGTATCTTCCCCTCTACAACTATAACCCCTGCTACACCTCTTGCTGTATGATAAATGTCTCCGCTGTGTACTTTGTCTTGTTGATGTTCACTTAGAGGCTCTGAGGGTTTTAGTTGTATTATTTTTTTGTAAAGTGCATTTATTAAGAGTAGGGATATGGGGACAAAGACCTTTTGTTGATAGTTTGTCAATGCATGTTTATTCTCTGGTCAAGTTTTTTCCTGAGGTTGTGAGATCACTCCTACAGTACGTGATGGTTTTATTCAGTATACCCCCCCAGGCGTTTGTAGTGTAAACTTGATTTGAAAGTTGCTCTATTATTCCCTAGTGATTTAATCACGTATAAATTAAATGTCAGTTTCTGGTAATTAGCGTTACACGGATCCCTCTCCTGCCAAATGAATTCTACAGAAAAGCCTTGTGTGTGATGTTCAGTTGACCTCCTTTTGTTTGAGATGCTCTTCGCTTTTATACTACAAGCCTAAAACTTGGTGAACTAATTGACTGTAACATATTTATCTCATGTTATTCGTGGGTTCTTTTTAGCAGTACTTATTTCTACCGTACTTCAGTGTGTTGCAGACGAGGACCTACCATGATAGAAATGTAACATTACATGTATTTGTGTGTAACTCAATCAGCCTTCCGTAAACATTTGACTTCTTGCTGAGTTGCAATCTTGTTGTTACCGTCGAGCTTTGTTATTTTTTCTTTCTCCTAAAGAAAAACGAGTTTAAAACGTGTCACTTATTCACACATATAATGTCCATACTCTGTCGTTTTTAAGTTTTCTTCTAAAGAACAATGATAGTTTTAGATTTCTATCACACTATTTACTGAAAGTCAGTAGTTGATTATATTTCAGCAACGAATAAACCATAAGTGTAATAATTTGTTTTCTTTTTGTTTCATTGACCTACAGCACTACAACACCAGCAGTGAGTAAAGCTGAATTTTTAGTTTTGTCTAATTAGGTTGGAGTAAAATGTAAAGTTTTATCACTTTGTGGATTAAATATGATGTAGTAGTAGATACTAATACATTTAGTAAAAAACTACATTATTTTATTGAGAACATGTTCTCTGTTGGCTCCACCAGGTGGCAGTAACGAGCTCAGGGTGGTGGTTTTGGCCTTCTGGGGGTGAGAGGCAGTCACATGGATTTAACTGTGATGGGAGCGAAGAGGCTCAGAGCTGGATGACTGAATTGTGAAGCTGGCTGCTTCTGTTTACTATAGAATTAATGCCGCTGAGTAAACATGTTTAAGAAATGTAGATGAATTGTCTGCAGTGAGACACAAATAGAGAAATAGGTACGGTGGAATAAAACATTTTTTCATACATTTAGATTTTTGCTTTCAAGAAGCCAGACTGCTGCAATCTTTTGTGGTGATTCTTCAGGTTTTATGAAGATTGATTGACGGTTGAGTTTTAATGAATTTTTCTGTCAGATTTTTACTTTTTCAAAAGGCTAATTTTAGTTTTTTAACCCACTTAAAGACATGAGATTACATTATTTTCAAAATCTCTAGCTAATGTCAATAATTTAAAACATGATTAATATAACAACAGTAATAAAATACATAATTAACACTCATGTCCTTCAGTACTTGGATTGTCCACAAGGGGGCAGAAAATGTACAGGATTGAATGGAGCAGGATTTTTAGGAACGTACCAATCCTGTGAAAGAGACAGAGCTCTTAAGAGAGTAACTTGTGTGACAAATAGGATGCATTTGGTTTTAAGATGCTTAATATTTGATTCCTTTTGGCACAAGATTCTTCCAAAGCAGAGTTAAAACATACAAGGCAACTTTATTTGTAGCACAGAGGCAATTCAATGTGCTTTCCAGCAGCAAGAACAGCGAAGTCAGTGTGACAGCATCATTAAAATACACAAACAAATGTAGATTACATTAAATACACAAATTCAGATTAAAGAATTAGATCAAAGGTAAAGGGTGAGCAGTTACAGTGCAGAAGGTGCAGCAAGAGAAATGAAACGATACAGAAGCCAGCTTGAGTTTAGCACCATTAAGTTGGTTATAAAAAATCTATTAGCAGAAAATTTGTCATTGATGTTTGATGGATTTCTGTTTTCTTCTTAGATTTGATGAATACTGTAGGTGTTATATTTTCATTTGAACTTGCCAGGGGCGTGTCCAGGGAGTGGCCTGGGGTAGCACATGTCACCCTTAGAATCTGATTGGCCACTCCAGGTGCCACCCTACCAAGTTCCAGTTTAAATTGACTTTACATTGTCGACAAAAGGCTTGGGTTGTTAGCCCCAAAATAGTGCAGTAGCATGCACCTTTAACACTGTTTACTAGCCCAGGCCTACAGAACATTTCTGTAGTATTAATATTATTTACTATTTTTTCATATATACGTAAATAGTATTTAGAGTCCCACTCAACTCCAGTTGGTGGCAGTAATGCAACAAGAAGTGACTTGCTAACCACCACAAAACTAGAAGACGAAGAGGAAAAATGGTGATTGTGCAATGTGAAACTCAAAAACTCACTAGAAAGTAAAAAAAAAAACCCAACTAAATAAACGATTTGTGTAAATAAATAAATAAGCATAACCATTGGTGCCACCCATGCATGAACAAGTGCCCCACATGGGCCACCCCATTTTAAAAGTCCTGGACACGGCTCTGGAACTTGCTCACTTTCCTTTGAATATGGCACAATGCTGGTACAAAGACTGAACTGAATGTTGGTGAAAAAGAAGCCAAAGTCCAAAGAAAAAGATCCTTGGAGAGAAATGTTAATATCACGTACGTAGTTCTTCAGAATTCATTAAATGTTTGCAGAGAAAAGCACGTATGCTACGGGTTATTGACAGATGCAGAAATCTCTTCGCCGCAACAGAAAACCTACAATACAGCAGAATTAAGATGGAAGCAAGAAGATTCGTGTGTATTAGAACTGTGGTTTGCAAACTTTTCACTCAACAGAATACCTGGCATAGATGCAGGGGCGTGTACAGGGAGTGGCCTGGGGTAGCACATGCCACCCTTGGAATCTGATTGGCCACCCCAGGTGCCACCACACTAATTTACCTTTAAATAGGCTTTTTATTGTCCACAAAAGGCTTGGGGGTAAAAAAAAGCATAACCATTGGTGCCACCCATGCACAAAGTTGTGCCTCAACTGGGCCACCCCATTTTAATAGATCTGGACACGCCACTGCATAGATGTGACCTCAAATATTTAAAAGTACAGAACATTATAATGAAATAATGATGCATAATGAGAATGCCTCAAAGTCAATTTAAAACCCATTAATCACTACTGTTATGATTGTTTTCGTAGAATCTAAATATTTCATGTAGCATTGTTTTTAATTTCCTTAGATAAGAATAACCCACCCTCTATGGAGGACCCGAGGCAGCAAAAACAGTTTATGTTGTTCTAGCTGAACTGATGTCTTTCACCCTGGAAACGTCGTGGGCTGCTTTTTAGTCAGATAAGTAAAAATCCTGACAGCTTCATGAACCCAATATTATCAGTAGCCATCATTATAGTTTTGTTCTCCACCCTCCTCTTCATCTGCATGTCACTGAGCTGAGCTTTAGTGCGATGACTTGTCACTAATCTGTTTACATGGACGTGTGCATGTCTAACTCTGCAGAAAAAAAGCTGAGGTGAATTCCTGTGGCGCACTTTGTTTGCATGTGATGTTCAGCCGTGCACCAGACCGACAGCCCTCGCGCTGTCTTGCGTTTCTCCCTGGTCTCACGCGGCAGTGGCATGCACCGGGGAGGGAGGTGGGGAGGGGGACCCACTTTGGGCCAATGGCTGCATCTCGGTGGGAGGAGCCGCGCCGACGCGCGCTCTACGAGGAGCGGAGTCGCGCGCGGACAGGCTCGGGCTCCGCGTGCCTGGCACACGTGAGCGGGAACAGCTATTGTACACCGGGAGGCAACGTGCTAAAGCCTTCCTCTCGCTTGAAAAAAACGGCAGACTCACGTTTTCCGTGGATTACAAGGAAAGTGGAAAAGTCGTGCAGCGGTGCCTGATCAGCACGGACGGAAAACGAGAGGCTCCGCGAGAAGCGAGCAGATTTAACCCTGAATATGAAAGTTTGTTTGATGCATTTGTGAAAATGAAGGTGGGGAAATGAGCCGGTGCTGTGGACGAACACCACCTGAGTCACGGTGGCTGCACCTGTACTCAGACGAAAACAAACAGCGTGCCCTCCGCGAGGTGGGGGGGGGGGGGGGGGGGGGTGTCTCATTAATAATGAGCGTGCCAGGGCCGCGGGCACGCCTCCTCGCGCCTCCCCGCGTGTTCCGTGAGGTCTGACGTCACGTGAACTGCCCGTGTCAGTTCCAGCTGAGGAGCTGAGAAGGGGACGCACGGACGTGGACGCCGCGCGGCCCGAACACAAATCCCTGCTCGTGCGCCCGTGACTGCATCCCCCGGATGTTCGCGAAGGAAAAAGTACAGACAGAAAGAGGAAGCGCGCGCCCCGCCACTGACCCGCAGCACCGGACAGGAGCAGCAACGCAAGTTGTCATCGGACCGACGCAGGCGCTTCTCTCACCGCTGATTCTTGTTTCTCGTTATTTGATCTAAACACCGTTTCTCTCCGCTTGTTTTGCGTCACCAGACCTTTGGATCTATTCTTTTCCCAGCTGGACTTCCAAACTCGGAACACTTCCCCACACTCGCGAGTTGTGGCGTTTTCCTACAGTGCTGGCTCTTCGTTGTGATTATGGACAGTTTTCCAGCTCACGCGGTGTGAATATTCCTCATCAAACATTTATCAGCGATGGAATACTTTGATGAAAATATTCCTGCGAGGAAATAAGGAGCAGGAGGACAAGTGAAAGGTAAATGAGCAGATCTACAGGTGTTACCGAGGGGTCATTTTAACCTGATACCTGATACCGAAGCTGGTTTATTCTGCATGGATATTTCTCTAAACAGCTGATCTCTCTTTGTCTCTCACCCCCACCCTCTCTGCACACAAACAGCCACCCAGCGTCCTGTTGGTAGATTCTCTGGTCAGATTGCATCGATCTTTCACGTGCCCCAGGTGTCTTTCTGCAACCCCGCCTCCCTCTGGTCCAGGATGTCCAGGCAGCTCACCCAGCTTCCGACCCCTGACCTCCCAGCTGGAGCGAGCCCACAGTTTGGAAGCTGCACTCAGCCTGCAGGCTCGCTCACAGGGGGGCACGTCAACTCCATGGCTGGTCTGAAGTCCCTCCTGCAGCAGCCCATGAAGGGAGACCAACGTCTGAAGAGCCCGTGTGACACAAAAGGTGAGAAACTTTCTATTCTGATGAGTTAAATGTTACCAATCAAGTAAAAATGTTAAATAGAAATGCTCAAATGCAGCAAAATTATATTTTAGAGGCACAAAAGTTCACACCAAAACCTCATGTGCCAGCGCACATGCTTAGGATGACTCCTGCGTGACCCTAGATGAGAATTCCTCTGGATTATAATCTCTGCTGCGACTAAATTTCAGATTGCAGTGAGTGTTGAGATGGAGTACGTTTCTGCAGCCGAGCATCTTAGTTCTGTCAAACACGTAGGAACGGCTATTGTGAGATTTGTTCTGGAGTTTACGCGCACGTTATGACAACAAGTTGGTTTTGGCGCTGGCTTCAAGCTGCAGTTGAGCGGCCATCTGGTCCATCTGTGAGCGCGTTTCTGTGATTCTACGGCGGGGAGAGATAAAAAGCAGGATTTTAAAGATGCACCTGCCACTTTCTGGTGATTAAAATATCCCCGAGAACGTTTTGTCTCTTCGCCTTTCAAAGCCGCTAAAGTCGCACCGAAACTTTATTTGTGTTCCGTTCTTTTTCTCCTCTTTCCAGACAAGGACAGATTGGACCTCGATGAGGACTCTTTGGGAGTGTGTCCCTTGAGGAACGGCGGTGGATTAGTCAGCAATAATAGTAGCAATGGCTGTGGAGGAGGAGGAGGTGGCGGCGGTGGTAATGGAGGAAGCTTCAACCAGTTCCTGGGCCCCCTCCTGTGGGATCGCACCCTGCCCGCAGACGGAGGGCTCTTCCAGCTTCAGTACATGGACTTGGAGGAGTTTCTGACCGAGAATGGAATGGGCAGCATGCACAACAACAACAGCTCCAGTTCAGCCCAGATCCCATCCCAGAGCTCCCAGTCAGCCGTTCCCAACCAGAGCTCCCAGTGCCTACCGCCCTCCTCCCCACCCGGGTCTTCATCCTCGTCGCCCTCGTCCTCCTCGTCCCCGTCCCTCATCGGTCTGGAGGTGGCCCAGCCTCAGAGTCTGGCTGGAGGAACCGACTGCCTGCACAGTGAGTTGACCGTCGCGCAAACCGAGACGCAAAATAGCGCCACAGATTCAAATTTAACCCGAAAGTTCCCGGCTGAGGCATGCCCTTATCACCTGGCGGCATTTATCACGAAGGAGAGTTGCTCTGAGTTTACAAGCCGAAGGGAACACAATGTTCTCTACCACAGATGTGAGACCGTCCAACACCAGCTGATCTGAATCAAGGTTATGTGGCGCCTGTTAGGCCCCCCTAGACACGCCTGACCACTATTCTTTGACTCGAAGCACACGACAGTGACTAAGCACATTTCTGGGATGTAAGGTGAAAATGAAGGCAGGACAGTCACACGGCTCAGAACGTAAAGTCAGCCCAACGCCGAAGCGTAGAACTGGTTGCTTGATGTACTTTCCCGTGTGCCGGCGGGGTGCACGGGTAGAAGTTGGTCCAGGTGCTGAGGGAACGAAGCGTCGGAGGAGCCGGCGGCGAGAGTAAACAGAAGGAAAAGGTCTTGAGGTTTTTGATGAGTCAACTTGGGAGCTGCGACTGGAGGTTTACTGTAGCTCGGCACGTGATCCGTGGACTGCAGCGTACAGTGCAATCAGGGCTCCCTCCCAGCCAATGGGTAACGAGCAGCAGGGTCAAAACACTACTAAACGAGCGAAAGGCACAGGGAGTGCAGTGTGCAGAGTGTTTGCAGTTGTGTGTCTTTAATCTCTCCCCTCTTCACACGCCACAGCCACGTGCACGCGTCGGTACACGTGCAGAGGCAGGGAGTACCGGAGTGAAAGAACGAGAGGCAGGGCCAGGAGGAGGAGGGTGGGAGGAGCCCTGGAGGGGAGGAACGGGCAGCAGCAGGAAGAGGTTCCCTCCCCGCTGCTGGACTTCAAACTGTACATATAATCACTAAAGAGTGATGTTTACTGGACTGATATCCAGGGAAGAATTTTACACTTCCAGTTTAAAAAAAATATCTGGGCTGGTTTATTAAATAAAAGAAGATAGTAGGAAAATAAAAAGTTGTGGTGCCGTACGTGCTCTAAATAATTCCTCAACCTTCGTAGTCCCGTCGCCCCGCCAACATCTGCTTCCTACTGCCTCTGCATCAAACCCTGGGCCCTCTTCTGTAACACGAGCTGCATTTCCCTAAAAAACTCAAATCCTTCAAGAGCAAGTCACCCCCTACCAGAGTGTAATTCCACTCCCACTTCATGTTTGAAAAATGCAACAAATGCTGTTGCCTGGCAGACAGAGAGGGCGGAGCTGCTAACAAATACACACACACAGGCTCACGACAGCATTGTGACATCATAATGTACCAGTTTACATCATAGCATACCTCTTAACCAATAGCGGTGGCAGATTTAAATTCAAATACAGTGCAGAGTTTTTACCTGACAACGGCACAACACTGCCAGTTTTAGGCAGAATATTTAAATTTTAACTAAGATGCACTGAAGTGCCAAATTATTGACGACACGTGTCTGCAGCACGATTAGACACTCGTTTATTTAGTTTATCAGCAAATAAAAGTTTATTTGGGGGTGACTTGCTCTTTCAGCTGCGACTGTCAGAACATGTGAAGGAAAACAAACCCAATCCACGTTGGTTGGATGTCGGGAGACGCGGCGTTTTCTACCAAACTCCAAACCCAGATGGTTTTACAAGCTGATTCCTGGTGCTGGTTGGTTCTGAGCACCAGGACGGCTGCACGCCTGCAGGAAACACTCAAAGCTTCCCGTTTACGGTGCATCGTTATAGTTACGGTTTAAAAGAGTTTGCATTGTGCAGTCTACGAATCAAGAATAGTTTCTAGCTTTGAGCAGCTTAATGCAACAAACTTTAATCCTTTAAAATTCAAAAAAACAAACAAGCTTTTACTGAACTGAATATGTTTTTGTTGATTCTTAAAATGCTGTTTGCATTATAATGCTAAAGTCAGGATTTGGGCGCTAAAAGAGCCGTTTGTAGCCTTTTCTTTGATAAAAGGTCAGAGTAGGAAGAAGTTGTGGCGTTGTTTTTATTTGATTTAATTTCATTATCAGTCCGTTCAGTTAGAGACACAGAAGGTGGGTTTGATCTTTGGTTTCAAATGTAAAAACACGAGTAATGTTGTGATTTCTTAGAGCTATTCTGGTTTAATGATGATTCTAAAAATGCAAAGCTGTTTAGCCTACACCAGAGGTATTTGTTGTGCCCTGATGTGCCAGCCGGTGAGGTTATGATGTGTTTGGAAGTGTCTGACTAGGAAAACTTACCGGAAACCAGCTCAAGGCAGAGGAAGGTTTCCAAGAAAGCAGCTCTCTGCTGCCATCTGGTGGCCTTCGGGAGGCACTTCGTGTGTTTTCATCCATCTGAATTAGATTAATCTAGAATGATGTCACTTTAACTAACAGACTATTCATTCTGTTTTATTTTCAGGGAGTCAGACGAGTATGGACGACTCCTGCGAATCGCCCTCTTCCTCCTCCTCGTCCTCTTGCCCACCATTACTGACGCCCACGGGCAGCGGGCCAGACGGGGTTGGAATGTTTGACATGGACCCCTCGGACATGGCCTTGTCCAGCAACTCCAACGAGCCGAACTTCGACCCCAGAAGGCACTCGTTCAGCGAAGAGGAGCTGAAGCCGCAGCCAATGATCAAAAAAGCCCGGAAGGTCCTGGTGCCTGATAACCTGAAGGTGAGGAGACACGTGAGACATGAAATTACTGCAGTAACCATTCAAATAAAAATCAAAATGATGTGTTTTTAAAAAAATACAAACCCAGTTCATTTTAAATTAAAGTAAATGAGATAAAGCTTAAATTAATTGATAAATTAATCATATTAACTAATTAATCGTTAATGAATTAATCGTTAATCATATAATAAATTAATCAGGAATTGCCGATCTCTTATAATATAATAATCTGTGGTCATAAAAAATGTCAGAAACAAAACTCCAAAAAGAACTATATAATAAACTCATTCTAGAGAAACGGCTGATGTTCTGTTTGTGAGTAACGAGGGATTATTTATTCGTAGGAAGTTTTCAGCAGTTTGTGGATGAGTGTCAAACGTTCAGCCGTGAATAAAAAGCAACACTCAGTAGGTGATGTTGTTATTTCCACCGGCTGTGAGATGTCGGCCGTGCCGTTTGTTTGCAGACTTTATTTTCTCCCAGACGGTAATTTGAGTTCTGACAAAACTCTAAAGATACGGCGTGTAAGAAAAAAAAAAAGAACGTCCCACGCTCATTCACAGCCAAACACCCACGCCACATGTAACGGGGAGGAAGTTTGATTCGTCGGTTCTCTTCGTTAAGTTTTTACACAAGTTTTCACGATGAACCATCCAGAAAAGGAAGTAATCAAATGCTGCCTTTGTTTGTTTTTAGGATGAGAAGTACTGGACCAGGAGGTATAAAAACAACGAGGCAGCCAAGCGTTCCCGGGACGCTCGTCGCCTCAAGGAGAACCAGATATCTGTGCGCGCCGCCTTCCTGGAGCGCGAGAACGCCGCCCTCCGACAGGAAGTGGCTGAGATGCGGAAAGAACTGGGCCGTTGCCGCAGCATCCTTAGCAAATACGAGAACCGCCCCGCCGACCAGTGATGGTGGCGCCAAGGAGAATCTGACGGAGGGAAGGCGCATAAGCTGGACTCTGAATTTCTGGTGTTGGATTGATGGACAGAATGAGGTCAAGATGACCACAAAGGACGGAGGCGATTTAAATGATGAATGTATAAGACGAGGAAACAGGTGTGAAGCTCAGGTGTCTTGTTTTGTTGAGATGTCAGCTCTTAAAAGTGATTAACAGAGAGAATAATTTAACAGAGAATAAAACAGACGTGACTTTTAAGAGTTTTGTTATCGGAGAATTGTATATTTTTGTAATACTTCAGAAAAATTTAGAGGGAGAGCAAATCCGCAGAATAATTTTGTATATTTTCTACCTGTTTAGGACACTGAGACGGGGAGCGTTGAGGTGAAAATCGTTTTCTTTTAGATGATTCAGGCCAAGCCGTCAGCCATTGGTGGATATCATTATTTGCGACGGTCGTGGTGCAGCAGCAGGGTCTAGGACGCATGTAACAATTGTAATATAGAGAGCAAACTTATCGTAAAATGCTGTAGTTGAACATTTTGTGGATTTTACTCGAGCACTTCTTTTTTTTGTCACTGGGCATGCTGGATGGAGACGGAACGACAGACACCGTGTAAACAGTTCGGCACTATCCGCATTTATCCTGTGTTCTTTCTTTAAAATATACCAGTTTCAACCGTTGTAATCTTCTCCTTTCTCAGCATCATTTGTTCTTTGTTCCTACCATCAAACCGGCTTCTGGTTTTATTTCTGCTCTCTGTCCTAGAGGAACGTTTCTACACTCTAAAAAAGAAGCGTTGAGTTTATTTAACCAAGTTATTTCAGCTTCGACCACAAAACCTGGAGTAGCCTTTCGGTCACATGTACGTTTAGTGCAACAACGTACAGTTTTGTGTGGGACTCTGTTTAACTCATTCGCTGCCAGCGTTTCTCACCGTTTTTACAGTTTTTTTTTAAGAGTGACAGAACGTTGCGCGCTAGGAAGATGTCGACGCCAAAAACAAAGCGGAGACTCACCTCTTACATCAGGAAGAATCCGGGCGTTTCGAGCGTTATCCGTTCTTTCATAATCCGTTGTTGAATTGTGATCGGCAGAAGCTTTTCCGGTTCACGCCTCACTTTTATTTACAGGAACGGCCCAAAACGATCTCCTAACACGTGGATGTTCTGCTTCCTGATCACGTTATGTGCGACGTACGCGGATGAAGATCGGCTTTAGAGCTGAGATGTTTGTTCTCACGGTGCGGGGGCTCGTCCGACGCCCACACAGTAAAAACACGCCAATGTTAAGCAGCTAGGTGTAGTGGAACCAGTTGACAACCTGGTGAAGTAAATTCAACGATTCAGTTTTTACAGTGCAGTCCACTCTGGTGTTTTCATGCCGGTGAACGCCTGTTGTCAGGCTGTTCTACTCCTCTGCATCCTCTTATGTTTCTACCCCCCCCTCCACCCACACACACACACACACACAGTTATGTGCTGACTCCTCCCATACGAGTGTTTAACTGTGTTGTCTGATATAGGTAGTAACCCCCTTCAGTGAGACGCACTTTGTTACTTTATTGTATGAAATGAACACTTTATTAGCATTCTGATTATTTTTGTTTGTTTTCTTGGGGGGGGTGTACATTGATTGTCTTCCTGTGTTTTTATGTTATTTCAGGAGATGGGTCCAGTTCCCCCATTGAGTGGAATGGTGTTAATTTCTCAGATTTCTGGGAGAAATAAAAAAAGCCAAATTTTTCCTGTTTTATCCACCAACTTTGTTGATATTTACTATTTTTTCTGCCCCCTCTTTACCCCGCCCCCTCTACTGTATCTATTGACGCCACTGTGAACCCCCCCACACCCACACAGGAGCGTGAAACACGGCTTTGTTCCTGTATTAGAGCGGTTTTCATCCCTTTAACGACCACGATGAACAGATTCACCACAGCCCTTGTTAGTGCTATGATGACTATCTCTCTTGTTGTTATGATTCTGTGTCATTGAATGTTTTACTTCCTTTGGGTGGAGACCGGTGCATCCACCTTTTGAGTGTTCCTCAGAAAGACTTTGAGCAGAAACCCTTTGGCGCGGGACTCCACTGCCACCCACCCACCTGTGCGGACTTCTTTCACCTTTTCTCTGGAGCCCCAGCCGCGTGTGGACTATGCACACAGCCGATCCCATCCCTGTTGGTTTCTTTGAGCCTTTCATTAGCTCATCCAGTGATTGTTTGCTCTCCTAACAAGGATTGGGGTTTTTAAACTCTTCACTCGTGTGGTTGATGAATCTGTCTCTAACTGCTCTGCTGCATCAGTAGTGTCCGCGGTTGCCCGGCCCACCAATCAGGGCCGGGTTGTTTTGTTATTTTTGGATGTAGTTTAAATTTCCCCACGAAAATAGGAAAAACAAAAAAACCACCAATAAAAGGTTCTCATTCACTTCTGCTCTGTTTTTATTTTAATGCATTCTTCACTGGAGCTTCATCTGGAAATAAAGTCCTTTCTGAGAGGGGGGGGGGGGGGGGGGGGGGGGGCGCAGAGGTCAAAGTTCACCCTGATAACCAGACTAGGAGATTTTCCCAAAATGGAAAAAGTGTGATGTTTTGATGCTTTTCTTGTTCACATTCCAGATCAGACCAAGTATGCAGTCTGTGCCCCCCCCCCCCCCCCCAACCCCCCCCCCGCATGTTTAGCATGCTGCTGAACGAGGTGTTCGCAGCATTCCTGCAGAAAGGATGATTTCAGCAGATCAACAGAGACAGAACAGACAGAAGTTTATCTTTTAAAGCTGCAGGCTGCAGCGTTGAGCATCACGACCAGGAAAACTACATTTTCCGTCCCACACGAGCGGGAAAATCCTTCCTTTCCCACGTGGGATGGTGTCCTGCGTGTTTACCGTGGATTGTCCTGCCGTCTCCCTTATCTGCTGTCTTAACAGAAATGGGTGAAAGGTCCCTCAGAGTGGAATTTTCCTTGCTTCTTTCCTCCTCAACACAAACCAGATGTGTGCTCCTGACTTCTCCGAATCCCCCCCCCCCTTTTTCTGGATCTTCTAACCTCCCCCTAAGCCCCCCCCCCCCACACACACACACCCTTTGTTCCCCCCTTTCTTTAAAATGCTGAATCTGTGTGTCCCTCACTCATACTGTCTAAAGCCTGGCATCAAGCATGGACCCTGCTCTGCTGCTGCTCTTCCTGTGGACTCTGACTGGAACGGTGTCCCTGCAGTCTTCAGGTAAGACCCCCGCGCCCCCCGTCATTCACACATCAGAGACGAGATTCCTGCACATGGATCGGACACAGCTGATGAGCGGGAATAAATAGGTGTTTCTCACGCGACCAGACCAAGTGGACTTTTCTGTGTTTTGATGTGTCGGGGTTAAAAACCAGCTTTGTGTGGTCTTGGCAGGATGTTTTGGAAACTCGGTTGCGTCTCTCCCCCGTCCTCCAGTCCCCTCGCTCTCCCTAAAGCAAGTGGAGGATGAGTGACGGAGGGTGAGGTGAAGAACTGAGACAGATTCTGTTAAAAGTTTGCGTTTTTATCATCCAGCAACCTGGGTGGCAAATGTTTACCCCCCACACACACCTCCATCTAAGCAGAGCTGACCCTTTGTGACCTCCTTACAAAAGCCGTGAACAGAACCAACAACAGGAGTGTGTGTGTGTGTGTGGTATCACTACAGGGTCGTGTCCGGAGAGACTTCTGGCTGAGGAGCGGAGGAGGACATGTCCCCGGTCCTGCAGATCTGACCAGGACTGTGGCAACAAGCGCCAGTGTCTGTGTGATGGTCAGTGTGGTCTCAGCTGTGTGGTCCCAGGTAATGTGTGTGTCTGTGTGTGTGTGTGTGTGTGTGTTTCTGGTGAGGTGCAAGCTTTTATTATAATGGAATGCTGTAAAATGGGGGCCAGTGTAATAGCAACCTATTTAGTTAAACAGCCTCATTTGAGCTTTCTGGAGTCATTTTCTGCACTTGTAAAGGAACATTCTGGAACCCGCTCTGTTCCTGACTTGTTGTTTTTGCTCCTCCTCAGGTCGGACTTGTCCCTGGCCTCTTCCCCTGAGTGAGGACTCGGAAGCTCGCCTCCTCTCTCCCACTCACTCCTTCTCCGCCCTGCTGGAAGTGCGCTGCAAGCCGGGCTTCACGTTGCCTGGCGGCTTGGATGTCGCCGTTCGCCGTTGTCAGGGCGACCGGCAGTGGAGTGGGGATGAGCCCATCTGCACAGGTGGGCTTTAGGCTTCGGTCCCTTTTCAGCTCTCCAGCTGCTCGGTGATAAGAGGTTAACGCAGCAGGTATGCGTCAGAGGGAACAAGCGGCTTCCTGTTGGGGGTTAAACGTGTCGGTTGGGAACGAGCAGCCGTGTTTGTCGGTACCGAGGCAGACACACAGGAATGAAACCCCTCGGTGACTGTGCCGACAAAACGTTGCACAACTGTGACCTAGTCTTCCCATCACCGTGGCAACCAGAGTGTTCAGAGTGGCCGTCTGAAAAGCTTTAGCTGCTGATAAGTTTACCAGTTTGAAGCTAAACACTAAACATGTGTGCTCATAGATCACATGTTTGTACACGCGTGTTTTGTTGTCACACATGAGTTTTATTTATTTTAGGGAATGCTCTGCTGATTTAAAGAGACACTTTGCAGTTTTTTCATACATTTAAATCATTTTCTTGAGCCAGTAGGTGCTAAAACGACCGTTTACAGGGTTAACGAAACGTCACTCAGACCTCCACTGCCCTCTGTGGCCAGAAAATTGCACTTGCAACTTTAGAGTACTGGTCTGGTCTGTTGGACTTCGTAAAGTGAAACTGATGTCCCAGCACCGCAGTCTGCTTCCAGCACGTTTCCTGCTTGTTTTAGATCATGAACACAGCTGATTTGTTTAATTTAGTGATGAACCACTCCTGTAGACACTAATGAAAGCTGAGGAGACACTTCAGCTGTAATATTAAGGCGTTAAAACGACAAACACTCAGGCCGTTTCTCAATACGCATGCTTGTCTGTACTTGTGTACTCATGTCCTTGTGAGACGGCATCAGCGGTGGCCCGAAGACTGTTCTAATCCCAAGTATTATATGCATCATGGCAAGTTCGCTCAAAGTTCCCGGATGTGTTCTTGCTCCGCCCATTGTATTGAGGATGCATGAATGCATCCTTCTGCAGACTTGAGACTGCAAAAATCCCCATAATGCATTGCGTCGCAACCGTTATACTCCGAACGTCAGAGGACAAATCTAACAACTGTAGAGTTTCATATCAGAAATACTAATTAAAGAATATTAAGTTGCTTGTTATTGTGAGTAATTGTGCGTAACCTGTAATATTTGCTGTGTGTATTTGGGTTTTACTTTTCACATCGCTCAAAATGCTAATTAGCTAACCCACTATCAAAATAAGAGCAGAGTAGCTCTGTTTTGATGAAAAAAAAAATTCTATTCATTTAACAGCAGAAAATGCTGGCATTTTATCAGTTTTAATCAAAAGTGGACCAAATATAATACAAATATGTTTTCGTTGTTATTTTATTTAACAAACCAGACTTTTATTTTTATGTCAGCTCATTTGCCCGTAGATAGAAACAGGCAGCGCTTTTTGCCATGACGCAGCGGAGTACTCTTCTGTTCCAAATGCCGTCCTCGTCCTCCTTTACGCGGTAGAAAGGACTTTTTGGTGTCCTAGCCAAGAAAATAATTGTCTGGTACACAAAAACGTACTAGCGTCCTTGAGTATCGAGAAACGGCCACAGTGAGGAGATAAGCTTTGCTTTTGGTTCTACAAACAGACACTAGGGGGTGCTAAAACCAAGCCAGAACTTCCCTGTTTATCTATCCTGCTCCTCCACCCTACTGGTTGAAAGTGGAATTACAACTGTCGCAAACAAAAGATCCACACTGTTAAAATATATTATCATTCACAAGACCAGTAGCAACAAAGCCAGGTCACCATCAGTCTGTGATTTTGTAGCCCCTTTATCGTGCGTTCCAGTTGTCCTCGGAACTCAGAATTTTCAAGCAGGAAATGACGTAACAGGCTCGTTTTGCGTTCCAGCTTCCATCTCAGAAAAAATGTATGCCACCAGTGTTGTTGAGTAATAAACCAAAAGAATTGTATAACCAAGTATTCTCCACACCTAAATAATAGTGACACACGCCCTTCAACAGGTGCCACATACAACAGAACAATTCAAATGTAAAATTTGTAATGAATTAGATTACATGTTATTTAATAAGCAATAAGGCGTGGGATTCCATAGGAAATACGAAATCCACCTTACGGATCTGTGAGGTTATTTAAACCAGAAGATTGGATCTTTTTAATGCAGGGATTAGATAACAACTTCGTATTCACTCAGAGACAACAGAAGAGAGAGAGTCAAGTTTAAAAGTCAAGAATTTTATTACTAACAAATTAAACTAGACTGACTTTAAAATAAATGTATGGTGTAACTAAAATGGATGAGACGGTGAATGGATGACGTGTGATGTTAAATCAGAACCAGCAAATCGGAAGAAGCGATTCGTTTTGACGAGAACTGAAGATGTTGTTTTCGCATTAAGCTTTGGCTAGCTTCAGAAACACATGAGACACCATCATGCCGGTCTACCTACCCTTCGTGGAAGTCCTCTGTAGATCAGGAATATCGAGGTCCAGTAGACCCTCTCTGGAACCGAGCCGGCAGGAAAAGCAGCGGTTCCGATCAAACCCATCTTTGAGTTACTTCCGGGTACACGACAAGTTATTGGCGTCTGGTGAGACCCAAGCCTGGGTCTCGATGGTTCAGCTTTTGTTCTGAAAGGAACTGTTGAAGCAGTTGTTATAGCGACTGGATTTTTCAGCTTGTCGTTGGTTCTTTTGGTTATAGAGTTTAGATCAGGATAGGCCACTCCGTCACTTTCTCTGGAACGCTTTGAACTGGCGTTAGAGCTGACGTGGCATAGTTTTATACTTCGGATGTTTTGGTTTATTGTCGAATGAAAATTACCAAACACCATCAGAACCACGCCTCCGTCAGATCTGTAAGATTCTGATTGGATCAGTGAAAGTAATGTGTCGTGTCTTTTTAACGCTACGTGAAATGAGTCCTGTTGGAACACTTAAAGTCATAGTACCTTTATAATCTATAGGATTATAATAAAGTAATTAATATTTTGATTTCACAGATCAGTCACATCGTATTTATTGACTAACACTTTGACGGATTAGCTTTATTAAAATAGAGTTCTTTGATTAATTAAAAGAAAAGAGTTCATTCTTCGTTCTTGTTGAGCTGAAAATAAGCAGGTTAGAAGGAATGCATGACACCTTGAGACCATATCTCATGCAGACTAGTCTTGAGCAAAGAAGGGAAAAGAAAACAGCCATTCCGTTCCGTTACAAATTGTAAACGCCAGGAAAAGTGAAAACCATAAACACCGGTCAGTTTTGACTTACTGGTGCTGTTTAATAGCAAAATGAAAGAAAACAGAACATATAAATGAGAAAAAAATAAAGACAATAGCTACTTCCTGGTAGTGCTGGGCGCAGCCATCTTTAAATTTGGGATTTCGTGGTCCTCTAAAACCTACGAGCTCGCAGCTCGGAATTCCGAGCCAATCACGTTATTTTCGGCTAACTTATCTCGACAAAATGAGTTCCCAGGACAACTGGAACACATTAGCTCCCTCCAACTAGCGTAGGCCGTGTCGATGTTCACTCTGGTTTTAGATCTTTGCTTCACCTCCAAAGATATTATTCTCTTACTTTTACTTCCAGGCTCCACCATGATGCCAACAAAAAAGCAAACTTCTTCTTTCTTCTTCTTGTGTTTTTTCGTGACAGTCAGTGACCTGTAAAAGCTAACTGCTGTACTTTTATTAGCTAACAACATAGAAAACAGCTAACAGCCATAAAGCAGAAAAAGAGCACCTCCTAGCACACCTACCTGCTCCACAAAACTGTTTCTGGTCAGCAGGGTGGTGTCACATGTGAAGTTGGTGAAGTTCTACCAACAAAATTGCTAAACCCCACTTTTTAAGAAATTGGTTAAGGTGTAAAAACCTGCTTAGAGACAGCACGTGGACAACTTCTGGAAGATGAAATATTCCTAAAGAGCAACTGTTTTCACTTCTTTTTTTAATGATTGGTCACTTTGAGTTTCACGTGCAGGCTAAAGATGAAAATAGTTTCCTAGCTCTGCTTCCTGCATTAGTCGCCGATTAAAAAAAATAGACGAGGAAACGTTTGGATTAGAAGCGTGACATCTCTATGTCACACTGAAAATTAGCATTCATGGACTCACCCATCTCAGCTTGCAATGGGGTAGGGCTGTAATTATTTAACATCCAGGAAACAGCGGAGTGTGTCGCGGCTAGTAGAAGCTAACCGTTAGCATTAGCAACTCCACAACACAGCAGAACTCCTCCAGACTTGTGTTATTTGTGGAGATAAAGCATCAATGTTGCAGTGCAAACAGAGTAAATGGTAGAGTCGTGTTGTTGTTAGCCAATCAGAGGAGAAATGTCTGAATATCAGGAAATAAGAGTCCAAATCCTGTTGTGTTGATGAAAAAACTCATACAGACTACTGCAAATGTGTTGAAAAATGTGTAAACTTCATCTTTAAAAATATTATTGATAAAATAAAACAACAAAGCAACAACAAATTATTAGAAATAATACTGTGTCATGAGTTTAATTTACATGTTATTTAATAAGCCATAAGACATAAGATTCCATAGGAAATATGAAATCAACCTTATGGATCTGTGGGTACTGTTTAACCAGAAGATTGGAACTTTTTATTGCAGGGATTAGATAACAGCTTCGTATTCACTCAGAGACAACAGAAGAGAGAGTCAGGTTTTAGTGAGTCGTGGAGGATGACTGCTTATACTGAGCCGGGATTCTCTGGAGGTTTCTTCCTGTTAAAAGGAAGTTTTCCTCTCTACTGTCGCTAAACGCTTTAAATGTCTGAACGTTACTCGTTTACCTGCAGCAGCACTAAAAAGCTCTCAGAAATCCTCGTCCCAGCTGCTGTCGCTCTCAGGACTTATTTATTTATCTATAAATACGTTTATTTAAAGATGTGAGATGAGGATACAGCTCTCAGCTCTCTGGCAGGCTCCTCTCTGATAGACGGGCAGAAGGTAGGTGGGCTTCAAATGTGTGAGAGTGTTTTGTGTGTGTGTGTGTGTGTGTGTGTGTGTGTGTGTGTGTGTGAGCTGAGCCGGGAGGCAGTGGGCTGCAGATTCCTGTCAAAGTGGCGCTGAGCGTCACTGCACAAGTGTGTGTGTGTGTGTTCATCGAGACGTGGCGAGGTATTTTTCTTGATAGATCGGATGTGTATGTGTTTGGGGGGTGGATTGTACGTGTGTCACACTGTGTGTGTGTGTGTGTGTGTGTGTGTGTGTGTGTGTGTGTGTGTGTGTGGGCGACCAATTCCAGTTAGGAGAGTCAGAGAGCTCTCTTGCTCATGCAGCTCCAGGCCTTTCTTCTCCTCTCATCCTTCTCCATCTGAGGCCTCTGAAAAGGTCTCTCTCCATCGCGGAAGCCAAGGACGAACGTGCACCTTCGGGCCGTGTTGGTGTGTGTTGTCCCTCTCACGCGTTTGTGTGTGTTTACATGGAACCAACAGGCCTTTACGTCTTTGATTTCAGTCAAATGAGTATAGTTTTTCATTCAGAATTCCTGTTTTGTAGCTTTAGACGGTGATTTTGAAACACTTGCCTCGCCGCAGCCTGGTGCCAGAGACTGTGTGGGTGGCTGGAGAGGGGCGGTATGTGGAAACAGAACTTGGCACTGAGCTCTCATCTGCAGCCAGACTCGTAGCTCTCCCGTAGGGGCCTTTACATTCGTACATTAACGTTTCTCGATTTCAGAGGATAGTCCTCGGGCGAGAGCTGTCTCTGCCTTTCAAAGACCCGCTCGGCTTCAAAAACTCTGTGCCTGATGCGGCCCGGGTCACTCCAGCCTCTCTCCGAGCACCACTATTGATATTTATGTTTCCACAAGCGTGAGGCACTCCAGCTTGCGGGAGCGAACAGTGCCAGGTGTTATACAATCACTGTTATAGGGGTGAGCCTGGAGAGGTGTGAGGCAGCGTTCCACTCGCTTGTCGAACTTTGATTCGTTACCTAAGAAGGGTGGTTTGATCTGAAATAGAAGGAGACATTAGGCGAAACGCCTCTGTGCGCCTCAGAAACCCCGGTCCCAACATATTAAAGTGTTAAAACGACGGACGTGTCTTCACGTGTCCTCTCGCTATTCTGCAACTTTCTGATGTTGCTCAGTTTGCAATAATTATTTTTACTGCATGTTTGTTTCTTTAGCAAAACATCAACCGCTGAATGGGTTCGAAGTCTTCACAGTAAACGTGAATCAAGAAAGCAACGGCAGCTAGCTGACATCAGCTCTGTCACCGTTACAGACGCTGGATGCGATAGCCAATCAGATCACATCTTTATTTGCCGTTTGTGCACATGCTAACAGTATCGTGTGAGTTTCAACATAAACTTGTTTTAGGGAATTTAACCAAAACTACAATAAATTAATCATTTTTACAAAATTAGATGATTTTATGTTCAATCTCTGTAACGAGAGACGAGAGCTTACTTCAAGGACCTCTCGGCTTTTAAAGAGCAAGTCACCTCCTACCAGAGAATTACTCCACTCCCACTTCCTGTTTGAAAAATGCAACAAATGCTGTTGCCTAGCAGACCGAGAGGGCAGAGCCGCAAACACACACACACACACACACACACACACACACACACACACACACACACACACACACACACACACACACACACACACACACACACACACACACACACACACACACACACACACACACAGGCTCACGACAGTATTGTGACATCATAATGTACCAGTTTACATCATAGCACACCTCTTAGCCAATAGCGATGGCAGATTTAAATTCAAATACAGTGCAGAGTTTTTACCTGAAAACGGCACAACACTGACAGTTTTAGGCAGAATATTCAAATTGGAACTAAGATGCACTGAAGTGCCAAATTATTGACGACACGTGTCTGCAGCACCATTAGACACTCGTTTATTTAGTTTATCAGTAAAAAAAAGTTTATTTGGGGGTGACTTGCTCTTTAAATCAGAGATCAGTTAAACTGAATGTTTTATTCGTTTTTTGATTTAAAAAAATTGTTTACATTGAATTTAGGTTGTTTACTCAAGAGAAGTTGGAGAAGGTTGAAGTAACACAGAGCAGGTTCCTGCTCCTCCACCCTACTGGTTGAAAGTGGAATTACAACTATTGTAAACAACCCTGCAGCAGCCTGCTGTAGCTAGCACTGATAACGAGCTAACACTAACATGATGCTAACTGATACTAAAATAAACCACCAAGTAAAAAGATCCACACTGTTGGACTAATTATTATTACTTACAAGTCCAGTAGCAACAAAGCCAGGTCACCATCAGTCTGTGATTTTGTAGCCTCCTTTAGCGCCCTCAAACTAGCGTAGGCTGCGCCGATGTTTGCTCTGGTTTTAGCTCTTTGCTTCACCTCCAAAGATATGACTCTCTCACTTTTACTTCCAGGCTCCGCCATGATGCCAACACAAAAAGCAAACTTCTTATTTTTCTTCTTGTGCGTTTTATTGACAATTGGCAAGCTGAAAACGCTAACCGCTAGTATAACAGCTGTAAAGCGGGTAAAGAGCTCCCCCTAGGACACCTACTCACTCAACAAAACTATCAAGTGCGGTTTTTGGTCAGCAGAGGGCTGCTGAGTGGTGTCAAATTTGAAGCTGGTCAAGTTTCTCACTCAACATCACTGAGATCAACGTTAACGCTCTAGCTTAACGTTTTACAAAACAGTTTAGTGTTCGATAGTTGAATCTCAGATTGAGGAGGAACAATGTGGTTTTGGTCCTGGTCGTGGAACTGTGGACCAGCTCTATACCCTTGCAAGGGTGATGGAGGGGGCATGGGAGTTTGCCCAACCAATCCACATGTGTTTTGTGGATTTGGAGAAGGCTTATGACCGTGTCCCCAGGGGCACCCTGTGGGGGACGCTCCAGGAGTATGGGGTGGGTGGCCTTTTGTTAAGGGCCATTCAGTCCCTTTACCAGAGGAGCGTGAGTTTGGTCCGCATAGCCGGTAGTAAGTCGGACCTGTTCCCGGTGAGGGTTGGACTCCGCCAGGGCTGCCCTTTGTCACCGGTTCTGTTCATTACCTTTATGGACAGAATTTCAAGGTGCAGCCGTGGTGTGGAGTGTGTCGAGTTTGGTGGCAGGAGAATCTCGTCTCTGCTTTTTGCGGATGATGTGGTCCTCCTAGCTTCATCCAGCTCTGACCTTCAGCTCTTGCTGGGTAGGTTCGCGGCCGAGTGTGAAGCGGCTGGGATGAGGATCAGCACCTCCAAATCTGAGACCATGGTTCTCGATCGGAAAAGGGTGGCTTGCCAACTCCGGGTCGGGAGAGAGGTCCTACCTCAATTGGAGGAGTTTAAGTATCTCGGGGTCTTGTTCACGAGTGAGGGTAGGAGGGATCGGGAGATCGACAGGCGGATTGGTTCGGCGTCTGCAGTGATGCAGACGCTGAGCCGATCTGTCGTGGTGAAGAGGGAGCTGAGCCAGAAAGCCAGGCTCTCGATTTACCGGTTGATCTACGTCCCAATCCTCACCTATGGTCATGAGCTTTGGGTAATGACCGAAAGAACGAGATCGCGGATACAAGCGGCCGAAATGAGTTTCCTCCGTAGGGTGGCCGGGCTCAGCCTTAGAGATAGGGTGAGGAGCTCGGACATTCGGGAGGGACTCGGAGTAGAACCGCTGCTCCTCCGGATCGAAAGGAGCCAGTTGAGGTGGTTTGGGCATCTGGTGAGGATGCCTCCTGGACGTCTCCCTGGGGAGGTGTTTCGGGCATGTCCTGCCGGCAGGAGGCCCCCGGGTCGACCCAGGACACGTTGGAGAGGTTACATCTCCAATCTGGTCCGGGAATGCCTTGGGGTCCTGCCGGAGGAGCTGGTGGAGGTGGCCGGGGAGAGGACGGTCTGGAGCTCCCTAGTCGGGATGCTGCCCCCGCGACCCGGACCCGGATAAGCGGAGGAAGACGACGACAACGACGAGTTTAGTGTTACTTTAATGCAGATATTGGCCGCTAGTTACAACCAATGTTTGGATTAAAACACCTGAATGTTTCCTTCAACGGTCATCTTCTGTTTTCCGCTCAAACTTTCAGAGACGCAGCCGCCTGAACACGCTGCTACCCAAACGTGTCCTCTTCCAGCCGAGGTGAGGGACACCTTCAGCATCCAGGGCGATGCCTCAGTGGGGACTTCAATCCGCTACAGCTGCCTGTCTGGGTGAGCGAGGCTGAGAGAAAAAAAAACGGAGGAAGTGATGAATAGAGTGTGAAGAAGAAGGAAGGATGGAGGGAGGCAAAGGGGAGGGGAAGGCTGGTAGGATGAGTGATGAATGGCAGGGAATTCATTTTGATCTCCCAGCTGATCATCGCTTCATTCAGCTAACTGGGTCATTACAGTTAAATCATGCATTGACTCCTCTTTACGCACTGACTCATCTCACAGGAAAGGATGAGGCGGAGTGGATGTGTCAGTCTGAGCTGCATGCACAAATACTCTGAAAGGGAGACGGCCGATCCACGTTCACCTTTATAAATCACTTTTAACCTGAAGCTCATGTCGTCCCACCATCTGTCTCCTGCAGGGCAGGCGTCGTCGGGACGACTGAGAACTTCTGTCAGGACGATCAGAGCTGGCAGCATCCTCACCCCATCTGTAGAAGTAAGTGTGCACTAGAGTGTGTGTGTCTCATCCGTTGCACTCTCAGCAGGACTTCACACGTTTGTTTTTTAATGAAAGATTAGCAGGAAAAGACTGGATAATGAATCATGTGTGAGTGAGTGAGGCGAGAGACTGAAAACAAGTGTTAGTTTGGAGATTGTTTGCCATCAGCAGGAAGGCAAAAAAAAAAATAAATAAATAAATAAATAAATAAATAAATAACACCCCCCCCCCACACACACACTCTTCAGATTTTCAGCTGTGCTCTACTGCCCTCTTGTGGTCAAAGCTGGTATAAACGTTAGTCCTTTATTATGAGGCCTTTAGTTCAGGGTGCTTCTGGATGCTTTTAGAGAGAATATGACTCAATTAGATAAAAAAAACAGTCAAAAGATTGAAAATAATTAAATTAATAAACTAACTGGAGTTTGGATCACTTATTTCTACAGCGGTGTTCTGCCAGCCGCCAAGGGAAGTGGAGCAGGGCTACGTGGTCGCTGTGCAGAAGACTGAGTACCAGGTGGGATTTGACATCCACTATCTATGCAGGAAGAACTACCTGCTGGACGGACCCCAGAAGATCACCTGCCTGTCAAACGGCAGCTGGAGCGCATCGCCACCACACTGTAGAGGTGAGGAACATCTCCAAGAGCCAGCAGGGGCGTGTCCGTGGAGTGGCCTGGGGTAGCAAATGCCACCCTTGGAATCTGATTGGCCACCCCAGGTGCCACCACACTGAATTCCCTTTAAATAGGCTTTTCATTGTCCACAAAAGGCTTGGGGTAAAACAAAAGCATAACCATTGGTGCCACCCATGCACAAAGTAGTGCCTCACCTGGGCCACCCCATTTTAAAAGATCTGGACACGCCACTGAGAGCCAGAGACCCATTAGAGCCCTTTGGCCAAGACTCTTTGTGGAAATGTAATTTTCATGATGTTTTCCAGCTCGCTGTGTCATCCCCGCTGAGCGAAGTCGCGTGGTGATTGGTGGGGTGAAGCGTTGGCCCTTTGACGTGACGGATGCCATGGTCCCCCACGGGGAAAACGTGACATTCTATTGCAAACACCCCCAGAAGCAGTGCAGCTTCACCGCAACTCAGAGCTGCTTTGATGGGAATCTGCGGCCGCCAGCGTGCTACCTGGGTACGAGGCCTCCAAACTCACCCCTCTCCTCCGAATCTGCACGACTCTAATCCAGAAACTTTAACGTTTTCCAGAACCCACGTGGCTGCAGTATAAACTCTTCCCTCATCGGCTGGTCTCAGAGATTGAGGCGTGTGATCCTGGTGATGCGGAGTGGTACCCTGACTCCCGCTCCACAGATGCTGCCTGATGTGGATCAGCAGGCCTCGTGGGTCTGATCGCTGTGCTGCGCTTTTCTTTTGCAACCTGCATGAAACCATTATAACCAGAGCTACCCTCCATTCTATCACTCCAGTCCAGAGTATGTGTGATATTTCACTTTTCCTTGACGCATCAAGTCTGGTGGCTTGTAAGGTTTATATCGTGTTATTATATGTAAATATAAAATGTGAGTTTGGAAAGGAATAAACGAATGTGATGAGGGGACGGGTTTGCTCTCTGGCTCTTTAATGGCGCACACGCAGCCCTTCCTGCGCAGGCTGCAGGTTCAACTGTACTCATAGGCTGAACATGGCTACTGGTCGGACCCGGTAGGCTGCGACACCATAGCAACTCCCTTTGACCCCTCCCTCCCTCCCTCCGCATTCGCAGCATCACCCTTTTACACTGCACAGTCATATTTGGTCCTCCGGAAATCTCCACAGCTCGGGTAAGCCGGTCCCGCTGCTGCGGCGCTATGGGTGCAGGAGTGGAGTTTTAAATGTATGGGAAGCGCGTCGGGTCCGGAGCGTCTGGAGCCGCGCGGCGGCAGGATCCACGACCGCGCGCCGCCTGGAAAGTTTGTCCCGAAGCTCCGCTCTCGGCGCCTCGGCTCTAAAATGGCTGGCTGTAGGTCCGAGGAGGCTCCGGCGCTGCACGCGCAAAGAATCCGATCCGCGCCGCGGCTCTGCGTGAACACCGCGCGTCCGCGTTGGCGGTGATGTCCCGGGTCCGAGGGCTGCCAAGGCACACCACAATATCAGTTTTAAAAAATAAACCTGGGGGGCGTTTTTCGGACCTAGGACTGTGCGTAATGGCGTCCTCCTCGGATGCGTCTCCGTTCATTCCCAGAAACACCATAAAACAAGAGCGTTCCTCATCCCTGCGGATGGCGGATAATGTTGCGGGATGAGCGGTAAAGGTTTGTGTTGCGTGAGGTTGCGAGATGGGAGCGTGTTAGTCATCATCAGCGCGTGTCGGGGATGATCGGCGGCTCCAGTCGAACCCTCTGGTAGAAAAACGCTGAAGATCAAAGCGGAACAGAACCAGAATCCAGCTGATGAGGAGGGAGGGTGGGATGGGGTGGGGGTGGGGGGTGGGGGGGGGAGGTAGGGGGAGTGGGGGCCTTCGCGTCGTCCCTCCTGAGCGTGCACGATCCGCGTCGGCTTGACCCCAAAATAACAGATAATTACTGATTTAAAAAAATTCTCATTTCATGATTGTCCACTTGAAATGTTTAATTCTCCAGATTTGTGATGTATTTTTTGCAACTTTGCATTTCTAATTGAACATTTCCCCCTTATTAAAAAACAGAAACAGGTATGCCCCAACATGGACTCTCAGCTGGCCTCAGTCCTGACCAGTGGCAGCTTGCAAGTCCAAAATGACAGTCAGCGTGGAGGGGCACCAGGGGCAGAGACTGTTTTGGACCCACCCAGCACCAAACCAGGTAACCTCAAGTCCTGCTCCAAAGCAGCAGGGGCCATCAGGCAAGATGCTCAATCAATCAATGGGAAAAAGCCAGAGGAGGGCGGGGCTTCAGGGCCAGCCTCCCAGGAAGCAGCTGAGACGGGTGGGCGGAAGCAGCCAATTACAGCTCAGCCTGGAGTGCCTGTTCTGCACAGGGAGCCAATAAGAATCAAAATTGTTGTTCCTTCAGGATGCAAGAGGCCAATCGCAAAGCCTGCCTTCATCCTGACCAAAGACTGTGCAGCCTCACACGGGAAAGGACCGGTTCTGGTCTCTGCTGGAGCCAGTCGCCCCATCAGAGGGAAAAAGAGCAGCCAGGTTCCAAAATCAGCTGCTAAACATGAAGCAGACATCAGGAAAGGTTCTTCCCAATTGGGAAGGACAAGGCAGGAATCTGATGGGACATCATTCCAGAGGGCGGAGAGCCCAGACCCATGGGTTTTGAGTGTGGACTGGTCAGGGAAACGTTTTCTATCTAACACGGATGCAGGTAAAACGCCCGCAGAAATGGAAAAAGAGCGGATTGTACCTCAAGTGAAGTGGTCCACTGAGGTGGGAGTGGAGGAGCAGATGGAGCCGCTGGATCTGAGCTTGCCTAAGAGGAGAGTGCACGGCGAGAGAGGCCGCGGGCGGCTTCTGGGCGGTCCCAACAGCGAGAGCCCACTGATCATGGAGGTGGATGAATACGAGGGAGACGGAGACAGAGACATGGTAGAGGAGGACAGCGAGGAGAACTCTGGGCTTTACCTCGGTGGCGTGGACACAACTGAAGGATTTCTTCTGTCTCCCTCCACCTTTATGTCCCTCCCCCCAGAAGACTGTGACCCTGAAAACCTTCTCCTCATCGACGACCAGGGGATCCCGTACAGGCTTAGTCCAGACGGACTCAAGGTACTGCAGGTCGACACCTCCATGTCAGAGGGTCCTCAGTCCGATCAGGTCAGCACGGGGGAACAGGAAGTCAGGCTTCCAGCAGCAGGTCAAAGTTCAGACGCTCCGTCTGATGAACTTCACCTCCCATCAGCCTCAGCTGGTGATCCAGCATCTGAAGACGGGGGTCAGATCCCGGCTCCAGAGATCGTCACGTGCTTGATGACAAACTCTGACTCTGCAGAGGTGAACGTGAAGGCCGCTCAGGAGGAACCCCCTGGGATGTTCCTCCCTCCTCAGCCCATTCAGATCCTCACAAACCCCACAGCCAACGCCCCCCTTCTCTTCCTGACTTCCTCCTCCTCTTCCTCACTTCCGGCTGGCCTCTCGCTCCCTCTCTCCTCCGCTCAGATGTCACCAGGCGCTTCCACACCCATGTTTCTCCTCCTCTCCTCTGTATCCTCCTCACCCGATGACTCCGCCTCCACCTCCACCCCTATTGCCGTCCTTGACCCCTCCACCGGCCAGCTGTCCCAGGTTACTGCAGCCTCGGCTCCGGCCTCTCTGGGATCGCCGCTGCCCCCGCTTTCCAACCCCGTCATCTCTCGGCTCATCCTGTCAGGGGTGAGCAGCCTAACCTCCTCTCCGGTACTCACCTCTCTCGCTGTCCCTCTGCAGGACAACCACCTCAGCACAGCTCTGATTCAGACTCAGATCAACAACTCAGACTCTAGCCCAGGAACCGAAGCCATGTCTGCAGAGGAAAGTGAAAACAAGCCATCAACTTTTGAGACAAGTCCACAGACTCAGTCTGCAGCACACGACCTCTTAGCTCTGCCTGCTTCAGAGGCAGAGGCCCAATCACCAGCCTCAGAACCTAAACTGGACTCCTCAGATCTCCCCTCAGAACATTTACCTCTCGATGACCACCTTTACTTCTCTAACTTGGCTGCTCCTCCTTCCCCTCCAATCGGACCCCTCCTTCCCTCGGGGAAACTGGACTCCCTTGAGGCCCTGGACCCCCTGTCTCCTGCGGAGTCTCCTACCAATATGGGCTCCCGTCGGGTGCTGTGCTGCCAGCTGTGCCCGCGGATCTTCTTTTACCTCTCCGACCTCGAGCGTCACGCCATCACACACTCACAAAAGAAGCCTCATGTCTGCCAGCAGTGCGGCAAAGCCTTCAAACGCTCCAGCCACCTGCAGGTCAGCCCACCCCAGAATCGCTGTTTCAGTAAGAAGCGTCGCAGGAACACGAGCGGTTTACAGAGATGGCGTTAACCATCAGAGCTGTGACAGTAAACGATTGTTTGTGGTCACTTGGGAGCAGCAGAAACATTTGAGCCGGAGATTCTTCAAAGAATATTTTAGTCACTGATTATTGTGCCGATATGTGTCGTGATTGGTTGGTTAATCCGTCCAGAAAGAACAGGGAATCAATTTTCCCGAACAAAAATCAGGATGTTTCCCCTTTAAAATTTGAATAATGCAAGGCAGCTTTATTACTGAAGCACATTCGATAAACAAAAGCTATTCAGCGTGCTTTCCAGGAGCAAGGACACAAAATTCAACGAGACAACATAAAACAGCAAATTTAAATAAATAAATAAAATTAGATGGAAGAATAAAATAAAAAGGCAAAGTTAAAGGGTGAGCAGTTACAGTGCACGAACCCAAAAAACCCAAACCAAATGTATTTATATAGCACATTTAAAAACAGCCCAAGCTGACCAAACACACAAGCAGCCATGGACGTAATTTTCACTGTAGGGGGGGGATCTTTACAGCATGTTCTAATGGGAAACAGGCTTCAACACAAATGGTTGCTTTCCGCTTGGTCCTAGAGCTCAACCAGTGTCACTTTAATCTAGTGTAATATTGTTTTTGGATGGTAAAATGTGCAGGGGTCAAAACTTGACTTTGGAAAAGTGGGGGGGACATGTCCCCCCTGTCCCCCCCCCCAAAATTGCGTCCATGCAAGCAGCAAAATAATTTACACAATAAACCAGAATAAATACAAACATGATAAAAAAATGACAGCAATAAGAAATAAGACACAATAAAACTTTATGTAAAACAACTCATACTGGGACGAAAGTCAATCCATAGAAATGGGTCTTCAAGGATGATTTAAAAGCCTCCAGCGACGACGAGGCTTCCCTAACCTGTGCAGGCAGATCATTCCAGCAGCAGTGAAAGCCCCATCACCCCTAAGTTTCTGCCGAGTCCTCTGCACATCCAGGACCGACTGGCCAGGTGACCTAGGCAACCGGGACAAAGGGCGAATGTGCTAAGATAAAATACATCAACAACAACTAAAACAATGTGTAAAAGCAAGAGTGTCAAATTAATATACAGTAAAAGAGGATTCAAACTGGCTTAGGATACAGGAAATAAAACAGATTAAACAGACATTAACGAAACAAATAACAAAGTTAAACAATCACGGGGTGTATGGGGGCATCAGGTCTGATAAATAGACCGGGGCCAGACCATTTAAGGCTTTAAAGACAAGTTCAGGTCTTTGAACCTCACTGTAAAGTGAACTGGGAGCCAGTGCAATTGAGACAGGACAGGAGTAACGTGGTTTAGTCGGTTATTGCTTGTTAAAAAGCTTGCAGCCGCATTTTGCACCCACTGCAGTCTAAGGAGGGCTGAGGCAGGGACACCAATGGGGGTCGGACTTGCATTGGTTCAAGGTGAGTTAGGCGGCGCAGTTGAAAGAAGCATGTTTTAGTTTTAGGTGTTGTAGTGATCTGGGGGCATTGAAAGGCAGAGATAGAGGGGTTATGTGGATCTGTTTTGATTCATTTCATTTGAGAAAATTAGCAGCTAAACAACTCTTCACTTCTGTAAGGCAGTCATGAAGGAGTGGGACAGCATTTGGTGTGTTCATGGTCATATAGATTTGGCAATCATCAGCATTCATGTGATAACTTAGATTGTATTTATCCAGGATTTGCCCCAAGTGGTAGATATAAATGGGAAAAAAAAGCAGTGGCCCAAGGACAGAGCCCTGTGGCATGCCTCAGAGGGGAAGTACAGCCACCAATGTTTACACGGAAGGACCAACCTCAAATATAAGAACAGGACCATTCCAAGGTGGTACCCTTAAGACCTACCCAGGACTCAAGCCGGTCTAGCAGGATGATCAACAGTGTCAAAAGTCGCCGACAAATCCAGTAAAAGTAGTAGAAGATGAGAACCTGAATCTGTAGAGACCAGGATGTCATTCAGCACAAAGAAGGTGCAACTAGTAGCTAAAAGCAGCTTCAGCTGACTGCCTCCTAAGGATCTCAGAGCCCTGCTGGGCGTATATACAGGAAGGACATCCGACATTTTGGCCCCACGCCACAGAGAGATTTACAAACTAGTAGAAGGACTTTGAAATCGACTCTGTCGTTTACTGCTAACCAGATTTAAGAAAAAGTAAAACTAGCCAAAATATTTCCCTTTTAAAAAAATTAAACGCGACTTCTGTTACTGATTTAGCTACCACGTGGTTGTTTGCCAGTTTTCTGTGAGTTTTGACCGGATTTTCAATCATTTGTGAGTTTTTAGTTTGAAGGAGGAATAAGACTTAGTAATGTGGCCATCATAATTTTAATAGTCACTCTGTTTTTGATTATGGCTGCTTCTTTCACAGTCAATACTAGCAAAGGCCCGTACAGAAGGACGAGACAGAAATCAGTTTTAATTAAAAAAATACATTATCAAAAACAAGGCAGTGGATTTGGCTGGAAAATCGAATCTAAAAGGAAAAAAAAACTGTAAAATATTTTAAAATGTGAGATTGAGATTCGAACAAAAACTTCGGAACAAACCGAATCAAGTCAAACCTAAATCAGATCATTTGGAGGGGGTTTACGTGGAATTGTTAACAAAAAAAATTACCATTTTAGATAGCTCTTTGAACAATCTCAGTTTGGAGACATGGATGAATGCTTGTCCACGAGCTACGCTAAGTTGGTCAAGCTCATAAGGGATTGACTAAATTACATTAACATATTCATCTATAAGATATTTGGAACCGATGTTGTAAAACAACATAAACAATTTTTGTATTGGCTTCAACTGGGCTAGCCATTATCTCATTGTGTTAGCACTGTGTACTAGCTGTTAGCTAATCAAATTAATAGTTGGCTAATTGGACAAGTACTTAGCCCATGAGTTTGGTTAAAGGGCACATGTGAAAAACTCACATTTTGCGTAATTTCGTGCCGTTACGTGGGTCTCTGACAAAATCTTTCCATCCGTTTTTCTGTCAGTGTTTGTTTAGGAATCGCATGCCTAAAAAGAGCCATTTAAAAAAACTCTCCATATGTGATGTCACAAATGTTGAAAGTAGAATAGAACCCTCTCACATTCAAGAGATAGCGGCCGCTGGAGGAGCAGCGGCTCTACTATGAGCTCCTCGCACATTTTGGAGCTTCTTAGCTTCTGAGGAGGGGATGGGTGGGCGTGGCCAGCAACAGCTTGTTCTCAAAGTGGCAGAGCCCTCAAATGGCTCATTTTGGAAGGTACTAAAAATGTCCGAATTAAAACTACTGAAATGATTTAATATGGGAGGAATTTAGAACAAAGAACTTAAAACATGTTTTGTATAGGCCACAAAACTATTATAACTTGAGAAAAAAGTCATTAATCCTTTTTCTCCACAATTACATAATTTAAAAACTCAGTCTACAACCGATACTGTTTCTTTACAGTGACTTTTTTTTATTGTTTCATCAGCGACACAAGCACATCCACACCGGCCAGAGGAACTTTGTGTGTCCCATCTGCGCCAAGCGCTTCAGGGAGGCGGGAGAGCTCCAGCGCCATCAGAGGGTGCACACTGGAGAGAAACCCTACCAGTGCCAGCTCTGCCACACACGCTTCGCCGAGCGCAACACCCTACGGCGACACAACAAACGAAAACACCCGTATCACCAGGTAGCCATGGAGATGCTGAACGAAAGACGAGACAGAGGAGGAGACGGGGGAGGAGGAGTTCACGAGGAAGAGGAGAGCGCCGAGTGGTACAGCTCTGCTGTGTCGACTCTGAATAACTCTGAGTCCGAGACAGAAAGTTAAACGGTGCCAATCAGTGGGGTAGAAACGTTAATACTCAAACACGGGAGCCACGGAAACATCTATTCAGTGTATTTATACGAATGCTTAATTTCCCTTTAATGGGCTGAAGGTAGAACCTGACTAAAGAAGCATTTTAAAGGGAAAGCTCATGTGTCAAAGCAGCAATCCGGAGATTTCCCCATTTCACAAATCATGCAGGATTCTTTACAAATCTGTAAACGTGATGGTCTCACCCTGTCATGTGATGCAATGTAGGCAATACATCCGCCCTTGTCCCATACGGCTTCAAGCCATTTGAATTGAGCGCTGCTCAGTTTTAGCCAATAGACATCTGCTTACGTACAGATGTCAATCACAAAGTGCGTGAGTGTTTGACGGTGTACCTAGGCAGATGCAGAGCTGGCGACGTTTCTAATGGACAAGTAAACACTGCTGCCCACACTGGGGGGTATCAGCAGCAGCGGGACGGTTGTTGGTGGCACGTCGGTTTTTGGTGGACTCGCAAGATCCCTCTAGACTTCGTCTGTCAATAAAGCCAAAAGAAGATAAAGGAGATCATGTCCTTGATGAAAAAACACTGTTGCACTTGTGGAAAGATACTGGTGATAAATGAGCTGTCAGGTCACACATGTAGACATAATCCAGCTCAGTGGCCTGGTATGAGTGTCTGCCCTGAGACTGGGAGATCGTGGGTTCAAATCCATGGTTGGGTCATGCTAAAGACTTTAAAAAAGGGATCCAATGCCTCCTCGCTTGACACTCAGCATTAAGGGGCTCGATTGGGGCGGTTGAACCACCAAATGGTTCCTGAGAGCGGCTGTGTCTGCAGCTCACCGCTCCCCAGAACAAAATTCACACACCAGTGTGACAATTAATGGGACTTTAACTTTAATCTACACAGATAAGACATTGCATCACTGCAAAAGACTTTTATTTTGAAAATTGCCAGACGTTTTACACTGATACCGCTTGTGAATTCCTGTCTAGCTCTATGTTCATTACGGGAATTGGTGCACCCTGAAAGGGGCAAAAATAGAACCCAATCCCGTCTTTAGCGGTGCGGCGCAGCGAGCGACTTCCTGAAACGTTCCGTGCCTTGGCTGGTTTGGATCAACCCCGTAGACCAGGGGTGTCAAACTCATTTTAGCTCAGGGGCCACATTGAGGGAAATCTAGTCCCAAGTGGGCCGGACCGGTAAATACAAAAAAAACCCACTTCAGATTCTTTTCTTTGTTTTAATACAATCAATGTAAAACAAGGCTGGAGCCTGAGGACAGTGTAGTACAAGTACAACACCTGAAGTGTACTTGAAAATATGAAAAAAAAAAAATCAACAAATAAAAAAACATTCCTTAGTGATTCAAAGAGCTTACAGATCACATGGCTAGATCAGTTTCATGCAGCACTTAAAGTATATTTGACTCATTTTACTTAACATCTTTTAGCTTTCACCAGCACATCAACATCAGAAGTCACATCCTGAGTGGCGGCCAACTTCAGGATGTGATTCAAGTTCTTGTGTGAGCCTTGAGCACATTTGTTTTATTTATACTCATTACAGAGGAATCTTGCTCACAAAGATAAGTTTATTTTCACTTTACATTGTAAAGTATGAAAATAAAGTTTACACAACCATCTCGCGGGCCGGATTTAACCCGCTTGCGTGCCGGATCCGGCCCGCGGGCCTCATGTTTGACACCCCTGCATAGACTATAATGGATTCTATCTAAAGCGGTGACGTTCCGCTGCCATTCTGCGTTGGTGTAGCCTCCGGTGTGGACCCGGCTTTAAGGAGAGGGGCTTAATGTGCAATACACTTTTCCACCTCTAGATGGCGCCCTCTGAGAAAAGACCCCAGATTTCTGCTTTAATACAAACGTCATCACGCTCCCGTGAAGTTGCGTTGCAATGCAATCCGTGAAAAACCCTGAAGTGCTCAGAAGAGGATAAAGATTATTTAGTCTGAACAAATCTCTGCTGTGGTTGTAAATACCGAGATAACTATTTGTAAAAGTTGCACTTCTGCACTCTTCTTTAAAAGATGAAACCTTTCCTACCGTCAGAGACACTGTGAGTTGTTTGCACTTGTTTTTTTTTTTGGTTCTGAGCTCTGTTCTGATATGGTGAATTATGTTAATCCCGCTGGATTTTCTGATTTGAAGTGTTTAGTTCATATCCTGTAAGAGTGTGACGAAATCTTTATTCTAACATGAACACTAACATATTTAGATTTTTAAAATGTGGTTTATGTTAACTTATTAAAACAAAGTTTTCACAAGCATAATTCTGTTTTCTGCATTTGTTTTTGTGATGTTTCCTGCTTATTCGAGGAATTACGTGTTTATTTAATCTGGTTTAAACTGAATTAGAAACAGAAAACGCTCCTGTTGGTAATGAAGACGGGGGCACGAGGCCATGTCCCTCTTCTAATTTAGGTGAATCCTTAATTTTTTTCACTACATTAATCACCGAAGAGGAGACTTTGCTTGGATCCTTGTGATAAAAAAAGGTTATGGTTGAGTGTGCAGGCTGGCCACTCGGACGCTGCAGCCAGGGGGTAATTGAGTTAGTGAGACGGCCCTCTGTTTTTTGTACTCTGAATTTTCTGCTCGATTTAAGCCACAAATCCGAACGGAACAGAGCTCAAGATAAGCTTTTAAAAACTGAATGGCTGTAATAACCCGACCGGGTCGTCACGATGATTTCTTCGCTAATTTCTCTGCCGGTTATTGTGTGGATAGAGAGGCCCTGGCCGGCGGAATGGAGGCGCTCTGCTTTAGTTTGGCTAAATGTCTTTTACAGAAAGTCAGAGGAGGAGGTGACAGGTGATGAAGAGTAAAGCTCAACCACACCGTTTCCATCATAATGGAGGAAGTGTTGGAGTGAGTGGAGGATTTGTTGGAGTAAAAGTGAAAAAGAAAAACATTTTCTGGTCAAAGCTTATGTTAGTTTTTATAGTTGGTATTATTTCCAAGGGCGCACCCAAGGGGTGGCCAGCCACCCCTAGAAACTTGCTGGCTCCCCAACACATTCTCACACCCTAAGCGTCAGAAACAAACGCTTGGTCAGCCACCCTCCACGTCAGACCCCAGACGCCAAAAGTGCCCTTTTTCGTTACTTATGTGCGAAAAGGTTTTTTTCCCTTTTGTAACTGCAGATCCCAATGCAGCGTAAAACTGACGTGATTAGATATCCGCTGATGTGGCACCGAACCAGCTCGTTTAACCGCACCTTAACCTCATCCTAACCTTAACCCTCTTGCTACCTAAAACCTTACTCTCACTGTGATCAAGCGTTTGTTTCCCATGCATTCTGACTCTGACAGTCAGAGTCTGACTGGCAATTTTCGTATTTGCCGCCCAAGGGGAACGTTAGAACATACCATCTGGCGAGGGGGAAGTTACACATACCCTCTACTTTTAACCTCCACCTTGGTAGTTGAAACCTCCCCCTCGCGGTAATTGGCTCGGTCCAAACTCGACCAATGACGAGGCAGCTCCCACCTGTTCACTTCATAGAGCCGGCTTTTGTTGCCTGGCAGACCGAGAGGGCGGAGCCTCTAACAGGCCAAAACAAAGTCACATTGGAAGGTTTTGGAAGGCGCGTATCCAGTTACTTCTGGTTTAAGCTAAGACATTTCAGAAAAAGAGCCAAGACTGAAACATGGTGATGGTGGTGTAATGGTCCGGGGCTGCTTTGCTGCTTCACCTGGAATACCGGTTGTAAGTGATGGAACCATGAACTCTGATCGCTACCAGAAAAATCCTGGAAGAAAAGACCAATGACCCAGCACTTTAAGTGGAAACAAATAAGTGCCGGTAGACACTTCAAGGTACATTCGTCAGAGGGTTCGACTGACACATGGCTGGAAAAGGTTCTGGTACTCTGAAAGGTAAAATGTGTACCGGTCCATACTGACCCACCTAAAGCACTGCTTTGACCTTAAATGAAATGGCTGAATCACAAGAATTCTGTATGTCAGAGAAAATAAGGTGTTTGGGTTAACAAGTGAACACTGATGGTGGGAGGAAGTCTAAACTGTCCACAGAAAGACAAACACCAGCTCAACTGATAACATTTAATCTTTATTTTGGATGTGGGGGGAGCTCAGATACACCTGTTTCAGGAACAACGAATCAGCTCAAGGAGAAAGTTAGACATCAGCCGCGTGGAGCTAGTAAAGCACCGGGCCGCCATCTTGGATGGGTCTCCATTCGCCCCCAGTGCACTCATTACTACCGAGGAAGGTCACAACCAAGAAACACATATGCTTTTTCACAAAGTCAAACATATAGTATGGCATAACCTAACCCTATACATAGAACATAGAACTATAATATAATAAAATCCCACATGATCTCTTTTCACCACATTTTGCATAACTGTCACTCTACCAGTGACTTTTACTCTGGGTTACACCTGCTGCCTCTTTACCTTGGCAGTAAAATCTTCTGCTGAGGCACACCCAGTGTGGGCTTCTGCTCCGCCTCCGCCTCCTGCAGAAACAGCTGCACCTGATTTGGTCACCTGAGTATAAAAAAAAGGCAGAGTAGTGAGCAACAAAGGGGGGATCGAATCTGTGCCGTCTCCCCCAAATTGCGCCCCACTTTGGTTTCATTGGCTTTTAATGTTTTTTAACTGAGACTAGAGTACGTTTTGTTTTATAGCCTTGGTGCTTTGTTGAGTTTTTAAAACAGAAGAGGAGTCTTGTCATGTGTGATGGGTATCTAACCCACGACATACAGAATCAGTACAGAGACATTGGTAAGAATGATTTATTAAAACCAAGCATAAACGTAGCAGAGATCTTCCAATAGGGATTACTGTAGGTGTGGGAATCTGCGGACAGATGAGAGTTAGGTCCAGTTCGAAGGGGGAACAACAGGGAATCTGAATTAAGCAGAGGACTTACAGTCTGGAGAGAGGGGAGAGCTCGAGGGGGAAGTGGTCCGGTCTGGGTAGAGGGGTTATCCAGGGGGCGGAGATCCCGAGAGTGTGAAGTGGAGGGAACTGAGCTTGAGGAAGTGCAGATCAAGAGCACAGATGGGCTACCGGAGGTGGTTCCTGACCAGGGAGGGCCTGAGAGACGAGCGGGGTTGGAGTTCCAGAGTGAAGGGGTTCCAGAGCACTGCCAGTCAGAGGTGAAGGTGGAAGTCTGTCTGGGAACAAGAGCAGGAGGTAAAAATGTAAAATCCAAAAACATCAAATACTCTAAAAGGTTCAAGAGCTCAAATATAACATGCTGGGTGGCTGTTAGCAGGTACCCAGGTAAAGTAATCATCCAGCGAAGTGAAGGCATCTCTCAGCTGCGTACTCCCTGGCCAGCTGATGAGCCTGCAGCTTGGTCACCTCTGGACACGCCCACCTGCAGCAGGAGACTCAAAACCCAAAGAGGGAACCCAGACCGAGTCAGAACCCCACTGGCTTCTGCCACAACAGGTGTGTGTGTGGTCAGAGGACCTTTGTTTGTAAAAGTGTTGTGGTCAGTTAACAGTGTTGTGTTTTAAATGTGAAAACCCAGGAGCCAAAGATGGTGAGAATAAAAGTGTTATTTTTTTTCCATTTTAGGAGCAAGCATCAGTACTTTTGAATCCTTTTATATTAAAACAATTGTTTGAAGCTGACCATCTTGCACAGACATCTGTCTCACACCCCGTTCTTCATTTTAACACCACTGTGGACCGTAACACTCTGCAACGTTGATGTTTCATCTCCACATATAACTCAAGCGTGGAGGAGTTCTGCTGTGTGGTGGAGTTGCTAATGGTTAACATCTGCTAGCTGAGGTGTTCTCTGCTGTTTCTTAGACTCCAGACCAACAACAGTCCAGATGGATGAGTCCATGAATGTTAGTGACAGCGTGACGTAGATCTGTCAGGATTTTCTAATCCTAGAGTTTCACCGTCTGTTTTCTATCAGAAGCTAATGCAGGAGATAGGTGTAGGAGACTATTTTCACGTTCAGTCTGCATGAAACAGTGATCAGTTATTCAGTAAATCTCAAGCGTCTTACACACTGATTTCCTCCCATTGGGTTCTTGTTTTCTGTTTCACTTCCATTCATTTAAAAATGAACCATTTCTGCTCGGCAGAGTTTTGGATTCTATTAGTGGACGAACTGATGATTGAACCCTTAAACGAATGTTGACCCCCACATGGGGGTTTTCCGTAAAAGAGGATTTTAAGGATTATAAATGCAACACTTTGAGTTTAATTATACTCGTGACCTCGGCCCTTGAGTACTAACACTTCTCAAGGCTTCAAGGTCTGTTAGTCGCATTAGCTCTTCATATTTACATTTCTAACATCTTAAATATTTGTATTCCCACTCACTTCAGTGGCTTGATCCCTGCACCTTTACAGAGTTAAACAGATTTAAAGTGACAGCTCAGAGCTTTGGGAGGGGACTTTTGAGGAAAGATTTTTAACAATTAGCATCTTTTCTCGTTTTCTTCAGATGTTCTCTGCTGTTTCCTGGACGCAAAACCAATGTAATGATTTAAATTACGTGTTATTTAATAAGCCATAAGGCGTCGGATTCCATAGGAAATATGAAATCCACCTTACGGACCTGTGAGGTTAATTAAACCAGAAGATTGGAACTTTTTAATGCAGGGATTAGATAACAGCTTCGTATTCACTCAGAGACAACAGAAGAGAGAGAGTCAAGTTTAAAAGTTTAAAATTTTATTACTAACAAATTAAACTAGACTGACTTTAAACACTACATGTGTGGTGTAACTAAGGTAGATGAGACGGTGAATGGGATGACGTGTGATGTTGATCAGAACCAGCAAATCCGAAGAAGCGATTAGTTCTGATGGGAACTGAAGGTGATGTCTTCGCGTTAAGCTTTGATTAGGAGATTCATAAACACATTCGATGCCATTTGCCGGTCTACCTACCCTTAGCGGAAGTCCCCGTCTAGATCAGGAGGTGTAAAGGTCCAGCTTGACCTTATGGAGCCGGAGCATGTGGAAGCAGCCACGGCAGCCGACCACCCGTCTTGAGATACTTCCGGGTCATGACAATATTATTGGCGTCAGGTGAGACCCGAACCTGGGTCTTGATGGTTCAGCATTTATTCTGAAAGGAACCGTTGCAGCAGTTGGAACAGCAACAGATTTTATCCAGCTTGTCGTTGGTTCTTTCGGCTGAAGAGGAGAGTTACGGATTGGCCACTCCGACAACTTCTCCAGAACGCTTTGAACTGGCGTTAGAGATGAAGTGGGCATAGTTTTATACTTTGGATGTTTTGGTTTGTGGTCGAATGAAAAGATGACAG